CTGTTTGCCCCAAACTCCACTAGTGTTCACAATTGGGCATATTGAGTATTTGTGCCAGGGTTGGTCCAGATCCATCATTATTGTAAGTCCACAATGGTCTCTGGATGTAGGTGAACTTCAACTCCAAAACTCAAGGTCAATGCCCACCAAACCCTTCCAGTATTTTCTGTTGGTCGTGGGAGTTTTGTATGCCAAGTTTGCTTTTCTTTGCATGTGACATTCTGTCACCTGGGAGCTGTGAAACCCCAATAGGTCCCCTTGCTGCTGTTTCTTACCTGTCAGGAAGGGGGAAGACAGTTCAGATCATCATGAAGGAACTGGTCTCAGTTTGAATGGGGCAAGGGAACTGAGAATGTAATCTCAAATGAGGTGCATCTTTAATTACTTTCTCCCAGGAGCCCAGAGCAGGCAGACCTTCATCGTCTGAATAATCTCAACTTCGCTATGCTGAAGAGGAAGAGCAGCAACCCTTCCTGGGGCTTGATGGCTGCTGGATGTGGGAGATTTTTGGACAGAGCTCAAGGGGCACAACAACAGCCCTTTATACCACATCTTAAAAGTGACACATTCATAAAATGCACTTAGGCACATGTAAGTCACTAACACAGGGGTGTCCAACTTATTTTCTTCAAGGGCCATATCAGCCTTATGGTTGCCTTTAAAAGGCTGTTGAATCCATAGACAGATAATCTATGAACACAGAGAACCCACTATATTTTTTTACCTAGTGGTTGGTGCACTTTAGTTTTTACCCAGCTTGGGTCCCCAGATGTTATTGAATGGTATAAGGACAGGCTTCCAATTCACATTCAGGATCACAGAGCTGTGCCACCAATTATAATGAAATCTCACACCAAGGAACTTCTTTTAGCAGGGAATATCACAGGAGGGAAATGGATAAAACAGGGAAAGATATATTTGAATGACGTCTGAACTAAGAGGGTTTTAAAAGGGTATACTGCCACCTTGTTGCTTAGTATTCAGGCTGAGTTATATGTGTGGAGAGAATACTTAGTAACACCCTTCTGTGTTACTATAGCGTTTATTTCCTTCAGAGGGTTTAAGTACCAATGACATTCACACACAGGCTGTTGTAATGTGTTAATTATAATAAAATGTTTATTTAACAGGCTTAAACTCTTCTGGTACAAATACGTAATGGTTTCTGTAAGTGAATGGTACAAAAGCTTTTGGTTATATTTTGATGTACAATTCTTAGATGGATACTAGGTACAAATCTAGAGTTAACAACAGGAGATTATCTCAGGAAACTAATCCCTGATGATAATTCCAAACCAAATTCCCACTTTCTGGAATCTAGCCAAACAACCTTGGCCTAGCCTTCCTCAGGAATAAAAGAAACAGACCATAAGCAAGGTCCTGTTTCCACTGTCAGTATTCCTGGCTAATTCCTCTAGCCCTTGAATACTACAAAAGATTAACCCAGTTCTCCTATCTAGCACTATCCACCTGTGAACGCCAACCGACTACCTAACCCCCCAACTGATAAATCCCAACTGCCAAAACTCAAGCCTCCAAATGCACAAAGTACACTTTCCCCTCTATTTGAATATTAGGCTCCGCCCCCTATTCTTAACCAATCCTGGCCATCTTCTCTTTGCTTATTGGACTAGGACACGCCCCCTCTAAGAAAACCTGACCTAAGATGGCATCTCCCTGTTTCCCTATCCTAAGATGGCTGCCAGGGCTTCGCTAGGCCTATATTCTGGTTGCTAAAGGTAAGGGACAGGCTTCGCTAGGCCCACATTCTGGCTGCTAAAGGTAAGGGTTCTTCACAAATGGCAACTCCCATCACTTTTGATTATCTCCCATGTGGACAGAGAATAATGGGAATTGCAACTCCACAGTACTTGTGGCTCTGGAGTTGGGGAAAAGTTAAAGGACATTTTAAAGTCAGACATCATATCCACAAACCTTGTATCTAAACGTAAACCCACTAACCTGACTAACAGAACAAACTGCAGCTTTCCAGATGTTGCTGTATCACAACTTCCATCAGCTCTATTCATGATGTCTAATGATGATGGAGTTGTAATCCAGCCTCTGGAAAGCCACATAAAATGATATGGATTCACCCAACAGGCCTTGAGTTTGACACATGTGCACTAACAGAATGCCAGCCACCAAGTGATAGCTGCACCATTAACATCTGTTTCCGCCCTATTTCAAGAGTGGGGAATATGTGACCTTCCAGAGTTGTTGGACTGCATCCCCATCTTCATTCACTCACTGATTGGGGCTGATGGAACTTGAATTAACCCACCTTTTTAGAAAGCAATGTATTACCCATCCCTAAAGTACAGTCTGCTAGGTGGGGGCAGGGGATAGACTGATTGGACCATTCGTTGGGTTTGTTACTGAACATACTGTGAAAAACTGAGCTCTATTTCTTTCTAATCTTCAAAGCTTCCACTGTAATTTTCCCCGTCTCTTTTTTCTTATAGTAACTGTTCGGTTGCTGCTTTAGAATGTGCTGAATGTGTCTGTTTTCTAACAGGTTGATATCTCTATTTCTTCATCCTCTGATGTGCTTCTAAGAGTCCCTCTTTTCCCTTTCCCAACATTAACACATCTTATGCTCGTTCCTTAACTCACTCTGCAGTCTGTTTTGGCTCTGTTTTCATTCTGGCTGCTGCTTTACTCTCAGGAGAAACAAAACCCTATTATGCTCACTGCCATTCCCAACTATACCACAGAGCTTGCTCGGAACTGGCAGATAATTTGCTGGTGCATGTTTATTTCTAGCCACACCAAAGCTGTTCTGTCCTCCCTGCTGTAATGGAGCCATTGCTGCAGGTGTATTTTCAGGCGATTTGTTTTGTTCTCCTGCTTGAAAAACTGGATTAATTAATCATCTGGTGCACAGCTAACAATGCAAGCCCTGGATTTATCCTTCTCCTTGGAAAATATAACATTGCTGTTGAGCTACTAACACGTCTTTTGGAATGAAGCATGATAACCAGAGGCACAGAGAAAGTAATGTGCCAAAGTTTCTTGACTACAATATTCCATGTACCTGCACATACAACTTACTACACAGAAGTAAATTCAATGTAGGACATTTCTTTTCACATGAAGCACGTCAGAGCTGCTTATTTGAGATTCTGCAAATGAAGAGAAAGGGACAAGAAAATTCATTTTTTGTGAGTTTCTCTGAGAACATTTCATGGATTCAAGACCATCCCACCCTAAAGTTATCTTTGAAACCCCTCAAAAGGGGCAGGCTTGGATGGAGCTTTCCTAAATACAGTAGAGTCTCATTTATCCAATCTTCGCTTATCCAACGTTCTGTATTATCCAACGCGGTCCAGGGTGGAAGAAAGAAAGAACCCTTGTCTGTTTTGGTGCTAAATTCATAAATACAGTAATTACTACAGAACGTTACCATGTTTTGAACTGCTTTTTCTGTTGATTTGTTGTAAAACATGATGTTTTGCTGCTTAATTTTTAAATTCATAATGTAATCATAACATAATTTGATGTTTAACAGGCTTTTCCTTAATCTCTCCTTATTATCCAACATTTTCTTATCCAGTATTCTGCCAGCCCATTTCTGTTGGATAAGTGAGACTCTTGGTTGATGGGGACGAGAGACAGAGCATTCTTGGCAGTGGCCCCCCATCTGTGGAACTCTCTCCCCAGGGACATCAGGTTGGCCACCTCCCTCCTGTCCTTTAAAAGAAAATTGAAGGTTTAGCTTTGGGACTAGGCGTTTGATTAGTGGACAGCGGCAATTGGAAAGAAGACTTGGATACTGCGACATTGATTTAACCCCAGACTTGGGTTTGGTTTTAACTGGCATGACTATTCTATAGTTTTAATTAATTGTTTTAATGTTTTAATGTATTTGTTGACTATTTATATGATGATAGCATTGTGCGGTGTTTATGTGAGGCCACCCTGAGTCCCCCCCTTGGGGGGAGAAGGGCGGGGTAAAAGTGTATGAAATAAATTAATAAATAAAACTCTACTGTAGTAGATAAGGTAATGAGCTCATGTCTGAGCTTTACCATCACAGAATGTAGCTGTAGCTATCACTGGACTTACTGTTCCTGTATGAAGTTGTTTTTTAAAATAGTAGAAAGATATTGTTAGACAAAGCCATGCTCTCACACATACTAGGTTTATATAAAGGAGTGTTCATCTGATGTACGTGTTGAGAGAGTGGGCTTATTAACAAAAGACCTTCCCTACAAATGTACAGTGGAGTAACTTGTTAGCAGCAACATGACGCAGCACCAGTAGCCCAAAGTGATAAAAGGAACAAAAACACAGAGATCAGTGTTCTCTCTTCCATAGGAGGCTTTTCTTTGTAATATTGCTGCACTATTTACAAGAACAAAGTTTCCATAACATAAATAAATTTCTTTACACTTCCTTCTTTGCTTCCATGCTGGGCTTCTTTATCATGCAGATAAACAGCTTCACTCTCTCACAGAGCCTCCCCTCACATCGAACTTACTCAGGAGCTTCACACAGTAGCTTTACACATGAGGCCTTCAACCTGGGGCTTCTCTCACTGAAGCTTCTCACAGACTAAGGCCTACCTCACACTGAGATAAACTAATACAGAGGCCTACTAAGCTCCAGGCATACCTGCTTGAGATATTGCATCCATTTAACCCTCTCAATGCTTGACTCACATTAAAAACACCTAGTTATTTTTTTTACTATTTCTGACAGTATTATCACCAGTAGAGCCTAATGTGGCAAAATAAATCCTGAATACTATTGGAAGCACCTTCTAGAACAGACACAATTATTGAATGGTAAGTCAATAATTACATAAATCCCAGTGATTTGGTGTGTCTAGCTTCATTAGGACTACTAATAGGATCCAATGAATAAGCTTCACAGTTGACTGGCTGTGTCACAAAACTTTAATCTTTGTTATCAGAGTATTTTTTCCAGAAATCTTTCCTTGTATTTTACATCTTTTTCCCCAGAATATCTAAAAAATCTTCCTCCTATTCTTGCAGAGAGTCACTGGAGAAAGAGAAATGTCTGCTAACAAGCAAAGCTGAAGCATATGGTAAGAAACGTATCATGGTCATTTCTTTTGAAACTACAATCACATAAAATGCATCTTAAATTGCATTTGACATGGTAGACTCAGGAAACGGAGAAGCAGAGAAATTGAAATAAGTCATTCAACTATGCTTGAGGGTTGTTTTTTTTTTTTTTTGCCAGGAGGGGGTGTTAATAGATGTATCTAAGGACTTCATCCCACAAGTGGGGGGGAAAGTGGAGGGAATCATGGTACCCCATTCCCTCCTGTCTTTTCCTGTCTTCTGGGATGGCAAGCTATCCCACATCCTTACCATGTCAATATCCATCTTTCTTTCATTTTTCTGCTGAAGATGGGTTTAGGGCCCTGTTTCCATGTACTGCAGAAATGGAGCTCCATGGAGTCCCACCAGAAGAGCCCTTACATCATGTGGGGTTTTGTCCCACGTAGTGTAAGGGCATTTCTGTGGGATGAAGTCCCTAAATGACTTCTTTTAACATGGTAAGAACCAGGGCTCCTCATGTTGCTTGTTTAAAGTTTCCATTAGCTCCAACCTGTCTGGCCAGTGAAGAAAGATGATGGGCGCAGAAATTATTTGCAGGGCCAAAGATCCTGAGTGCTCCTTGCCAAAGAGCATGAGAAAGCAACACTAAAAAATACAGAGTGGGTGGTCAAAAGATATACAGTTCTGTTTAAATAGCACAGCTATTTCTCAGAATTGAAGATGCTGACTATTTCAGCTTCGAATGCTAAGCTTTTGAATTTTTTTTAAAGCTGGGCTATTTATGTGTTACTTTCAGGCAAGGGAGGGAAAGAAGAAAGGATGTTGCATTTTCCATTTATAAGATGCAAGGGAAAGTCTGACACTGCAGGCTAGTGGAGAAAGAAGAGGAGAGGAGACCTCTTGTGGTTGTTGCTCTTCCTGGCTTATAATAACCTCAACATATTCAGATGGTAAAGCATCAGTCCACAATGTCAGGTCATAGTCAAGGATGATAATCCTGAATGACAAACCCAACGTGGCATGCATAACTGAAGCTTGGTTAGGCAAGAATAACAAGGGTCATTTTGACCCTATGCCAGTGGTTCTCAACCTGTGGGTCCCCAGGTTGAAAACTCCCAGAAATCCGAACAGCTCGTAAACTGGCTGGGATTTCTGGGAGTTGTGGGCCAAAACACCTGGGGACTCACAGGTGGAGAACCACTGCCCTTTGCTCATTCGATTTGCAATGAAGCTGCAGGCAAAAGCCTATAGACAGGGATATAGGCGTCATAAGAAAAATTCCTATTGTTATTGGCCTCAGTGTGTGATGGAGTCAGTCTCCTCTAAAAAAATTTAAGAAGAGGCTGGATGGTCATCTTTTGGAAGAACTTTCATTGTGTATTTCTGCACGACAGGATGTTGGAGAGGATGACCCTTGTGGTTTCTTCCAGCTGTATGATTCTATTATTGACTGGAGTAAATCCATGGAATCAATTAAATTTATATATTTGTTGACTCATCATTCAACAACTGATCTAATAGACCTAATAACAACATTATTCAATCCATAGTGAGCTTTTGTGTATATACACTGTATTAAGACCTCCTGTCTCACAACCGGCAATATTTGGATTTTTGCTCCAGATGGGGAGACCGAAATAGACAGAAAATTGAGATTCAGATTCTGTTGTTTTGACACTTAACCTAATGGTCTCCTTGGCTGAGATGAAATGACTTTGGCAGTGGTGTTGATTTCCTCCAAACTGATCATTCTAGGTCAGTTCAGAATTACATGGCCATGGACCTGTCTCAGTTAATATCTGGTCCTATCTGAAGGCACATTTGTGATCTAATTTTGTTGTCCAGGAAGGGAGATATAGCTTACACTGTTCTAAGGAAGGTTCTGCATTAAGAGTAAGCTCAAGGGTAATGACCAAGGTCTGTGTGGTTTTGATGGATGAGTTTCATCTTCTTAAGAGATAATGTGGAGAAGATGTTTGGAGAAGTAAAGCCAGCCATTTGTTTGATGGACCCTTACTCATCCTGACTGGTAAGACGAGTCAAAAGGAAGCCAGTCAGTTAGGTTATGAAGATTGTAAAAGCTACATTGTAAAAGGCCATGTGAGCATTCCTCTAACAGAAGCTGTTGTTAAGATCATTACTGAAGGAACCATCACAAGATTAGTGTCTTGCTGTGCTAAATAACTGTCAGCCGGTCTCCAATCTTCTTTTTCAAACCAAGAAGTTAAATGGTTGGTAGCAAAACAATTCCAGGCTTCCTTACATGAAGTTGATCTTTGCATCCTAGTAACCTGAGATCAGGCCTACATTGAGAACTGGAAAGAGTGTGCGTGTCGCTGTTGGTTCTGCCATATGTAATCCAAAGTTCTCATTCCCAGAATAGCCACCTATATGCATACACACATCAATGCAGGAACTGAATTGATTTGAAGTGTCTATCACAGGTATGAGCAAACTTCAACCCTCCAGGTGTTTTGGACCTCAACTCCTAATAGCCGCTAAGCTGTTGAAGTTCAAACATCTGGAGGGCCAAAGTTTGCCCATGCCTGATCTATCTCCTGGTCTTTGCCTTAACCTTTCATTTTACTACAGTACTGTACTCTAGGCTAGGGCTTCTGAAACGTTTTCATACTTGCAACCACTTTTTGCACAAGACCTTTTTGTGTGACCCCAGATATATAGGCTTATAAAATAGGTATATAAATTAAACTTTTATAGGGGGGGGGGGATGTGTCATAGTTAAATCTGTGGATATGGAGGACCAGTTGTCCCACAGCAGTAACAATTAGGGTAGGCCTAACTTCCAAGTACACAAAATTAAACTCTGAAGTAAAATACAATGGCCTTCAATATCTGCTGGGATTTGTTTCAAGAACCCATAGTGGATATCAAAACCCATGGATGCTCACATGCTATCTATATAAATAAAAATGTAATGTTCGTTTGTGGAATTAACATAACTCAAAAACCACTGGACGAATTGACACCAAATCTGGACACAATGACCATCACTCATAAAAACACTGAAAACACAGCAGAATATAAAAAAGTAAAAAATAAATAACTAAATACAACCTATGCACACAACCACATATATATATGCAAACACACATATATACACATATACACAAATAAATACACATATATACCCACATAAAACACATATACACAGACTGGACCACAGCAACGCATGGCAGGGGACAGCTAGTGATATAAGGGTGTTATTATTTATTTATTTATTATCCTTATAGATCATAGTATGTGAGCATCCATGGGTTTTGATATCCACTATGGGTCCTGGAACCAAACCCCAGCAGATGCTGAAGGCTATGGTTTGCATCAGTAAAATGCCCCTTATATAAAATGGCAGAATTGAGGTTTGAGATATATTTTCAAGTGTGAATGAATGGGTGAATTTATGGATACAGAGGGCCCATCATATTGCAAGCCAAACTCTGCAGATATATTAGAATAACAAAAATAAATTCCTTCTAGCAAAAGGGTGGGGGCAGTTGAGGAGAAGGACAATAAATGCCTAGAGGGGCTGGCAGGAGTTTCCTCCTCCTCCCTTACATACCTCCTTTGTCTTTCCCCCCCCCCCCCCCCCAATTGTCAGACTGCTTTTATCCTTCCTCATCCACCCCTGCTGACTGCTGGGCTTTCCCCTTCCCTTAGCAGTTTGGACTAGCTTTTTCCTGTCCTCTTTTTACAGCCACCGCTGCTCCAACTCTATTGGGGGGGGGGGGAGCCTTTCTCAACCACAACACTGACCTAAGGAGACCCCATTTGGGGTTGGGACTCAGAGTTTAAGAAGTTCTGCTCATACTTTTTTTCTTATACAGGACTGGTGTCATTCCTGCTACATTAGCATTTGATATCTATCAAATAGCCTCTTCTCCATTGAGGTGGTTTTCATTCCATTAGTTTCAGAATGTAGAACACACCTAAAAGCTTTACATCCTTGGGGGGGGGGGGAGAGAATTTTCCTTTAATGAATCAATGCAAATTAAGCCCATTAACATACCTTAATAAAACAGGCTGTAGCTGCAGAAACAGAAGGTCAAGCTCTTGTTGGGAGCATCATCCCAAAGAAATCATAGTGGTGTGCTTTGCACTCAAGCAGGAGTGAGTATGTTGCAGCCCTTGATTCATATGCAGTCAATGGCCTCTATTTTTGTGTGCCCCTCCCTTGCCCTCCATCAGTTTTTTAAAAAGTCTTGGCATGATTTTTCTGTCAGTTGTAAAGTCAAGAAGAGCATGTAGTGGGACAAAAGGGAACCTGAATTGCTGTGAGTTTTCTGGGCTGTATGGCCATGCTCCAGAGGCATTCTCTCCTGACGTTTCACCCACACTTATAGCAAGCATCCTCAGAGGTTGTGAGGTTTGTTGGAAACTAAGCAAGGGAGGTTTATATATCTGTGGAAGGTCTAGTGTGGGAGAAAATAACTCTTGACTGTTTGAGGCAAGTGTGAGACAAGAGTTTTATTCTCACACCCTGGACGTTCCACAGATATACAAATCCCACTTGCCTTGTTTCCAACACACCTCACAACCTCTGAGGATGCCTGCCATAGATGTGGGTGAAATGTTAGGAGAGAATTCTTCTGGAATATGGCCATGCAGCCCGGAAAACTCACAGCAATCCAGTGATTCCAGCCTTGAAAGCCTTCGACAACACGAAGGGGAACCATTTGGATAAAGTTTTTGGTTGAGGAGGCTCTAAAGATTTAAGAGGATAGTGGAAGTGATTGCTTCAGACTGTGGTTGAAAACTCCTGCCCCGGGAAGATGCACAGCAGCATCTTAGGTGCAAGAAGTGATTGATAGAGTTGCAGTGAGTAATTGATAGAGACAGCAACAAGGAGTGCATGAAGTCAATAGAGCCTAATTGGGGAAAAGAAAAACACCGGAGTCGCAGCATCTCATCAAGAAATGAGCTCTCATTAGCAACTGCAGTGAATGACATTTTGTGAGCAACCAATGAAAAAATACTGGGTTCCTGTCGACAACACAATGAAAAAATAAATTCTTTCCTCAGTGGGGCATGTCCAATACATTTGAAATCACCATGTTCACTGTGGTTGAATAAGAATTGTGCTGTAAGATATTAGGGGTGCTGAGAGACCCTTTCTTCCTAGAATTTTTTGAAATTTCGTGCTTTTAATTCCTGCCTAAAGTGGGAATTGTATGGCCCACTTGTATGGCCCAATATTCCCATTGATCTGGCTGTACTGGCTAGGGCTGCTGGGAATGGCAGATGAACAAAACCAGGAAAGCTATACAGTTCCCACCTCTGGTTTCAGTGTAGTCATGTACTGCTGGCTTTTGAAAATACACAGAAAATCCAACAAAAACCCTTGCTTTTTAGACCTCTGCCATGTCATAAACTTTGGTTTTAGTTCTTGACTATTTCTTCAGTACACAAAGAAGAGTTGAGGATTAGCAGTCTCCTTTGCAGGAAAATGACTCCCTCCCACTCCTGGACAGACCCGTATTGTGATACAGAGGGGCTGCTACCTTCATGCTTGCTCTTTTCCTTGATGTCTGGAAAGGCTCAGATAATAATTGCTTTCTTTGCCTACCAGATATCCTTGGCTATTTAGGTTGGAGTGCCACCTGCTGGATTATTGGAAATCGGTTTTGTACAGAAAAGAAAGAGCCATTTTTCCTGCTCCTCTCTGGATCTGAATAAGAACCTTGCCTCCTTTATGGCCTTTCCACATTATTAATTATGTTAAAATTGCAGTGGCAGATAAATATAGGTAAACTTGGGAGAAAAAATGTAATAATATGCTAAAGGGTCTCCTTTTGAGGTTTTGTGGAAAATCCAGATTTGGTGATGTGGAAAATGGCTCCTGGCATAAGAAAAAAACCCTTGGGGCAGAGGACTCATATTCTCCAGTCTTGAATCTACTCATGACACATGCCTGTGAAAGTCCCCCTTAAGTATCTCATAGGAAGGACGTTTTAGTTTCTCTGCCACTAACAAGAGTCCAGCAGCAGAGCATCTTCCTAAGGTTCAAGATCAACGTGCCTCCAGGTTCTCCTGATACAATTTAATCTTGAGTTCGTAAGGTTAGGGAAGGAAGCCATATGCCATTTTGGCACAAGGAGAGACATCCTGTAATAGCCTCCTGTCTGAAATGAGAACTATCAGTCAGCCAAAGGCTAGACCTTTTGCCCATTTTTAATGCAAGGGGTTCATCTCAGCAAAGCTGCCTTCCTCGGGGAGCTGGTGGATGTAAAGGGACGTCCGCCCAGGACGTCCGCCCTTTAACACCCAAGACTTCCCATTAAAATCATACTCCTCTGGCACTTGCAAGCGGCACTGCGCTCTGACCTCTAATGCTGCCGCAGTCAGCAACAATGACTCTATTGTCAAATAAGCAGTCCCCACAACCTAACCTCTCCCAGGAGTTACAAAAGCACTGAAATTGTCTTTGAATAGGCTTGATTGCTGAATAGGACCGCAAAGTAAGTGTAGGAGAGCAACTGCAGCAGTCGCAGAGCAGCCCTTGACTTAATCTGAAGCTTGCTTTATTTATGACATTTATATATATTCCAACCTCCCACTAAAGATTTCAGGGTGGAACACCTCAGGGTGATCCCATTTTATCCTCAAGTAAGGTTAGATGGAAATGGTTACTACAGATTTAGCCTGTAGCCATGGGGAGCTACTGAGCTTATTCACCGCCACAGTGAACTCGTGGCAGCTGTTTTCTAAATAATTAGCAAAGGCGCAGAGTCTTCTTTGTGAAGTATCTGGGCTGGCAGGCAATTAAATTAGCAGGGAAGCGTCCAATTGATGTAGTTAGCAAAGACCGGTTGGCCCCAGAGCAAAAGAGCATAGACTACTCATGCAGTTCACTAGTCCAGCAGCCACCTGTTTGTGTCATCTAATAATTACTTTTGAGCTGACAGTTTTACTTTAGCTCAAAATAGTCTACAGCACACAGGCTGATAAATAAATTGTTTGCATTTGTCGGTAAGAGTCAGTGGTTCCCAACCTTTTTTTGACCAGGAACTCAACCAGGGACCACTTGACCAGGAAGCACTTTGACCAGGGACCACGCCCCTACATTAGCACCAAAAGGGTTATGAATCAGTTTTTGGTCAATTTTCATTTCAGTTTGGTTATTTAGGGTGCCAATTCAGGAAAGTACATTGGATAGACCACATCAGCTCTAGTTTCTGATACAGAACATATGCCATCCAGTAGTTGCCATCTGCTCACCCAGAGAGAAAACCATATTTAATAAGCCTCAGCACTATAAGAGGGTTTCATGAGACCAGTCGCTCACGTTGCAACGATGAGGCTGTGGACCATGTTTTAGTTCTTCTGGACCACTGGTGGTCCATGGACCACAGGCTGGGAACCACTGGTAAGAGTATATTAGGGTTTAGAATGCTGGTGAGAAAATAGTTCCATGAACTTTTTCACACTCTGGTCTGGGATCAGCTTTCATCTGTTTTTAAGCTAAACTATTAGGTTACACCAGGGTCTTTCAATATTCAGCACTATGGTTTTGCTTTAAAGCTGGGGTGTCACACTCATTTTGTCAAGGGCCACATCAGCCTTATGGTTGTCTTCAGAGGACCATTGAATTAATAAACAGAGTATCTGTGAAAACAGAGGCCCAACAATAATTTATTTACACAGTGGTCAGTGCTCTTTAGTTCTTACTCAATGTAAGTCCCCAGATGTTATTGAATGACAACTCATCATTTTGATTATCCACTGTGTCAACTGGACATAATCTTCTTCCCAGTTAGAATTAAAAATATATATATTACATTTAAACCATAGCTACCCTAAATTCTGGTTTTGGATAAAGGTAAAATATAAATACAATTAGGAATAATAATTTGGGCTCCAAATGGAATCATTGTGTTTTATTCTGAGATACCAAATTGAATCCCACCACAATCCTCCTAAAGTTATTCCAGCAGTCAATATTACAGCACATCATCTGGACATACAGGAGCCATTTCCCTTTCTTCTCTTTTCTGCCTATCTCTCGAAGGATTAATTAGCAAACAGAAACGATACATTGAGCATACCTACATCGGTATTGGAGGTCTAACTGTGTAGAGATAATTTATACAATTTGCTTCCACCCCACCGTGACATGAGAAGAATTGTTTTACTCCAAATTTGCAAAACAGTATGAAAACTTCATCCAGACATACATCAAATGCAAAGTTAAAAACTCACACAGAACAGGATTCCCAGACTCCAACATAACCTGTAGGCGGTACTATTGTATTATAGACCCTATAATCTGCTTGGTTTGCTTTGAAAAAGTTACACCTCTGTAAGGCATGTAGCAGAAAAGAGTGGGGCACATATTTGTAATAAGAGAAATATAATTACATTCCCAAGGATAACTAAAGGAATTGCTTAGGGAAGACTAAAAGGCTTATAGTCCTCCAGTTCTACAGCAGCAGTTAGTAGAGGCGGCACTGGAAGAAACAGAAGATGCTTCTGGCAGTGGAACAACATTTTCAAACTGCTTAAGAGATACCTAAAATCCTTGTTTGGTCAGGCTTGCGTAAAAAAAGGCATTCCTAAAAAAGCTTAAGGATGAGACCTTGATTTTTTAAAAGTACGGTAATTTTATTTTGATGTGAAAGTGACATCTTGATTTAAAAAATTGTTGTTGTTTTTTTCAGAGAAAGAACTAAAAGTCCTTCGCCAGGAGAATCGCAAGATTGTCGCACTTTCAGCCGCCATCGTGCTCTTGGTTGTTGTTATTTACACCTGCTGGACAATGTGATTACTTGATGGCAAGTTCTTCCTCCCCTCACCAGATTAACTCAAAGGTGCAGTCACCTTCCCAAGTCACTTTGACACATCTTAGTCATCACAGGCAATTCATTGCTGACACTTGAAGAAAATTAGCAAAGCACAAACAGTTTTTCAGAAACATGGGGCTATTTGGTAGCAGAGCCGTAGTTACAGGATAGTTTTTGCAAAGGGACAGCAGGATGTCATTTTACTATCTGTTTCAGCACCAGGTGAAAACTGTGTTGTTCACACAAGCCTTACTGTGGATGTCTTTATAATTTTAATGTGATTTTCCCCGTTTTGTATCTGTATTTTAATGTCTGTCTTTGATCTAGTCAGTGAATTTCTGCTACAGAGCAGCCATAGAAGCAGGGTTAATAAATACAATTTACTCTAGTAATCAATAATGTCTTCATTTGTCTGCTCTTAGAAAAACCTCCTGTAATGTCTTGAATGTTCCTGTATCAGTCATTTTAAAGCTGAAGCCTTTTGTCTTGCCTAATTGTTTTCTTTATGCTTCATCTGCCCACTTCCAGTCCTTGCATCTTTCTTGGCTCATATTGCATGGAAAGGACCCATACGCAACACAGAACCTGTGTCAAGTATGAAAGCTGTATTCATTTATATAGTTCTGTCATGGAACTCAATGTAACACCTTCAACCGATCAAACCAAATTTGATAAAGCAGTAGTTGATGCCAAACACATTTCTGAACCTGATAGCATTCACAAACCTTTTGAAATATAAGGCAGGGTTTATCTAACAGCAGAGATCATTGAAGCTGAAAAGATCACTGTTCTCATTGTGAAACCCAACCTCCTCTTCTCCTTTCTGAAAATGCCTTTGAACACAGAACATGTTCAAACATGCATGCTGTCAGTTCAGCCAGGGCAGCTATGCATGTTTCTCTGATTTCTCACTTGCTTTTTAAATGTCTCGGTTTCTCATCACGCTGTGTGCACTTTTCTCACTCACCCAAGTACTGTATTGATTTTGGAGGTTTTTCTATTTCAGGCTTCCTTAACCTCAATACCTGAACATTCAAAGGCTTTTCTATTGAATAGCTTTGTATGTTCTTCCTCTTTAAAAACGTTTGCTTTATTATTGCCTGGCCACAACATTTTGACCACACTTTGATGCTGCTCAGCTATCCATGTCTCTATTTTCAGCCGAACTGTTAAGACTTGCAGAGAGATGGCAGGTTGCTACAGATAACAAAATCTGCAGTACTACATATTAATGGGACTAGTTTAAATTTTAAGAATTGCATTTTAATCCCATAATTATTGAAGCCTGTAGTCTCACTAGATTGCATATACTCCACATTACTTATAACCTCATAATTGTAAATGTGCGTCCCTGTGCTTTTAGTCTGGAAACACACTTTAATCAACTGTGGACTCGTTACTCTATTTTGTATATAACTTGTGTGTTTTAACTTTAAATGGGAGACGTTATAGTTGTTATCTCTAATACTATTTACTATAGTCATCCTTTAAATTCCTCTGCAAATTCCCTGAAAGAAAACGTTCCTAATGTGATTATTTCTTTGGAGAAATACCTTTGTTTACACGTCATACTTTGTCTGAGATTTGTTTAAAGTGACCAGACTACAAATTCTAAGTATCCTGAAACTACATTTTTTTCAGTGAGTTGGGGTCTTGGTGTAAGGAAACTTTAGTTGGCTAATTGTATGATCACTTTTATTTTAAATGCAACACATCATTTTGAATTTCCCTCTATTCTATTTTTAAATATATATATATTCTGTTGGAATGCCCAGCTCATTTGCTTAGGATTTTTTGTGCGTGTGTCAGGAGTGACTTGAGAAACTGCAAGTCGCTTCTGGTGTGAGAGAACTGGCTGTCTCCAAGGATGTTGCCTAAGGGATACCCGGATGTTTTACCATCCTATAGGAGGCTTCTCTCATGTCCCCAAATGGAAAGCTGGAGCTGACAGACAGGAGTTCACAGCGTTCCGGATGTGAACCACCGACCTTTCAGTCAGCAGTTCAGCCAGCACAAGGGTTTAACCCATTGCACCACCGGGGGCTCATTTGCTTAGGCTAAAATTAGTTGATAGCTAAACTACTGAAAAGAAGTTCTGGAAAAGGGATCTATCCCTCCATAAGTAAAAGCCCAGAGTCTAGATTCATGCATCTGCAGGCTAGACATTAAAACCAATCATATCAATTAGAGCAGCCTAAATATTATAAATACAGACAGCACTTAGCCTGTCCTGTCCTACTGCACATAAAGGGGCAGAGTCCTGTTCATCACACTATTTATAAAATGTTTAGGCCAGAGTTTTGTTTTTCTTTGAACAGTCTGTATGAGCCAAGAAAAATGAACAGTATGGAATTATAAGGACTATATAGGAAATGAAGAAACAAAAAGAAAAAGGGAATAACCACAAGTAAAACCACAAGAGCATCACAAAACATATTCTGTCAACATCATTCTCCTTGTATGTGACCTCCCCAAGTGGGTAAAAAAAGATGACATCAGATTACATTATCCATAAGTTCATACCCAGTGTTTTTAATATTCTATCCATATAATTGTCATATTTCTTCTGAATTACCAAAGAGAAGCCATTCTTCAATACTGGAATTACAATACTGGTTCTGGTTTCCATTAAAGTAGTTTGCTTCTTCATGTACACAGCTTTTAAATAAATAGATTTTATATGCCTTCAAAAACCAGAGACCTTAGTACATTTTTGAATGGAAGAATCTTGACTCTCATATGACAGGCAAGGAACAATAGATACAATGGAGATAAATAACGTGATGACAAAGATTTCGTATATTGTGTCCCCCAAAATACAACCTTCCCCACCAATAGCACTCAAGAAATAGAGTAAAACCAGAGTAAGGTTGGTCAGGCAGTAAAAATGTCTGTGAAAATGCTCCCAAGCCAACAAACAGGAAACCCTGAGTATGAACATACTCCTGAAATATTACAATCCTGAAGGGAAAGGTGTGCCCAATACACATCACACTCTTCAGTACTTTTACAAAATTAACACCATAGGGCTCAAGCTGAACGTGCGAGAGTGCATTTTAATTACTTTCCTTCTATCCTATCTGAAATATAAATCAGCTGCTAATTTGGAGATTAGGCCCCTTGGTGGCACAGCAGGTTAAACCGCTGAGCTGCTGAACTTGCTGACTGAAAGATTGGCGGTTCAAACCCAGGGAGCAGGGTGAGTTTTCACTGTTAGGCCCAGCTTCTGCCAACCTAGCAGTTCAAAAACATGCAAATGTAAGTAGATCAATAGATACTGCTCCAGTGGGAAGGTAACGGCACTCCATATGGTCATGCCGGCCACATGACCTTAGAGGTGTCTACAGACAATGCTAACGCTGGCTCTTCAACTTAGAAATGGAGATGAGCACCACCACTCCCCCAGAGTCAGACATGACTAAATTTAATGTCAGGTGAAACCTTTACCTTTATTTTAATTTGGAAATTAAGCCTTGCTGTTAAGTCCTGGCCAGGCCTAAACAGAGCCATAATTTATGAAAAGTCAGTATGATTTGGAATGAGCCTATTCCTGCCAAAATCACATTGAATAATTATGTGACTATATACTGAACTCCAATGATGACGCTTTCATTCAGGGATGGGCAATACACAGCTTTTATTTAGATCACAAAGTGCTCCATACCCATTTTCATAAACTGGAAGATGTGTGTGCTGAGGGAAAAATGTCTAAGGAAAGAGAAATCGCCATTTCTGGGCACGCACACACTACAATTTTGTTTTGCTCCACAAAGTATTACAAAACTGAAGCCTCCATCCAGGTAGTATCTGCTTGGTGTTGGTATGTAGCCTACAGGGCCTGAGGGCAAGGATGGGGATGCATTCATGATTTCCAGAGCTGGTCCACACATGCTGCAAAGTGTCCCCCATTCCTGATGTTCTTATGGAAGAGCAGCTTGACATTTTAAAATAGAATCCCATTCATTTCTAATCTTCCAATGTCTAATGACAGTAATTAAACAAGGCAGCTGTTTCAACAGAAGTGAAGCCGAAATGTATGTTGACCTTGCAGCCAAAGTACAGTAGATTAAAAGGGTTGGGCCTATTTCCCTTGGCTAAGTTTTCCTTAACTACAACAAATGGAAGATTTAGGTACTACTTACCAGGAGGTTTACATGGATTTCCAATTGAGCTCTAGTTTGGGTGAAGCCACACCTTACTCAACTGAATGTATTTCCCCAAAACTGAACACTGGGTCTCTTTGTCCATTTCCTTCAAGAGGGGCTGAAATTTGGGCACCATCTACACTGCTGTACAGCGTGGACTCATATAATGCAGACTGAACTGCTCTGAACTGAATTATACAAGTCTACACTGCCACATAATCCAGTTCAATGCAGTTTATCTGAATTCTGAAACTGCATTATATGAGTGTAGATGGGGCCTTGGATAGTGCCTTTTGCAACAGGAGATCTCAAGAGTTTTCTTTAAGGCACAACCTGGGCAACTGTCCCGCACCACATTCTGGTGAATTTCCTCTTCTTGCAACCATGAGCAAATATTTAGTATCTGCACTGACTTTGAAAATCTTTTGTGGCTTGTCACTGCCTGAATTAACTAGAAAACAAGGAAGACATGCTTTCTTTTTTAAAGAAGTCGTAATATGTGGAAAGCACAGTTTTGCTTCTCTGAATCCAAGAAACCAATTCACAAAACTGGATTCATGAGTATTGAAGAATAACTGTTGTGTGTTTTTGCTCCATATGGGATTTTCATTCCAAACACGTAGAGGTTTATTTTAGGAATTAAAATTCCTTTCCTGCAAGAGGGCTGGATAGCTGAAATCCAAGTGTTTCCTCTCTTTCAATCCAATCTATACATCACTCGAACGCCATCCATTTTCTCAGCCCTACAATTCCCCAACACTGAACAAAGGAAAATTACTGGGCATGCCTCAGTCCCAAACCAAAGGTGCTCGGTCTAGTCAAGAGTTTGGAGATTCCATTAGAGAAAAATCCTTGGGATTGTAAAACCTGAAAAAGGGGCGGGGGGCAGTAGAAATGAGCATAATACATTTACTTTGCATAGAAGCATAAAATCAATCTCATGTGTCATTACTGACAGCAAGTACACCAAAACTCTTACAATCAAGACCTCCATCTGTTTGGTTTCTTCCTGATAAGACATATCTAAAATTCCAAAGGACAGAGCCATGAAAACAGATAGGGCAAGAATTAGAACTTCTCAGTAAACTCAAATTTGGCTCATCATACCAAAAAAAAAAAAAGCCCAAGCAACAAACTCAGGTCATTAAAAGCTACCTCTCCCTTTTGTCCTCATTCCTACCCTTAAGGAACTCCATCAGGAACCATGTGGTCCTTCCCTTACAGGTGACATTGTGGAGTTGTGTGCATATTCTTCTTTGATTTGCTGTGCTGTCTGCTATGTGAAGTCCAGATGCAAAGTATTGAAACCATAGGGGTGGGAAGGAGTCCTAGAGAGGTATGGTGAGCATCAAGGCAGAGAAATATCCACTGATCCAGGAGTCTTAACTCTGTCGCCAGCAGCAAAAACTGCCAGGAGCAGATGCATATGTACAATGCTGTTTTGCAATCCGCAGCTTCGTCTCATGTTTTCTCCACCAAGTCCTCCACCACTTGATCCATGTCCTCTTCCGTGGATCACTCTGAGTAGCTGGAAGAAACTTATGCTAATCTGCAGCTGATGATTCTAACCCAGGCTCCTTCCCTGTCCCCCAAGACTTGGCGACAGTCTGCTCATAGGGTGAATGTTGCCGAATGAAGGATAGGACAGCATCTTTGGACAGCTTCTCTGGGTCTTCCCTTTTTTGAGAATCGTGCACTTTGACGCCATCTCCCCATTCCCAGAAGAGGCGACTGAAGTAGCAAATGCTGTGGACAAAGTAGACAGAAATTAGGGTGGACACCATGGTGAAGGTGATGGAAGGAGCAGTGGACACGGCTGCATATAAATGTCTCCAATCGCTACAGCCTCCACTTGGACAAATCCTGGCATCAGGTGGGAAAGGTGTGGGCAACTTTATATACACTAATGTATCACAACATACTGTTATGTTTGGTTAATTTCCAAAATCTGGCACTGATAATTCTCAAGCATGATTTCCTTGTCCCTTTGCTGCTGCTATATACAGGTAAGTAAAAACATTGGACAGCGGAATAGGAGGATGGGACCCAGTATTGCTCTGTTACTTCTCTACCACACTCCCCTTTTCAACTACCTACACAAAGCAAGCCCACTGAAATATGCCTTTCAAAGCAGAAAAGCATCTGAACTAGCCAGAAGGGCTACACCTAACAAGGAAGTAATCAGGACAATGGCCAGGAGCCAAAGGTATCAACACAATTTGGTGAGGACAAAGAAAATATCTTCTTACCCTTCTACAAACATAATTTCTGTATTTAAAGCCTGAGTGTGAAACTCTCTCTCTCTCCCTGCCATCTCCCCACCAGCAGAAGACTTTTACCTATGAAGTTTTTTTGAAGTGTGGATATTAAAAATGGAACTGTAGTGTGTGAAGTATGCTTTTTAAAACTATGCTCTAATCATGTTGTAGGCGTTTTAAATCGTGTTTATATTTTTTAAATTCCCTTTTTAACTTTTGTTACAATGTTTTAGCTAAATCTTTTTAAAATTATTAAACAGCAGAGCATAAATTTATTTATTTACTTACTTCTTTATTGTATTTATAACCCGCCCTTCTCAACCTCATAGGGGACTCAAGGTGGCTTAGATATAAAGGCAACAATTAGATGACAAAAATCACACATAATAAAAACATGAACATTAAAACAATCATTAAAACATAATAAAACCTTAAAACCAATTATTTAAAATCACGCAATCCAATATCGTAGTCCGTGGCCATTCCAATTTGTCATTGCACTATTTCACCTTTTCTTATTGCACTGATAGATTACTCATTGAACGCTTGGTCGAACATCCATGTTTTTAGCCTTTTCCTAAAGGTCAGGAGGGAGGGGACTGATTTAATTTCACTTGGGAAGGAGTTCCATAGCCAAAGGGCCGCCACTGAGTAGGCCCTGTCTCTTATCCATACCAACTACGCCTGTAAAAGAAGCGGGAGAGCAGGGCCGCCCCAGAAGATCTTAATCTCCTTGCCAGCTCATAAAGGGAAATGCATTCAGACAGGCAAACTAGGCTGGAACTGTTTAAATTCAGCAACTAAATAACGAAATGAAGTTTTAGCTGCCATGTATCCACTTTTTGTCAAGATGACCGAAAATAAAATTTCCCCTTCTGGCCTTCTACAAAAATTGTACTATAATGTGGTTCAGTTAATGTTAATTCATAGGTGAAGGAATTTGAGACTTACGGAGGCTACATCTTTAATTGTTTAACCTTCTGTACCATTATATCTCCTCGCTTACTGCCAAAGTATGCAAAAACCCACAAAGACTCGCCTTCTGCTACTTCTTAGTATTAAGATGCAGCAGATAAGCTACATAATTTGTGTTAGGGCCATGCTCATGTATTTTGCCTGAGTGGCTGTACAGTTAGCGTTATGGCAGAAGGGATTTACTGCCAACTCTGGGCTTGGGATATTCTTCTTATACTTGAAGATGTACCAGTAGTTAAAAGTCATGGGTTCATCAGTCATATTAACATTTTTGCTAGGCCTAACTTTGCCAAGTTCACAGATCAATTCTTCAGATTCTAAATTCTAAATACAGCACGGACAGACGTGCCAGTCAAATCTATAAATGGACACTGCTTTAACAGAAGCAGTTTTATTTTTGCCTCAATTCAAAGCAACAGAACAGATAACAGAAAGTATCCAACATACAGAAAGCAAAGTATCTTTTCAGGCTTCTGAGATGGTATGGGAAAGCAATCTCGTAAGAGTCGATATAAAAAAACCTACAGAAGATTTTAGAAAAGTGCAACAAACAGAGTAGGCACAGCAGTAGCTCTCAACTGCTCAGCATGTTTAGTGGTTTAGATAAAGATATTTGGTGCATTCAGATTTTTTAAAAATATATATTTTTTGAATCTCTTTTATTGGTCTGAGACAGATTCTTGAGCTCAGATTGTCCTCCAAGTTCAAAGTGCTATAATTTTGAAGAAACACTGAGTAGCTAATTGGCCACAGACAAGGCAGCCTTCGAGTCCAACAATTACTGGTATTTAATATTCACAGCCTATTTAGCTACACTGTCCTAGCAGAGCCGTATTAGCACTGTGACAAGAAAATAGGTGTCTAATTACAGCCACATTAACGCTCCCAGACGATAATGCAATACAGCATATCCATTACCAAAGTCACTCATAAGCTTCTTCCCATTTTTAGAGCTTTCCTTGAGATTTCAGCTGAAATGCTGTCATGGGATAAGTATAATATGGGGTGGGAGAAGGGGGAGCTGCTATTTGCTGCCTGTTTAGCGAGCTGAAAAAAATTAATTTAAAAGAGCTCTCACAAAATCTTTCAAAACTCACAAGTGCAAGAGAAGTGAGAGATGAGAAGCCAGTTGACAGAGGAGTTCCCAGGTCTCAAGCACTTTCAGATCGGAGCACTAATCTGACTTTTTTCATAGGATCAAAAACAACCTCCTGAGAATGAGATCCTCATTGTCTGACCAATTCATGCTGTTAATCCTTCTCTTCACCTTCTTAGCTTTGGATACGCTATAATTCCTATGTATTACATGTAGCAAATGTTATTGATAAGCCTTCTGACTGAGAAACAGTCCCGTCAACATTTTTTGTCTTTATAAATAGGAAATACTTACTATTATTAAATTTATAAAATTATTGGTTTGTTGTAGGTTTTTTCGGGCTGTATGGTCATGGTCTAGAGGCATTCTCTCCTGATGTTTCGCCTGCACTTTGGCAAGCATCCTCAGAGGATGCTTGCCAAAGTGCAGGCGAAATGTCAGGAGAGAATGCCTCTAGACCATGGCCATACAGCCCGAAAAAAACCTACAACAAACCAGTGATTCCAGCCATGAAAGCCTTCGACAATTCATATAAAATTATTGTTTATTGAAATGGATAAAGCAATAAAGTTACATATAACCTATAGGGCAAAATGCCAAAGAAGAGAGGACAGTAAAGATAAAATAGCACTAGGCCCCAATTGAAGGTGTAAGGCTGATTTGCTATAGAAGCAGGCAAGGAATCTAGATGTAGTAATAATAATAATAATAACAACAACAAATAAATAAATAAATAAATAAGCCAGAATTGAAAAGTCGACAACAGATCCCAAGAGTAGACTCTGCAAGGAAGCAGATGAAACTATAAATCACATCCTCAGCTGCTGCAAGAAGACTGCGCAAACAGACTACAAGCAGAGGTATAACTCCGTTGCTCAGATGATTCATTGGAACTTGTGCCACAAATACCATCTGCCTGCAACAAAGAACTGGTGGGATCACAAGCCAGAAAGAGTTACAGAGAATGAACACGCATGACTTCCGGATTCAGACAAACAAGAGTTTTGGAGCATAATACTCCTGACCTCACAATCGTGCTAAAAAATAAAGTATGGATCGTCGATGTCATAATCCCAGGTGACAGCAGGATTGAAGTGAAACAACGGGGAAAGCTGACACGATATGAGGATTTAAAGATCGAACTGCAAAGACTCTGGCACAAGCCAGTCAAGGTGGTCCCAGTGGTGATCGACACACTGGGTGCAGTGCCTAAAGACCTTGGCCTACACTTAAACACAATCGACACTGATAAATTACCATCTACCAGCTGCAGAAGGCCACTTTACTGGGATCTGCACGCATTATTTGCTGATACATCACACAGTCCTAGACACTTGGGAAGTGTCCGACGTGTGATCCAATTCAACAACCAGCAGAGTGTCTGCTGTGGACTCATCCTGTTGTGTTTCAAATAACCATCATCATCATCATCTTTATTTAGATCCTGCCACCATCTCCCCTAAGGGACTCAGGGCGGCTTACAAGGCACTCCAGGATGCACATAGATGTATCCTAGCATTCTACTGTAGAAAGCTTCCCAAAATATAATGGCTTATCTTATAATCCTAGGCCACAAATCCTGTTCTCTTCTCCCTGAATCACTACTTCAGTGTTACTAATGGCATCTCCAAAGCAAGGATCCCAATAATTGAGACACAAACACAACTGAAATTCATAGAATCAGAGTCAGAAGAAAACGGGACATCGTCTACCCATCCGCTATGCAGGAAAAGTACAATCAAAGCAACCTAATGAGATGTTATATTGATATTTAACTGTTTATTATGTTACTATTTTAATTGTTTTTTAACTGTTTTTATGATGTTGAGCATTGAAGTTTTGCTATTGTTAACTGCTTTGAGTCACCCAAGGGCTGAGAAAAGCAGTATATAAATGAAGTAAATAAATAAATAAATAACCCCAATAGATGGGCATCTAGCCTCTGCTTAAAAGACCTCCAAACTGGTACTTCATGGCAGCAAAACCAAGGATCCTCAGTGAGTTACTGGGAGAGTAAACCTCCTCTTCCTCCACAAACTGATTGTAAAGCAGATGTGATAATTGCTATGAGAAATATTTGCTGCTGTCTGCATTCAACATCTGATGAGTGTAAAGCAAACATATAGTGCTTTCTTGGCAAGATTTGTTCAGAGGGCTGGTGCCTTTGACTCCCTCTGAGGCTGAGAGAATGTGACTTGCCCAATGTTGAACCATGGGTTTTTATGGCAGATTGGGAATACAAATCCTGGTCTACATAGCTGTACCGTGCTCAAATCACTACACTGCTGGCTCTAATGAGAAATATAGTGCTTTGTACAAATACAACGGTTCAAAACATTTTTACAACTTCCTTAAATAAGAGAGCAAAGCCTAGAAAAGTAACTTCTATGGACATTGGCAGCTTACCACTACACAGTTTAAATGAGAGCTATGTAGTACAGGAGTAAAAAATGTTATTATCACTAGCCTCCTATTCTTCTCAACTAACTTAGCATTATCAGCCAGATGGTACTCACTGAAATGGTGCAACAGATTCTGCGGGAAGCTCGTATGTGGAAGTATGTGTTGTCTTGTTGAAGAAAAATTTCCTGTAAGAATTTTTGCTAAATGCCATGGTCCAGGGATCTGTGAAGAAAAGCAAAGAGGTCAGATCAAAACTAGAAATGTGTACATAAACATAGGAAACACAAACAGCAAGTCTATGTGTATGTCAAAAACCTGACTGCTGACATGTGCATTCATCCACTGTAGGAACACTAAATCAAGGTCCCACATGTTATTATTCTCTCCTTCTATTTACCCCAGAAGATCCTATGTGTGCAAACTACTACTTTGACCAATTCTGGGTGCATCTACACTGTAGAATGAAGTCTATCACTACTTTGCCTTCCATGGCACTAAACTACGGAATCACAGAATTTGTAGTTTTACAAGGTCTTTAGCCTTCTCTGCACAAAGAGTGCTGGTGCCTCACCAAACTACAACTCCCAGAACTCCACTACATTTGTCTGTGACAAAGTGGTGTCAAACTGCATTATTTTGACAGTGTAGATGTACCCTCTGACATCACATTTACCACAGGAGAAATCCAGAGGGCATCGGGAGGAGCCTTTTAAGAACTACCTTCCTACTCAGTTACCATATTTCTTCCATTCTAAGACACCATCAATCATAAGATACACACTAATTTCAGTACCCCCAACAAAAAAGTGTAATATAAACTTTGTTTTCAGAGATGCTTATATGGGGGGAAAGTGTGTCTTAGAATTAAAGAAATATGGTATTCTTGCTGCAAATCCATGGGGATACAGTTGTAACAAGAACAATATTCTTTGAGTAAAAAAATAATTCAATTTAACTTTTCTTAAAATATCAGCAGTCCCCCAACAATGACCAACATACATTTTGGTGCCTCAAATGTTAGCCCTATTTCAGGGTATCTCTGACCTATGGATTCCAAAAATGGCACCAGTTTTCCCCTATCAGCTCTAGTTTTTGAGATACATGTCATCTACCACTCGCCATCTCCTTATCCATAGTAAATCATGCTAACTGTATCTAAGAAACTAGAGCTGATGCAGACTATCCAATGCAATTTTCTGAAGCAGTATCTGAAATAATCCCAGAAACAGGCCTAAAATCCAAGACAGCAATAATTTTTGGGGTTGGGCTATGTTATCAATATTGCTCCAACGAAGTATGCATATTCCAGACTTTGATCCTGACTGTCATAGCAGACAGGGGAAAAAACCTACCACTGACTGTTCGAACAATGTACAATCCTGTGGGGACAAAGTGCCGGTCATCACGGCCAGTGTAGGACAGCCGCAGTATCCCACTTGAGCTCTTAGTAATCTTCATCTCTAACCTGAAAGACCAAAGAAATATATGTAGAGAGAGAGTGTTCAAGCAATAAATCCAGAAATCACATGAACTTGGAGCAAATGACCCAATACAAATCCCTGCTCAGGTATTAACTCATGTTTGTCTCAATTGCTAACACAACTTCTTATTCTATGTCCAAAGTAATCAAGACTTGCTCTCAGAAAATAGCTAAAATAAGGCAGCACAGAGTGGATCCACAAGTTTTAGCTAGCTTTGGTAGCCATCCGCATATTTATTTTTGGCAGGACCACTGCAGGGGAGGTTTGTGTCCCTGATTAAGGCTGCACCTCCAAACAGTAGTATAACAGCTGGGTAGTACACTTTCTGGGTATTCCAAGCTCCCACAACGCGCAGAGCCAAAACAAATTATGGGGGTTCCTTTTTTCCTAGAATACCAAAAATTGGGGGCAATTGACAAAGGCTGGTTGAATGCTTCCCATGGCAAATGATACTGTGAAGCCTGGAATAGGACTAACAAGGAATTTTCTACATGAAAAAGCTCCAGAAACTATTTGGAAGAATTTAATGGAGCATAACAAATCAGAAAACTCAACAGAGAACTTTGCAAAGTGGGAAAATATCTACCACTAAATAAATGTTAAGATCTAAAAAAACGGAAAGAATGTTTTATTTATTTTAGTACAATCTATTTTAGTGCAATCTATTAATGTCATGATGCAGAATATAATTATATGGATGTTTACAGAAAAGCAAGTATTTTCTCTGAAATTGAATTCATTCAATTCAGTTGCATATGAAAAAGAGAAAAAGAAGATTGAATTCTGCTGGACCAGGAAAAAAAATACTACTGCAGATTTGGCTACGGGGAATCAAGTTTCCTTCCATGTTCCGTTAATTACTAATACTTTTCAAAAAGGATGGGGTTTTCCTATGAAAACAGTTATCATCCTCTAAATAGAAATGTGGTGCAATCCCATTTTCCCAGCCTTACACCATGGAGTTGCTCCAGAGATCATATATGGAGCGGGAGAGTCCATGCACACAAGGTGGAGCACACTGAAGACAAAGTGGAACAGAAACATAAGTTTTGAGTCAATAAAATAAGGCATTTCTGAGAACATACCTCAGAAATATTTTTTCCATGTCTTCTAATCGGTACACTTCCTTCACTCTGGCAAGAAAAAAAAATCAAGATACAGTTAACAGATTCATCCTCATTTCTCTTTGGAAACAAAGTTATATAATCTTCTGAATATAAGATTCTAAAATAAAAGGAAAGCTATGACATCGTTGCTGAGGCTGCATTTAAATACCTTACTAGATTGCCAAAATCCCCAAAACCCATCCTTCTTTTTAAAATGATGTTACTATACCTCATGCCCACAGAGAAGAGGTGAGAGAAAAAAAGACCAAAAAAACTAGAAGACAATTTCAAATCAAATGGTTAGCATTCCTAGGACATGGCATTATAACTCTGAACATTTTGGATGAGCCTCACCAACTGTGACTTCGAATAGCTGATGGTCTGCTGGTTCACAGCAGAATTGTTACTGGTTATCTTGCCATAAATTATTTCTAAGTCACTATCAGAAAAATACAGAAAGATCAAATAGCTCCTATACAGAAAATTAAACTGAATTGTGAAAATGTAGTAGCAATCAGTAAGTTTCGCAAAAATTAAATTTCTCACCTTTTCCCCCCTTTATTTCAGGGCTGAACTGACTGCTCTTTCCTGAAGCCTGACTCATCCACTTGTTCTGGCCATGACAAAATTTACAGTACAGGCATGCAAATAGTACCATACAGGTACCTCTGGTCACTAATTCAATATCCCGACAAATCAAACTAAAATAGTGTTTCTCAGAAGCAGCCCTGACAATCTGTTTTGCCAAGTTTTTGAAAGTTGAGATTAATACGTAAGACCATTATGGCTCTACACATGCAAAATAACCCCAGAAACCATCCAGTATCTTAAAGATCTGACTCACCTGACTGGGTTCATATCTGGCCGGCTGGGTTTAGAGACAGCCTTCACAAACTTCTCGGCCAACTGAATTCTAGAGAACCAACAAGAGAGATGTCAATTATTATTATTATTATTATTATTAATTATTATTATTATTATTATTTTACTGACACAAAAACACAGCAAACGAGATCTATATGCTGGATTTCGTATCACAAAAATCACAAGTTGAACACTTCCCAAGCATCTAGGACTGTGTGATGTGTTTTCGAATGATGCGCGCAGATCCAAGTAAGGTGGCCTTTTGCAGTTGACAGATCGTGAATTTGTCAATGTTTATTGTTTCCAAATGCTGGCTGAGATCTTTTGGCACGGCACCCAGTGTGCCAATGAGCACTGGGACCACCTGTACTGGTTTATACCTTGGCAGTTCGATTTTGAGGTCCTGATAACGGCTGAGTTTTTCCTGTTGTTTTTCCTCAATGCGACTGTCATCCGGTGTGGCGACATCAATAATCTAATCATTTCATTTTTTCAGTAAAAGGCATCCTGTGATCTATGCATAAACTGTAAGATTTGGTTTTTGAAAAAGTTACCTTCTCTACCACTGACTTTCCAGTACTTTTCAGTGGAAACTAATAGCAAATTATTAAAGCTTGCCCACAGCTGGCCTATTCCGAAAGGAGAGGTGAGTAATACATTTTTTAGAATGTTGTTGCTGTTATTCTAGTGGCGGACTACTATGGCCATCATCATCATTTTGAATAAGGGTTGTGGGAAATACAGTCCAGCATCTCTGGATTGAAGAAGACTGCTATGCCATGTTCTGTAGCTAGAGAGCTCTCACAAGTCTTCCCATTCTGCTTCAGCTACTCTGAACAAAAAAACACCTGTTTGACCAGCACAAGTACTATCATCACATTGCAAAACACTAGTTCTACTCACCGCTGATTGAAATGTTGCTCTCTGATATCACTGCCATTTAGTACCAAGGCATCTAAGATATGGATGGCATTAATTTTTCTCTGTGCTTTCCCCTATAAATAGGAAAATGGGTGCTATATGAAATGTTACCATGATTTTTAAATAGGACACATGTAGTTGCTTCTTCAGCGAGACTACAGAATTTTTAAAAGAATTAAAAAAAAGATTTTTACAAATTATGCTCATAAAACCAACAGCCTTCTATGAATAACACAACATGCAAGCTTTGGAATGAAAGTCACCTTGAGCTAATATGTGAAAGATGATGGAAGCTGGCGTTCATCAAATTTGGATAGCTCCATGTTCTAGCCTATGTAGTTTTCAAGTTTATACATAATTAGCAGATATATCTGGCATTGCCCAAGTGTCAGTGGGCCACTGCCCACTTGCTTTCTTCCTTCTCCAGCAATGAGAAGGCCTACCTCACAATGTCTCCATAGCAATGCTCTGACAAAGGCAGACAAACTTTCTTTACGGCTCTTCCTTCCCTTCCTTCCTTCCTTCCTATCGCTCATACACCTTCTCCCTTATGCACATTCCACCTCTTTTTTCCTTCCTTCATTCCCTTCCTTTCTCCCTTTCTTTCCTATCCTCTCCTCATAACTTTTGCCCTTACTTTTCTCATTCTTTTACTTCCTTCCCCCTACTTTCTCCCTTTCTTTCCTTTCTTTCCCTTTCTTCCTCCATTCCCCACATAGACAGGCAATTAATTTCACATGGCAGAGGGCCACTTCACCTAGCCACAGCCAATCTACTTTGTTCCTTTCAGCACAGGAAAGAAACTCTGGACTTTTTCCGCCTGAATTTCTGCTAACACTATCCATGTTTCTAACCAACTTGAAGGACAGGAAAAGAAGCAGGGCCATTACATGGCACCATCCTTACAAGAAACCCCGGCCTGCTGATGGAAGGAATTAATCCCCTTCTAAAAGAAAAACAGTCTCTGACCTCTCCTTTTAGCTCATGAACAATCTCCACAGACAGAAGAGTGTCACGTGGCAATTCTGTTTTCAGGTCCAGTTTAGTCCACCGATCTGATGGGCGACCAGACCATGTGTATATCTGAGACTTCTGCATATAAACAAGCACAAACAAGGCAAGATCAGAATCCAAAAAAATTCATCAATAGAGACACATACTTTTGGATATCAGATGGTACTGGGATGAGAGAGACAAGACAGACTTTTCCATAGCGGGATGTATTTTTACTATTTAAAAAAACGGTCAGCAGCCAGAGGAGAGGGGGTGCCCAACATTATTCTGCTTGCTTAGAACTAGCTTCTCCTCAGGGATGACACACAAAAAGTCACAAAAGAAAAAAGAATTATGGGAAGAACAGGATGCATCAGGTACACACGTATAGTTAATTGTTTATTAAATAAGGCATACATATCAGAGAAAAAGAAAAAAATATATGATAAAGGAAATCAAGTAACAGAAATGCCATTCAGTAATGTTGCAGGAAAAAAGGAACTACCTAAACATTTGGTGTGGAACTCCCTTCCCAGTGATATTAGAGCAGCCCCCTCCTTCCTGGCCTCTAGAAGGAAAGTAAAAACCTGACTTTGGGATCAAGCCTTTGGAGATCAAATATAGTGCAGTAACAGCTAAGGAATGTGTGAAATGATTGCTAGAACCGACCCGGATTGTGGATGACATAATTTTAATAGTGAATGCAGTGTTTTTATATGTTTTAATGTGCATTAATTTTAATTTAAAATTTTAAAATAAATGTATTTTAACTGTATGTTTTCCAAAGGCACTGAATATATGTGTATATATATGTGTGTGTGTAAATATATATATTTTACATTATTTATATCCCGCCCACATCAGCCCGCAGGCGACATATGTAATATATGTAAAGCCGCCTTGAGTCCCCTTTGGGGTAGAGAAAGGCAGGATATAAATAGGGTAAATAAATAATAATTTGGGAATAACTTCCTGAAAGTGAGAGCTGTTTGGCAGTGGAATATGCTGCCTCAGAGAGTGATGGAGCTTCCTTCACTGGAGGTTTTTAAGCAAAGGCTGGATGGCTATCTGTTGGAAGTGCTTTGCTTGTGCATGGCAGAACAGGGTTGGATTGGATAGCCCTTCTGGTCTCTTGCACTTCTATGATTTTGTGTTAGCCAAAAAGTAAAATAGGTTTGTTCTGGAATATACACAGGAGAAGCTGGGGACTAAATGAAATTCTGCCTGTGCCCTGTGTTGATTATAATGTTTTTGATATACTGATATTTCCTGATATATTTAATTATTGCCACTTACCCCTAGGGCCAGAAGAAACTTCTGTTCACCTCCTGATACCATGCATCTGTAATCCAATACGGGACGGATCTTGTCCAGTGTTTTTAAGTTGAGAGGTGTTGGTTTGTAACTGAAGATCTCTATGTCAGCACCCTGAAGGACAACAAAATAGAGGACTGGAGATTTTATCCCATGCGTCAAGGCAGTCAATTGTGGGACTATTTTTGCATCCATGGACCTTGAAAGGCTATGTTCATCCCACCCCCACCCGCATTCTTAAAGGATTTGTGACTACTCCCGCTAAAAAGCTGAGGCACTTTCACCATACTCTGGAGGCTTCTACGCTGTTTTGGCAATTGGAGATTTTTTTCCAATTAAGAAGTAAAGCAGAAGTCAACTTCTAATTGAATTCCTGATCAGGGGGGGAAAGCCTCCCTTTGGCTTAACATGCCCAAGGAGAGGAATGGCAAAATTATCCACTATTTGTTTGGAGTATAGGATGGGCTTTCAACTAAAATGCAAAGCGAACACCACCAGAGAGTGAGGGGAATGCACATTCTCACTAGTTCCATACAAGAATGCTGCAAAAACTGGCATCATAAAAGTATTTCTGTGCTCTATTTTTGCATTCAGTGGTCTATCCTAGTCTATGGATACTTTATGTGGAACACAAGTCTTTCTAAGAGGAAAAAAAATAAGAAGAAACTTTAGTTAGTATAAATTTAAGGAAAGGTTGAAACAAACACATTGCATCATACAAGTGTGTGTGTATGTGCCTCCACGTCACCCATCAACACCTGGTGACCTCATAAAAGTTTTCTTAGGGAAGAAATAGTCAGGAGTGGCTTCGTCAGTTCCTTTCCATGAAATGCAGTCTAAAGTCCCAGCAGTCTTCCTTCCATGAACCAACCACAACTGACCCTGCTTAGCTTCCAGTCTTACAATAAAATACCACAATTTCATCTGAACATACAGAACAAAGAAAAGCTGAAAGTCTCACCTGAATTAATTCAAAAAACTTGGACTTTGGATCTGAAGATGATGGAGCAATTCGGGCCTGGTCTGGTATCTATTACAGTCAAAGAACCAATTAAAATATAGAGGGATTTGGTTTTCCCAAACAATCATTACTTGTCATCTTTTGCTCACATTACTGCATACATAAATGATACATAAGCACTACGGAATATGAAAAGAAAAGAAAGCTGAGGCAAACACAAGTTGAAATATTTAAGTTTTATAAGAAAAATATAATGGAACTTTTCCTTCTATCAAGCTGTTGCTGGAGCAAAACTTTCCTCTTCCTCCGCTAATATTGTAATCCTCCCATTCTTTCTTCCTCATGAATAGAAGAATACAACACAGAGTAGTAGGGGGCTTCAAGCATTATTACAGGCAACCCGTGTTGCTTTTGTACACGCCTTCAAAATACCCACTAGACTGGCAGTTCATTTAACTGTGAATAATGGGACCAAGAATTCCTTTTCAAAGAAATATTTTTTCATGCAATACATAATTAGCCTACAAAAAATATTACTACTAAAAACCCACACAATCCCAGGCTCATGCCGAGACAAGCTGGAGCTGGACTTTTTTTTTCTTTTTTCTAAAATGAGTTGAGATTTTTATTTAATCCTGTGGCATCCTCAGCAGGGTAATCCAAGTTTCATATGTTTGGAGGGGGATGAGCTCACTTTAAGTATTCCAATTCTTTAGGATATCTGAGAGTTCTCTGGAGTATTCCAAGTATCTATTCATAGTTTGCAGACACAACACATGTCATATACAAACAAAACTGTAATACTGAAATTTAGGTTTACCTATCAAGTGTCAGGTTTTTTTAAACTTTATATCATTTCTGAAATGACAGTAAGTGATTATAAAAGAATCAGGACAATTCCAGCAGCAAGCATTAAGGACTCAACCACTTGGCTAGCACTGAGTAATTAACAGCCAGGGTGGAGTAGCTGAAGAGTAATAAAGAAGCAGAAGCTTCTCTGTAGTTAGACAGTAGGAGTTCTGTAAGTTAGATGTGTTGAGCTGATGGAGATGGAGATACAGAGAGAATGAAGGAACAATGAAGACCAGAAAGAAAAGCTAAATACTATGGTGAAGGTATGAACACACTGGGAGTGAAAAGAAGGGCTGGAAGAGAGTCAAAAAACTCTGCTGTATATTTTGTAAATACAGCTGTATAAAGTTTTCTACAAAGATACAAGTTGTGCTTGTTTGCTCCTTAGCCGGAGTGAGAGCACTTCTGCTGAAGAAGGGGGCTGGCTTGTTGCTGAACAAAGAACCCCAAAATTTTGCTGCGACATCAAGAGCAATACCACACCATGATTCTTTTGTAACAACCATGGACTTCATTTGAACCACTAAGTAATAAAAATGTTGAACTAGATAGAATCTTTTTGTGTTCTTATAAAGAAAAGACACCATCTGATTATCAAGAATTTCCAGACAGGTTCTCTACCACAGAGCTTGGAAACGTTTCTTTTTGTACTAAAATACCCAGAATTCCCCAGGCAGCATAATCCCTCGCCATATTGGCTGGTCAGTGTTATTAGCTGGAGCCCAACAATGTAAAACCTCGCATACCTCAGGATCTCTGAAGGTAAGATATCCCTCTTCAATAGAGAATCTTTTTTGCCCATATTTGGAATGTAAACATCCCCCCCCCTTCTTCACCCCTTTCCTATATTTAAACAAGATGACCATTAAAAAAACATATATGACTACACTTCTCTATTCCATGGTATTACTTACCCCCCAGAGCCGGAGGCATTCTTTTCTGATGTCAGCCTGCCGCGGTTCATTCAAGGTCCTACAAAAATAAAGTTTATTAAATTTTGCAGCAAAATGAATATAACAAATCTCCTAGTGCATCCCATTGAGAGATTCTGACTTTCCATTCATATAATAGATAAGTTTTCTGTGTACATGGTTCCTTTGGCATAGCAGCTACAGTGGAGTCTCGTTTATCCAACCTTCGCTCATCCAACGTTCTGTATTATCCAACGCAGTCCAGGGTGGGAGAAAGGAAGAACCCTTGTATGTTTTGGTGCCAAATTCGTAAATACAGTAATTACTACATAACATTGCCGTGTACTGAACTGCTTATTCTATTGATTGGTTGTAAAACATAATGTTTTGGTGTTTAATTTGTAAAATCATAATGTAAATTTGACGTTTAATAGTCTTTTCCTTAATTCCTCATTATCCAACATTTTTGCTTATCCAACGTTCTGCTGGCCTGTTTATGTTGGATAAGCGAGACTCCACTGTATTTTTTAAAGGCTGTTCATGGTAATGATACAGATTACAAGTCTACCTAAATGAACATATATGACAGTGAAGTTCATATTTACACTGACTCATACTTTCTCTTTGATTTCTGTCTAGCTGGAAGTTGGTGAAAAGCTGGAGAAATGCAGACAATTAGTGTCTGGTTGCAGCAGCATGTCTGCAGTAAACAATACAATAAAGCCTGAGCTGAGAAAGAATTGGATTCTACTGCAGCCTACAACAGGCAAAAGAAACAGCAGCTACCTCCAAACTCGTTTACTAAACTTATGCGAACAGAGGAACACAGAGAAAAGGGGAGACCAAATAAGCTTGTCTTACCAACTGTCCCCAACATGTTAAGAAAGACAACTCTGTATGTCCGGTCACCAACATGGAAATCGTAAGGAAGATGCAAACTAGTGAAAGAAAAATAATCCCTGGACAATATTCTGAAAGAAGGCTTCAAGTGGTCTCTCAATGGTTCAAAATGTTTGGTTTCCTTTATGCAAAGCTTAGCTAGCCTGAATGCTTTCTGTCGTATGTGAATATTGTTAGTTTGGAATAAACAGATCGTTGAAACATGTTGAACTGATCTTCTTTATTTTAGTGTAGGAACCTATCCCTATTTTCACCCTGTTATTTCTAATTTTCTGCTGAAGAATCCAGGCCCAGGAATACTTCTAATTTGTTAATGCAGACATACCTGTAGTTTAAAATAATTACAGACTGTGAACATGGGAAACCCTGACTCTTGTTCAGAGCAAAGGAAAATTAATGCAAAATGTGGGCCACAAGAATGGACCTGACTTCCAAGATAGTTTATTTTGCTAACTTTCTCTGGATTCAGCCCTCTGCACACTTCATTTTCTCCACACCATGTTTAATTTGGTACACTCACCAAATGAAAGTTGTATACAGTAAGACTGATTCCATAACAATTCAAGCAATACAAACATTATGTCCCAGCAAAATGCTTAATTTCTGTTCTCACACAAACAAGAAGATTCTTTTGACTCACGTGTCTTGAACAAAAGCACGGATTTTGGCCAGCGCTTTAATCTGAACAGCACAGAGTCTGAAAGACAGAACAAATTAATTTTAGAAGAGATTATGTGATAGACAGAAAAACTTCTTATCTACAGGTTTGACAAATTAGAAAAAGCATGAAAAACAAGCAAATAAACCCACACTACTGAATAAGGCAGAATTGCCCAAATTAATGAGATTTGATATAACACTACAGTGATATATTTCAGGGATTAGGAAGCACTTCATCAACACTCTTCCTCCCAACGGATGTTTCAGAAAAATACTCTGATGGAATTAAACTGTATCTGTTATTATTTTGTTTGGAGAAGCCAAGATAAGATAAGGATGTATCTGATGAAATACACTGCACTGAAAACAAATATTCACAGTTTCTTATGATTAGTTACACTATATTCTCATGTAGATGTCTAGAAATTTTATTCAAAAAATCAACCCAAAGAATCTGGATCTAATAACAACAACAACTTTATTTTTGCACCCTGCCTCCACCTCCCTGAACGGAGCCCCCGGTGGTGCAATTGGTTAAATCCTTGTACTGGCAGGACAGAAGACTGACAGGTCAGAGGTTCAAATCCGGGGAGAGCGTGGATGAGCTCCCTCTGTCAGCTCCAGCTCCCCTTGCGGGGACATAAGAGAAGCCTCCCACAAGGAGGGTAAAACATCAAAACATCTGGGCGTCCCCTGGGCAACGTCCTTGCAGACGGCCAATGTTCTTACACCAGAAGTGACTTGCAGTTTCTCAAATCGCTCCGGACACAGGAAAAAAAATCTCCCTGAAGGGACTCGAGATGGATTACATATGGTACAACATGGCAAGACAAAGCATAAAATAACCACACAGTACAATACAGTAAAAACTACAGCATATATAAACAACAGTTTAAAACTCATATCAACACCCAATGACCTATCCAATAACTTATCTAAATGTCAATGTGAGTAGTGTATCTTACCTCCTCTGAAAAAAGAAAGCCTTCCCTTTTCTGAATAGAGTAGTAAAAGCAGAGTCTTAGCTCATGCTGGAAAAAAACTAAAAAACAGTATTGATCTCTCTTGCATGGCACTACCTCTGGCCTTTTTGAATATAAAGGGTCTGGAGAACAAGCCCTATGAGGAGCGGCTTAAAGAGCTGGGTATGCTTAGCCTGAAGAAGAGAAGGCTGAGAGGAGATATGATAGCCATGTATAAATATGTGAGAGGAAGTCATAGGGAGGAGGGAGCAAGCTTGTTTTCTGCTGCCCTGGAAACTAGGACACGGAACAATGGCTTCAAACTACAAGAAAGGAGATTCCATCTGAACATTAGGAAGAACTTCCTGACTGTGAGAGCTGTTTAGCAGTAGAACTCTCTGCCCCGGAGTGTGGTGGAGGCTCCTTCTTTGGAGGCTTTTAAACAGAATCTGGATGGTCATCTGTCGAGGGTGCTTTGAATGCAATTTTCCTGCTTTTTGGCAGGGGGTTGGACTGGATGACCCATGAGGTCTCTTCCAACTCTATGATTCTATGAATGCCCAGGTGGGGAAATGGCAGCAAGGAGCAGAAGTCCTTCCCTCAGTCGTCGTCCCCCTCCTCAGGGAAGTTGGTGTTTTTCCTCTCTTTGCAGAATGATTCCTGACTTACCCATTGATTATATCAAAAGCCAAAATTTAGACCCCAAAACCTGCACTCAACTGATACATGAATTCAACCTACATATGGGTATATACAGTAATTTTACTAAACTAGAATAAGGCAGTACAAAAAGCAATCTACCCCATTCTACCACAATCTTCTTGGACTAAATTTAGAAATGTGTAGAAGTTTAGAACGAACTTAAATATGTGTGCTTGCAATTGCCTGTCTCCAGCTTGGACTTTGGAGGCCAGAACTTGGGAAACATTTTTCGGGATGATAAATTCCCAAATTCCCAGATACAATCCTGGGAACCTGGGTTCTAAATACAGATACAGGCAAAACTAGAAAAGGAAGCACTAGAAAAATCACTTCAGTGTTTGCTCATTGACATTCATTTAGTCTGAACAACAGAGAAGTATATGTAATAAAACACACTACTCAAGGTCTCTTTAACTTGTAAATGATTCCCCAATAAAGGACTCTCAAAGAAATAACTCTTGTAAATAAGGTAGCATGAGAAAAGTCACTAAGGAATACTAGTTAAAGTCAACAAAACCCATTGCTTTCTCATATAGCTTCTCTTGTTTTGTCATGTTGTTCCTCTTCAACCCACCTTTCATTTGATCTGACCATGTAATCATGGAAATCATGGTCGCCTTTGATGACTTCTAGGGGGACAACCAGATTTACATCCTGGTCTCTGCTGCGCAGCTGGTTGATTCTGATATTCACTGTGAAAAGGTAGTCTCTCACCTCTTCAATTCCAGACTTCAATCCACGACACACAACATATCTGCAGGACAAGAAAGGTTCCATTTGTTCATGCAACATCATGATCTATCGGTGAATTAATTGGCCATCTTATATGGGTAGTAGAAAGCGCATTATCGTTTTTAGCACATTCAACCCTATAAACTAGGGACTCCAAAACCCAAATCCCTTCATGTTCTTACATCACAACCTACATGCTAATTTGGGATGGATGGAATTTCAGGTGAGCATGCCAGGAATAACTACGTAAATCACAAGTGGGCAAGCCGTGGGGAAACAGGGGACAATCTGCCTTCCTGGGACCTGCTCTGAGTCACACCAGCCTCAGAATAAAAAGACATTAGTGATTGGAAGTCAATTTCCTGTTTGTTTTTTTGTGAAAAAAGCTGGGAGAGGTTGTAAGGAAATTGTCATGATTATGCTATGTTACCAGAATCACAGCTCTCAAGGCAAAAGTTTGTACAACAATGCCAAGGTCAGTGTTCCAAAGTCAAAGTTCAAATAAGAAATGATAAGGACAGTCCAAAGCCATAGAGCCGGACTTTAGCACAGCAGGTTAATCACCAAGCTGCAATAAATCTTGCCAACTAGAAGGTTGACAGTTCGAAGCCTGGGTCAGGGTGAGCTCCTGACCCTTAGCCCAGGTTCTGACTACCTAGCAGTTTGAAAACAAATGTGAACAGATAAATAGGAACCGCATTAAAGCGGGTAAGTATTAAGGCAAGTGGTTTCGATCAGAAAAAGGAGAAAGCCTACAAATAAAGAAAGCTCTTCGGCAGGGAGATGGAGCAGCAGCACCTCCGCCCCCCCCCGCCCCCGGTGGCCGGAATCAAGCACAGGCTCCAAAGATGCCAAAAGATGGGAAAGCCTATATATAACTCTATCTGTTGTCTTTCTTGTCATTGTATAATCAGCACTGAATGCTTGCCGTATGTGTGTTCTTTGATCTGCCCCGAGTCCTCTTCAGGGTGAGAAGGGTGGAATATAAATACGGTAAATAAATAAATAAATATTCTAAGTTCAATTACTGGAGTCAAAGCTGGAGAATTACAGGGGCAGGTTTGGGATAAACAACTGTAAAAAAGTTGAGCATCTAGGAGTAGCAGTTGTTGTTCAGTTAGGGAACAACAACACTGACTGACGCAGCAAGCCTTCAGATTGAATCTCTTTATCCTAAGTTGTTGCTTGTGGAGAGCTCGATTCTCTGCTAACCTTAGAACTGCAAGACCCTCCACATCCCCTTCTGCTGCACTCATCCTCAGTAGTGACTGAACTAAACTGGGGAAACTGCTGGGAAACTGCTGGCCCTTCTAGCCACTGCTCACCCTCACTATTGGAGCTGGTCATGCCAGCAGCAAGGTAAGTGAGGGAGCTACATCTTGTTTTAAAGGATAATTGCCAGTCCTGAGGGTTTTCAGTATGACAATTCTTTCTTTTATAGAGTATTTTTTCTCCGGGGGGGGGGGGGGGGGGGGCAGAGCTGGAGAAACATAGTGCATGTAGCCCATGAACCACAGGATCTCCCAACCCTAATTTAGACAGGTATCCACTGTTTTGAAAGACAAGAAAATGGGACATACCAAGAAGCCCAAAATGAGATGCAGTATCCTTAAGCCACAACCGTGTGCATACTTAACTAGAAGTGCATCCCACTAGGCTCACTGAAATTTTGAAAACTTACCACAAGACTGCGCTTTTAGAGCGACTGTGGGACTGTGAGGAGGGGTTGGGGGAGGACGCAAAAATTCCAGGGGCATCAAATTAATTGGAAAGGGAGAAGTTATGTAATTTTTTCATGTTAGTATTCTCCCCCTCTAAGCTTGGAATAGTAATTCAATGAAATCAGTTAATAACTTGTTAGAGGGTCTACAAGCCAGGCACTTTCTGTTATTTTGCTGGCTTTATAGAAGTAATTTGCTACAACTACACAGAAATAGCATTGTTAATTGTTCTACCACTTTTTGAAGCTGGAACTCAGTGAGAGCTACAGCCAACACCTATATAGAGAGTGTGGTTGCAAAAATTACATAATTAGTGCTTCCAGGAGACTTCAATTAGGCTTTCAGGAAACCCTGCTAATCCTACATGGCTTCCATTTCAAGGCTAAATAAAAGAATACTCTAGAGAAAGAGTTGAGAGTAGGTGCCAGTAGCAATGAATAATACTGCTATCTCCCTTATTCATGAAGGATAAGGAACGTCTGGCTCCACCACTGGGAAATACTTAACTTGGCAGTCTTCATCACGAGAACTAGTGCCAAAAAACAAGCTACTTCCAAACTCATTGATGTAACCGTCCTCCAAAAATATGTGAAAAATGCAGGAAAACCAAGAAACTGCAAACAGTCACATTGGCACAACTAACAGCATCTCTTGGGAGCTGTAGAATTACAAATGACTCCCTCACTAAACAAAATACATTGAAAATGTGCCAGCGAATGCTTAGATTCTGTCATACATTCAAGTGGTTGTCAAACATGGACAAAACCTGTGCTATACATAAAAATAAGTGGGAAATTAACAAAATTCTCTTCAAGAATTAGGTGGGCAATTGTCCATCATTACTGTCAAATACCCCTTTTCCCCATAAGCCTGCATTGCAATTCTTTTGCTGCTGCTGTTGCGTCTTCTGCTTCCTCCTCCTCCTCCTCCAAATATGGTGTTTCCAGTTGTAACATATCACAGAACTTGTTACCAAAGCTCCAGCGATTTTAAACCTTTTAGCATTACTGCAATGTTCAGAGAGACAGTTGCCTCTGAAGTTCTCCAGTTGCCATACTTCTCTGTCTCACCTCTCAGAATTGGCAGGACGACTTGTCACAGGTTTGAAGATCGACACACGCTCAAAGCAGCAATACAGCAAGTATACCAGGCCAACGCTGAATGGTGTGAACAAGTCAAAGGTTTTACAGATGAAGTGCCCTCCTAAAGCAAAACAAAAAACAAAAAAAAAACAACCACAACAACTAAAGCTAGTTTCTTAGAAAGAGGAAAAACACACACAACTTTTCCACTAATCACATTGTATTCCACTTTCTATAAAAAATACCTAATAGATAGCTATGGCTACCCCAGAGTGCCTTGGCAATAAACCTGTGAATAAGCAATAAACACATGATTTATACCAAACAGTTGATCAAAAGCAGCTCCTTTTGTCTATGGGGCTTGGGAGGACCAGGCTAAGGAGATCTCCCAGAGCATTATCTTGGGTATTTCAAATTACATTTTCAGAAATAATTCATTCGTTCAGGCAGACAATCTGTGTCCCATTTACCACTTCTCTTTGATTTACGTAAAACAGAAGAGGTGGGTGGGGAGAAATTCCAATTAAGGTAAATTGTTATCTGAATGCAATCTTTATAAACATCCGCAAGGGCAAGCTGGGAATTCCAGGACTTAACATCTCCCTTCCTTGCTACAAGATTTTCAGAATTGCCTCAACTGAAGAAATATAATGAGGGAGAAAACGCAGTCTCCAAATCCAAATTTAACTTCAAATACTATAATGCCTGCTTTACAAGAGGAACAGAAAAATCAACTTTGAAAGCCTGCAGGACATATGCTACATTTGAAGGAAACAAGAATATAGGAAAGTACAGAACACATGAATAACATGGGCTAGAAAAGGAAATATAGAGAAAGACAAAACAGAGTAAGAGACTACCTGTTCGTATAACAGAGAGCCCAGTGAGGAACTGGCAAAGTGTCAGTTGTTTGCTTAGAATCTCTTGGATATTTTCTTGCCCCTCCACAGAGAAACCCTGAAACAAACAAAGAAATGTGGTGCAAAGCTATCCATAACGGAGATCTGCATCTCACTTTGCCAGCTTTTGGCCTAAATGTCAATCAATCATAATTCACAGAGACCTTCCCCTCTTTGAAACACACATTGCTACCTCTTCAGTACCAGATATTTTATCAAAGACTTTGGAAGATTTTGCTCATATCAGTACATATTTTAACTGATTTAACTGCTAAATTTCATGCCTTGACTGTTAAATGACATGCTTAAGATTAGATTCTTCAAATTATTCCCTTTGTTTTAAATTTAAACTATCCTAATCTCTTTTCGATTGATTATATTTACATGCTGCTCTGACATCCTGTGATAATGTATGAGACATATTTTTAAAATAGACACATAGAGAATCAAATGTTGAACACACCACATTCCTCTCTCCTTCCATAAACTGATCAACTTGGCTAAAGTGGCCACCATTTAGATGGATGAATGAAAAAATAAGAGGCAGAGAAAGAAAACACCCCAAAAGCAAAATCTGAAAGGGGGGGATTATAGGTCTTATAAAAATATATTCTTCTCTTATCTCACATCTCTGTAATATGTACAAACTAGGAGCATGCAAGGAACCACTGCCAATGTATGCTTCACATGTTCTCTCTCAAACAGCTATTCTTCTTAGTAACACTCTTTCCAATGAGCTCTGCATATTATTACCGCATTTTCCAGTGTATAAGACTACTCGGTGTATAAGACAGCCCCCCAATTATTCCAGTTAAAATACAGCGTTTGGGATATACTTGCCGTATAAGACTACCCCTCTTCCAATGCACGCCAAATTAAAAAAAATCAGACTTGATTTCAATATGGTAATTTTCCTATTACGTATCTCCTTCTCTGCCTCTCAGATCTCGCACATGCGCATCTGCTGCAGACCTCAGGAACAAGATCTGAGAGGCAGAGAAGGAAGTATAGTAATAGGATACAAGGGCGGCCAGATGAGTGAAAGAAGCATGTTTTTCTGGGCACAGCGCCACTCTATCACTTTTTTCCATACCCCGGTTGTCCTGGACACCTGTAACTTGCTCCGCCCTTCACTTACACCTTCCTGGTAAGGTGCCCCCACACTTTGTCATCGGGACTGCATTAAGTCACCTCTTTCCATGAATCCTGCTGAATGTATTTCCTTCTACCATTCTTGTACAGCGCTGCCCTCTCTGCTTTCATACAGTCGCCACATATGGCAGAGATGCAGCCGGGACCGTTTTTGAGCTCCCCTACCATATGCAGTGACCACAGATTCTCTAGTCTGGCTTGGAAGTTTCAGCACTTCCCCTATAAGACAAACACCGACTTTTGAGAAGATTTTCCTGGGTTAAAAGTTAGTATTATGACATAATATGACCTATTCAAAATATACTGTATTTTCTGGCATATATTTTGAATAGGTCGCATTATATCATAATACACAAAGACAATTTTACTGACTTCAGTATCTCAAGGAGCAAACAGAAAAGAGAAGGAACTTACACCATCGGCCATTAGGAAATGTACCCCCTTCTGATCTGTGTTGTCCAGCACAAATTTCTGGAAGGCAGTGATATTCTCGGGACGGGTGATATCTCCATCCCCCTCAATCCCTCCTTCACCTATGGGAAAAGTAAGGAATTTAATCCTGGCCATAACAGGTTACTATAATGATTTAGCACAGAATCATTTCTGAAATTTCCCACCGAGACAAATCTTGATACAAGCTCGGCCTGCCTACCATAGTATGGCTCAAAGAGTTCACTGGGGGCAGCATAAAAATCCTCCAATTTGAAGTCATTTGGTCCTTTTAAGGTCATCCCAAAACCTTTTGCATGCCATTTCTTCCTCCAAAGGACATACTCTGAGAATCCACCAGGGCCAGCACACACATCGGCAAAGTACAGGAGCTCTGCATCACGATCTTTTACCAGTGGCTTCTGCGAAAAAGAAATGAGAGCATTCAGACATCGCAGAGTCTCAACCCATCTAACCAAGCCAAATACTAAAGTTCTGAAACAGTTTACATGCCACTAATTATTTTAATAAAATTCCTCAGGATTTCCCCTCACTTCCCCCTTTCAGTAAAGATATCTAAGATACACAGATAGGGGGGAAAGCCTCACCCCATGAGAATCCTTTGGGTTTGTAAACATGGAATCGAAGACATAGTCTAGGTTTGCCATCTTCATTGCAGCTCTGGAAATGTAAATTGGACACTTGTTAAGAGCCTGCCCTTTTACTGACCTCAGGGCTGCAAATTGGAGAACCTCCACTGACCTGTTCAGGAAGAAGACCCCACGGATCATTTCGTATGGGTTGGACCTTGTACGGGCGCGGCGCATTTCCTCCCCATCGAGCTCATCGAAGACACTCTGTCAAAAGGAGAAACAAGCCACATCTAACAAGAAGGGGGCCAATGAGGCAGGATATTTTTCATGCACCTGTATCATAAGCATTATCAAACTGCAGAAATCTAAATATGGGGGGGGGGGGGGGGGTTAGTGAGAGATAAGACCATTCTGTAAATAGCATAGTGTTGGTGGAAATATTTTTTTTCTCATGCTACAACTCTTTCTATAGTGCTACAATAGATGTAGATGAATCTGGGAACAACAAATTGCTCTCTTTGATAGTAGACAATCATCATTTCCGTCAGTCAGAAACAAACAAAAGTTTTACTTCAGCAGGCTCTAAACCAACTTTCTGGGAAATAAATGCTTGTCTGGAAATTATCCCATCATATCACACCAATAGCACACATGTCTTTGGTACCTCCCCTGAATCTGTTAAAGTAGCCAGGCTCTGAAGTTGCATATATGTCACTAATACTTTATTTCAAGTGAAATGGGTTTTTAACAAGCAAAATGTACCTTGCACTGGAGCAGATTCTGTAAAAGTTCTTCTCCACAGAATTCAGTTTCATCTTCAATCACCAGCTTCTTCTAGAAAACAAAACATTGGAAAGGGTGGTGAATTATGCTCTTGTTACAACCAGGATAGACTACTGCAACCCGCTCTACGTGGGGTTGACTCTGAAGACTGTTCGGAAACTTCTAATAGTCCAACAAGAGGCAGCCAAGCTAATAACTGGGGCGGCATACAGGGAGCACACAACTCCCATGTTACGTCAGCTTCATTAGCTGCATGTTTGCTAAATGGCACAATTCAAAGCACTGGCTTTGGCCTATAAAACCCCATATGGCCCTGGCCCAGTTTACCTGTTTGAGTGAATCTTCCTTTATGAACCACCATGAAAACGAAGATCTTCTGGGGAGGCCCTGCTCTCAGCCCCACCACCGTCACAGGCACATTTGGTGGGAACGAAAGGGATTGCCTTCCAGTTATGGAACTCCCTTCCTGGTGAGATTAGATCAGCCTCCCTCCCTCCTGTCCTTCAAAAAGATGGTAAAGATGGCCATTGCCTAAGGTCTATTCCTCTGTCAACCAGAAGAAAGCTAACTGATATTTCTACATCCCCTTATGTAAGCAATCTCCTGCACAAGTGGAATTGTAACAGTATCCTTGATCCTTTCTGTTGCACTGGAGAACATTCATGGGAAGATATGGTAACTTAGCAGAGTCACTTCCCAAGCAACAGAAGAACAGACTGCCATCAGTCAGTGACTGTTTCCTATTAAGTAGGACCTGGCAGGGCTAAGGTGTGATTCACTATGCAACATCGTAACTATGGTGCTCATGCATAAACAAATCCAATACAGCAGGGATGTCAAACTCATTTTCATTGAGGGCCACCTCTGCCTTAAGGTTGCCTTCAAAAAGTTGTTGAATACATGGACCAAAAAAAATCTGTGGATGCAGAAGGTGGTTGGTGCTTTACCTACTTTGAGTCCCCAGATGTTAGTGAATGACAACTCCCATTACTTTTGATCCACCATGTACAAGTATGTATAGAGAGCATATACCTATCATAACTCCTGCTTTCAACCCATGAATAGCTACAAGGTCCACACAACAGATGCAGAGGCACTGGTAAAATGAGAAAACCAGCTTTGTATAAACACCCTAGAAATTGCTGACATAAATAAACAATTGCCTGATATCACTAGGAAAAATTACACGTTTCTACTCAGAGAGAAGATACTTGCAATTACTTGCAAAGGCAGAGAAGGGGGGGCTCACTGCTGTTGTTTACACTTGGAGCTATGTTGCTGCTTTTCAATGTATGTAAATGTTGAGGAGCAATATCGCTAGACTGCTGAGTTCCCTACTAAATGAAAGTAACCCTGCAAAAAATGTGGCTTCCTACTGTTGTGTTTGAACAGCTTGTCAAGTTACTAAAGCTTTCACAAATGCAGTAATTACATGGATTAATCTTATCTCTACAGCAAGCTGACATTGAAAAACAGGGGCAGCTGTCCCAGTACACCCAAGTGTATTAATTCACCCATTTTTCTGGGAGTTATGGATTCAGGGTGAAAAGAAAGAAAAAATAATACAACATATCTGCTAGGGATTCACTCAGAAAAGGTTCTACTGACTATAGAAAGAATTGTTCTGGTTACTGAGGATAGTACTTTATTGGTTTAAACAGTATCAGTCATTATATTCTGACCCCTATGGCTGTTTACTTGGTGAACCAGCGGAAGGAATACTTTTAATTTAACCAACCTCACAGGGCTGTTGTTAAAATAAAATGGAAGTAGAACCATGCAAACCTTCCTGAGCTGCTTGGAATATAGACAAGACAAATATGCAACAAAGTAAGTAAGAATCTGGGTTGCTGTGAGTTTTCCGGGCTGTATGACCATGTTCCAGCATTCTCTCCTGACATTTCGCCCATATCTATGACAGGCAGCCACAGAGGTTGTGAGGTTTGTTGGAAACAAGGCAAGTGGGGTTTATACATCCATTTTTTTCGTAAATTTTTTGGTAACGTTCAGATGTTTTCCAAGGTCAGTTTCATTTTCACTATAACCATTAAGCAACTTTGGTAAAGCTTAACTAAAGTAAGAATTCATTGAATTATGAACATTTAATTAAAAGATCATGGTGCTCCACGTATTAAAGTGCAAAGTTTGAAGCTCATTTTTTTAAAATATGTAACTACCGTTATTTTGATATGCCTCCATAATTTTTAATCTCATCTAATCAAGTGTACTTTTGGAGTTACACATTTAGAAAGTTATTTTCCTATCTTTTTTGGCCTATCTAATAGTATCTGTGGATTTAACCAAACATTTTGGATTTTTAATTCATTCAGTGCTTAACTGCTCTCTCTTGGTGTGCAACTATAATACCTTCCCTATCGTCATCCAGTCCTTCATTTCCTCTGCATCTGGAATTTCAGTGGTACATTCTGGGAACCAATCCACTTGCTCATAAGCAGTAGCCTACAAATAAGAATAAGAGGGTTTCAGAAGAGGACAATGCATTGCAGCAATAACAAATCCTCCACTGCTTGGATCAAATCAAAGCTCAACATAGTTTTTATGCTAAGTGCAAATAATGAACTGAATAATGAATTGAAATGAATTCAGATAAAGATTCTAAGAATCTTGATTTCTTAACACTACATACAAAGAGGAAAATGTTTTGGCATTGTCACAATCTCTTATTCTTAAATAAATAAGCTGTAGAATGCAAAAGATTGACATGGGAGCTAAATATAACCTCAGCCCTAGCCAACATTTTCTCACAGAAATTAATCAGATTTACATGAGTTGTGAATAACAACTCCTATTTATTAAATTATTCAGCACTCTAGGACAAACACTACATTCGACCTTTGTTTTTTAGGATGCAAATCCTCAAAATTATTTTGTCATGGACATCTGCCAAGAATGCAATACAAAAGGGAAATGCATCAGACTTTTCCATTATACAAGAAAGCCTGAAATTGTGGGTGATTAGGACATATGAGAAGGAACTTATGGAGGAACTACAACCATGAATAAAAGACATCATACAAACCTCCGGCTCATCCTGCCAGTTGATGTTCACCTCTCCATCAAATCCTTTAAGAGTGAGTCCCAATCCTCGCCTTCCTTTCTGTTGGGAGGCCTCAACGATCTCCTGCCTTCCCTGGCCATATTTTCCGAGTCCTTCACCTTCCCGAAAACCCATTTTGGCCTGTGAAAAACACATAAAAAGTTATTTGATAACATATGCAAGCAGGTACGTACACTTCTATCTGTGTGCAAGCCAACAAAATAAATAAGGACTCACTGGGCAATTGTGATTTAAAATGTGATGCATGGAATCGTTTTGTCACCTTTGGAAGTCACTCAACATGAGTAGAAAAATAAAGCTAAAGCAAAAGTATAAATAATTTAAAATTACATCTTCAAACAATGGCCATACAACAAACTGTATTATATGGCAGTGTAGATGGTGACTAAGGAGGCCAAAATATTATTACCTGCCAAAAAAAGCACTACATTGCTTTGTTTTTTATTTCCCTAAAATTAATATTTGCATTTCAACAAGGTTTTATTAACAGGCAAGTCTCTGTGAATAGGGTTCCCTGAAAACAGAACATTTCTGAGTTAAATAAAAGATACAATCTCTTTGCTAAGCTTTCACTCCGTTGATTTTTAATGTTTTTCCTTATTTCTTCTATTTAAAAAATTATGAAAAAATTAAACATGAATGAATTTTTGTTTTGTTCTCATGAATATGAAGAAGAAAAAGGGAGGAGGAGAAGAAATATTTTTTAAAAGCAGAGAGACCATACATTCTCATTACATTTTTGTGATGCTGAAATTCAATAGTGACCTATCACTGTATTCAGGCTTGAAAGACTTCATATACTTCTACCTACTATGCAACTGTCAATGCATCTCAGAAAAAAGATGTCAAGACATAAGGGTTCAATTATCTTTGTGTTACAATTAATATATCATTCCTACTATGAACATCACTATGTCTATTCCCTCCCTATTGTTCCATGTTCAATTTTTCAAATCTGCCCAGAGGAAGATCTGGGTACTCATGAGCTAACCTTCTGACAGAACAAAGACTATGTAACACTTCAATGAAATCTTCTGTGCTTGCCTAGGAGAAAATATTCTGTTATTTCAAAAGGGTCTCTGAAAGTTCTCTTGCTTCCTCTTCCCTCACTCTGATGTTAAATCACACAGTGCCAGACTGCAACAGGACTCCACGGGCCCCAAACAATACACTGTATTTATAGAAAAGTCTGTATCAAAGATTTATTGAGTTCAGAATATACTTGAAATCCTGACAGCCCACAGGACATAAGAATAAGGTGTTTGGGGTGAGCGTGTGTGTAAGCAGTAGAAAGAGCTTGGACATAGTTTAAGAATAGTAGAGCCTGCACTGCTTATAAGAAAATATTATATTGCTCTATTAGATGTCTGTAATGTACATCTGTCTGACTCTAAATTACTCCGACATACCCACATTAAAGCTCAAAAAGAGCTTTAACACTTTCTAAAATAATGAGTTTAATTTTCATATCTGCTCACTGTGGTGTAGTGGTCTGAGCGTTAAAATATGAGTCTGAAGACCACCCAACCATGGAAATCCACTTAGCAAGGCACACTTTCGCTGAACTCAGAAGGTAACTGCAAACCCTTTCTGAACAAATCTAGCAAAGAAAACCCTGTGATAAGGTCACCATAGGTCAGAACCGACTTGAAGGCATACAATAGCCAGCCCCTACATGTCTTGTGCCGAAATGTGCAGAAGGATAAAAGGGAAAAAAAGATGGCAGAGTAGAAGTATACATAGTGAATACTTTCCATATGAACCTTTCCATAATAGTGTACACTCTTTGTTTCTAAACCACTTTCTGAGATGTTGATGTTTTTGAAAGCACTTTTATTCATATTTGCCAAAGTTAGAAACAGACTCTTAAAATGAAAGCTATAACTAAACAATTAGGTTCTTGTGGGTTTTTTCGGGCTATAGAGCCATGTTCTAGAGGCATTTCTCCTGACGTTTCGCCTGCATCTATGGCAAGCATCCTCAGAGGTTGAGAAGGACCTTCTCAACCTCTGAGGATGCTTGCCATAGATGCAGGCGAAACGTCAGGAGAAATGCCTCTAGAACATGGCTCTATAGCCCGAAAAAACCCACAAGAACCTAGTGATTCCAGCCATGAAAGCCTTCGACAATACAACTAAACAATTGTTAGTTGCAAATTCAGAGCTTCCACGACTGAAGGACTACTGCAGATATATCTTGGTATGAAAAGGGAAGCTTTTCCAAACATACAGCATAAACAAGGGGTCCTCAAACTTTTTAAACAGAGGGCCATGTCACAGTATCTCAAACTGTTGGAGGGCCGGGTTATAATTTGAAGAAAAAAAATCCTATGCACACTGCACATATCTTATTTGTAGTGCAAAAAACACTTAAAAACAATACAATAATTAAAATGAAGAACAATTTTAACAAATATAAACTTATTAGTATTTCAATGGGAAGTGTGGGTCTGCTTTTGGCTGATGAGATAGGGTTGCGGTGGTTGTTGTTGTTGTTGTTGTGTTTTCCAGTCATTTCAGATTTAGGTTGACCATGAGCGAGGTCCGGGTAAATGACCTTGGAGAAGTGTATCCGGCCCTCGGGCCTTAGTTTGAGTACCCCTGGCATAAACAGACACACATATTTTCCAATTTGGTTTAAAGTAGCATGTTCTGGACACAGCTTTGACCTACCATGAGTTTCTGAGACACACTGTTATACATGGAGTAGCGAGAGGATGTTCCTTCCACAAGAGATTCAGTATTGAATGTACTGCTAAAAGAGCCAAAAGCAGGTCGCCTTTCATTGTTCTCACCATCAGACTCACTACTGCTTGTGGAGGACTCTGAAAAACAAGTAGCAAGAAGACTCACCATCACAAATATTTTGTTATTCACTGTCTATGAATACAGCCTTAGACTAAGACACACCAAACAAAACTATCTGCCACAGTACTCTTAGCCTCACCTTTGGCTTACCAGATATTTTGTTACAGTTAAAGTGCACAACATTAACTTTAATTATTCTGGATATTAACTTTCAAATAAAAGACAACTTTGATTTGGTTTTCTTTAAAAGTATAAAGTTATATGGACAATTCAGATTTACTTCACATTTTTTCAGGAACTAGCCATTACTTTTTGTATTAGAGACATCTAATTCTTCAGGAAAATTGTTTTTATAGTCCGTCCTTGTGAAGAAAATCAATTTTTACAAAATTTTGTGTTCATGCATTTCTACTGAGAGATCCATAGGTTTCATCGAACTAAAAGAAAAGAAGTTAACCACCAACCCACTGTTGAGCCGATAAATATTTGCACTGCTCTATTCTGTATCAACTGAATAGTCTTGAAGGGTAGCCCTAAGTAGAGTAATCCAGCACGGAAATAATCAAAGTATGATTTCATGAGGCAAAATCTACCTTCTCTAGTTAAGGCTCCAAACTGTGAGTCAAAGAAAAATGGACAAAAGCACTTCTGGCTACTGATAACACTTGAACCTTCATGGAAAGTGCCAACTGTAGACATATTCCTATGCTACCCATCTGCCACCTTCAGACGTTAGCTGGCATAGTGCAGCCCTCCTAGTGCTGTAGTTAAAACTACACCAGCTAGAACAGTGCAAATGAACTATTGGTCACTACCTAAACCTGCACAACAAGATTCAGTAATATATGCCAACCTGAAGTCAGGAATATGCCAACCTGAGTTTTCAAATGTAGCATCATCACATCAAACGCATATTGAATCCCTATTTTATAATTAGGCATACTCCTCACTTATCTGGATTAAGTGGATAATGAGGGCCATACTTGATTAAATATTATCCACAAACAACAAGGGTGACCAATAAAGATCACAAGACTAACAAATATTTACTACTGAATCTAAAAACTTGGATTGGAGTGGTTTACCAATAATAACAACTTTATTTTTGTACCCTGTTTCCATCTCCCTGAAGGGACTCAGGGTAGCTTACATGGGGACAAGCCCGAATTCAACATAGTTTAAAAAGAGCACAACACATTAATGGCCTTCTTTCCACAAATGCAGGCCTACGTCATACTCTCAATGGAAACCATACCCAGCTAGATCACTTATACGTTGCCCCCAAACTTAATTTAACAGCTCACTGAGAGATAAAAGTCTAAATTTGTGAACTTGCCTGACTTACTTTATGATAAAACAGCAGGGAATATTGAACACAAGGAAGCCACAAATAAAACATCTTGAATTACCTTGAGCTGCATGATTTGCAAGCTGAGTTTCATCATCAGATGTAGAGCTGAGGGTCAGACCCAACTCTTCAATCCTCTTCTTCTGTCTTTTCTGTGGACTAATATATTCAGGTTCTGATCTTCGCTTCATATTTGCTGTAAGAAAGAAACTAAATAGAAAACACATTTCCAAAGAAGCCCTCCATTAGGGATGTGGAATATCATGACACCATTCATCACACGTATTCGAAATTGAGTTTACTCTGTAACTGCATGATTAGGTTTTCTCAACAAGGGCACCCTAAAATCATATAGTTCTGTGACAGGTTGCTAAGGGTTGCACAAGAGATCATCATCATCACCACCACCACCACCACCACACCACTTTCTTAGAGATTCTCTGAGATCTGAAAATTATTTCAAGAGTTCCTTCAAGGTAAACATGTTAAGGCTATTTGTTTGGAACATGAGCAAAGCCTGAAAAATTAACGTTTCCTTCCTATTATTCATTTTATTTTTAAAAAAGAAAAAGAATAATGACCTGAACAGTGGTTTCCTCCATCAGATGGCTTCAATATAGCATGCCTCTACTATAAAAAATCAATTATATATTGAAAGATCACCCATTTACTAACTGGAGCTCATTTCTAACATCCACTTGCAAGAGAAAAAAACAGCCATTCTTCCTATTACCAAGAAGTAAGTTTCACTATATTCAGTGTAGTTTACAGTCAAATACCTGCCACACAATTGCAGTGCAAGACTGCAAACCTAAATATACTTTATAATGGGTAACTCCTGTTAATATAGTAGAATTTACTCTTGGTTAAACATACATGAAACCATTTTGTGTGTTTTGCTGAATTCAGCAGAGCAATTTTGACTAAATATGGATTGAATAAGCTGTTTAACATCACAGAACACTGAAAACAAAAGAGGCCCTAAATATATAACCAGCATATCATCTGTTTTGTGCCTTGAAAACTATGTAATGAACCAGTTTAAATAAAGAAGCCAGAGAACTCACAGATGTGAAATTATAATATTATGTAGTTCTTAACATATGTTAATAACAGTCGCCAATTAAACTTTTTAAACAATTTTTACATGAGAGGGGCTGATGGATAATTGTATAATCAAGAAAAAGCTGTATAATCTGTTCCTAAATTTTGCATACCTCAAATTTACTAAAACCACGAAAAGAAAATGCCTTCTATATCACACTAATCTCATGGAGAAAATGAAAGCAAATGCTTTTGTTTACACAAAGTATAAAACCTAACGAAGAAAAGTGAAAGCAAACAAAGAATGGGGGCACTATGAAGATTTTCTAGGTTCAAATTCCCCTAAGCATCAGAAACAAATTGCAACCAATTTTTTAAAGGATACAAATTGTTCATCAGCATTCTGGTGTATATTTCATAATACAATTCCATACATGAACTGAGATTCCATATCATTTTTGCTACGGGATTCGTTGATTTATAACTCCATTTTGAATTAATGTCTATGAACTCTGATCTATGGACTCCCAAAAATCCATAAGGACTCCACCCCACTCAGACCCATCGTGAGTGCCATTGGATCCCCCACATACGACCTAGCAAAATTTCTTGCTGCACAGTTACAAAGCCATATTGGGCTCACTACACACTACATCAAGGACTCAGCCCACTTCATAGAAAAAATCAGCAATCTCAAGCTAAATACAAACGACAAACTGATCAGCTTCGATGTGGTATCTCTATTTACCATGGTCCCGGTAGCAGACACCATGGCACTCATCAACCAGAGGTTCCCAGAAGACATCACGGCTCTGTTTCACCATTGCCTTACCACCAGTTACTTTCAGTGGGACAATGAATTCTACGAACAGAAAGATGGAGTAGCTATGGGGAGCCCTCTCAGCCCGGTCATAGCTAACTTCTACATGGAACACTTTGAAGAACAAGCCCTGGAAACAGCAACCAAAAACCCCACGATATGGTTCAGATATGTGGATGACACCTTCACCATTTGGAGCCATGGAGAAGAAGAACTCAACAGGTTCCTGGACCATCTTAACAGCATCCACCCAAACATCCAGTTCACCATGGAAAAAGAAAATGAAGGAAGACTGCCTTTTCTAGATGTCCTAGTCATCCGCAAACCAGATCAACAATTGGGTCACACCGTCTACAGAAAACCCACACACACAGATAGATATCTACATAAAAACTCCAACCATCACCCAAGTCAAAAAAGAAGCACCATTAAAGCCTTGGCAGACCGTGCAAAAAGAATCTGCGAACCCCGCCTCCTCCAAGATGAACTGAACCACCTCAACTGGGCTCTCCAGGCCAATGGATACTCCACCTCAGACATCAGAAGAGCTGCAAGACCAAGAACAAGCCACGAGAGTAAAGATGAAGATCCACCCAGAGGAAAAGTGTTCTGCCATACATCAAGGGAACCACTGACCGCATAGGGAAGCTGATGAGGAAACACAACATACAAACAATCTACAAACCCACCAAGAAAATCCAACAAATGCTACGTTCAGCAAAGGACAAGAGGGATCCTCTCACCTCTGCAGGAGTCTACCGTATCCCATGCAGCTGTGGACAAGTCTACATAGGGACCACCAAACGCAGCGCCCAGACACGCATCAAGGAACATGAAAGGCACTGCAGACTACTTCAACCAGAGAAGTCAGCCATAGCAGAGCACCTGATGAACCAGCCTGGACACAGCATATTATTTGAGAACACAGAAATGCTGGACCACTCTAACAACCACCATGTCAGACTACACAGAGAAGCCATTGAAATCCACAAGCATGTGGACAAGTTCAACAGAAAGGAAGAGACCATGAAAATGAACAAAATCTGGCTACCAGTATTAAAAAACTCTAAAATTATAACAGCTAAACAACAGAGAGGAAAAAACCAGGCACAGATTAACACCTCCCAGCAACAGATTTTCCCAGGCTCAGGCAAGCCTTCAAATGCTAATGAAGGTGATCAGCTAAACATTCACACCTAACTGCAGCAGGGAAGAGCTCCTTGCCCCACCCCAGCCATTCCACAGATATATAAACCCATTTTTCCTACTTCCAACAGACCTCACAACCTCTGAGGAAGCTTGCCATAGATGCAGGCGAAACGTCAGGAGAAATGCCTCTAGAACATGGCTCTATAGCCCGAAAAAACCCACAAGAACCTAACTCTGATCTTTATCACTCTTGAAATATATGACAGTGACATTTGAATAAAGTCTCAAACTTTATTCTGAAGAGCTATGCTGTCCTCAATACCAGAATTCACTTCCTCCAAAACAATGAAGAAAAAGTGTTAGGCATGGTTTCTATTCAATTCTACATTACTAATTGGTCTTTAAAAAACCCATTTCTGAAAAAATGAAAACATGAAAGCATTCAAAACAAGAAAAATAGGAATTCAACCCAAGTAGCAGTTTGGAGAGCAGAGTTCTCCAAACTTTTCATGTTGGTGACACACTTTTAGAAATGCATTATTTTGTGACACGGAAATTCGGTTTTACTACCAAACACTCCCTTATAGTTACACATGCAAACATAAATTTGTAATGATCAAATGTATGGGGACACAACCTATCTCATGAAAATCTTTCACTCATATTTGTTGAAATATATGACTTATCGCTTACTTCACATAGAGCCAAGAGATTTCTCCTTACATTTGGACAAACCACATTAATATGTTGCAACAGTATGGAAAGCTCTGATCTGGAGGATTTTAATTCAGACACCTAGCTAAGTGTAGATTCATTTTTACCAAAGACTAGGAAGAGGAATAAATGATCTCACAAAAAAAAAAAACAGGTTCTGAAGAAGGTGGTAAGGCAAGTAGAAGAAAAGATGTATCTAGTGGTGCATTTACACCAGACATGGGCAAACTTTGGCCCTCCGGGTGTTTTGGACTTCAAATCTAACAGTTCGTAATGGCAATGCTTTTGGTAGATGGAGGAGGCAAAAGATTGGTTTACTTCAGGGCAGCATTCTTGTACTGACCTTGTTTAACATCTTTGCTAACTATCAGCCACAGCCACCACTCACAAAGAGCTTTATATATGCTGATGACCTTGGCCTAACAACACAAGCAAAAGACTTTGAAACGGTTGAAAACCAAGTTACGAATGCCTTGAAAGATCTTTCCAGTTACTATAAAGATAACCACCTGAAGATTAATCCTGCTAAGACATAAGTATGTGATTTCTGCTTACAGAACAGTGAAGCCAACTGGAAATTGAAAGTTACCCAGGAAGGCCAAGAACTCAAACATTGTTTCCATCCTAAATATCTCGGTGTCACCTAAAATCGAACACTAACATACAGGAAATAATGCATGAACACCAGCCATAAAGTAACTGTACGCAATAACATCCTGCGGAAACTTACTGCCAGTGCATTGGGTGCAGACCCAAAATTAATAAGAACACCAACCCTGGCCTTGTCTTACTCAACTGCCAAGTATGCCTGCCCTGTTTGGCACAAGTCTTTCCCCTTGACATTAAGTCTAGTCATGTTCAACTCTGGGGCTGGTGCTCATCTCCATTTCTAAGCTAAAGAGCCAGCGTTGTCCACAGATACCTCCAAGGTCATGTGGCATCATGTGCTGACATAACTGCATGGAGCGCCATTACCTTCCGATCTGAGTGGTACCTATTGATCTACTCACATTTGCATGTTTTCCAACTGCTAGGTTGGTAGAAGCTGGGCTAAGTATGTCAAGTATGTCTGCCCTGTTTGGCACAAGTCTGCCCACAAGAAGCAGATGAACATAGCATTGAATGAAACAGGTAGAATAATCACAGGATGTCTCAATCCTACACCTGTTGATAAACTCTATACGCTAGCTGGCACTGCCACCCCCGATGTGTGATGGGGAGTTGCTGCTAACTGTGAGAGAAATAAGATTGAACACTGTGAAAGCCATCCACTATATGGCTATCAGCCTCCTCCCAATAGACTGAAATCAAAGAAAAGCTTCATGAGAACCACCACTCCTCTTAACATTCCTTCAGTAACAGAGAGAGTGTCCCTCTGGGCAGCTAAACCAGGAAATCCCAATTGGATGGCCCCCCCACCAGGTTCTTTGTCCAGTGGCAAACCAAGACTGGGCAACTTAGAAGTCCCTGAACAGATTCAGAAGTGGAGTGCGCTGATCAAAAGGCAACCCGGCAAAATGGCACTACCTAAAAGAATCCTCCACCTTGTGCAACTATGGAGCAGAACAAACAACTCCACATCTGTATGCTTGTCCACAATCTCCTGCTTCACGAACTGAGGAAGAACTGTTTAAAGCTACAGACAATGTAGTCACTGTCACCCATTTTTGGTCAAAAATATTTACCTGCTTATTTATTTATTTGCCATATTTATATACTGCCTTTCTCTACCCCAACAGGGGGACTCAAGGCGGCTTACAATGGCACATACACAGTGCCTCAAAACAACAAATTCACCTAAAAATAGTTTAAAATTACAACATATTACACATGATTAAACATATTCAATGTTAAAAACACGCCATCCAGAGTTCAAGGTCTAAGGCTATTCTAAGGTCAAATTGCACATAATTCTATATTTGGAATATTGCATTGCCCTAATTTTCGAAAGCCTGTTCCCAGAGCCAGGTTTTGACTCTCTTCCTGAAGGCTAGTAGAGAAGGGACTGATCTGATGTCACTAGGGAGGGAGTTCCACAATTGAGGGGCCACCACTGAGAAGGCCCTGTCTCTCGTCCCTGCCAGGAGTACTTGTGAGGCAGGCGGGACTGAGAGCAGGGCCTCCCCAGATGATCTCAGTCTCTGAGATGGTTCATAGGGGAAGATATGTTCAGAGCTTGTGCTCCTACTATTTTTATTGGTTTTATATTTATTTATGCATTGCTTCTGATGGAGCCCAGTGGGTTAAACCCCTGTGCTGGCAGGACTGAAGATTGACAGGTTGCAGGTTCAAATCCGGAAAGAGGCGGATGAGCTCCCTCTATCAGCTCCAGCTCCTCATGCGGGAACATGAGAGAAGCCTCCCACAAGGATGATAAAAACATCAAATCATCCGAGCGTCCCCTGGGCAACATCCTTGCAGACGGCCAATTCTCTCACACCAGAAGCGACTTGCAGTTTCTCGAGGGACGACCAAAAAAATTGCTTCTGATATGAAATAAATAAATTCCAATTATGAGAGTTGAAGTCCAAAACACCTGGAGGGCCAAAGTTGTAGATCAGACTATGACTGATCCACACTGTAGAATGAATGCAGTTTGACACCACTTGAACTACCATGGCTCTATGCTATGGGATTCTGGGAGTTGCAGTTTGTGAAGCACCAGCACTCTTTGGCAGAGGAGGCTGAAGGTCTTGTGAAACTACAACTCCTATGATTCCACAGGATTGGGCCATCAAATAGTGGAGGATGCACCCTTAGCCACTAAGGTTGGAGTTAAGGAGGCTCACCAAAAAAACAAGATCCCACTTCGTTCTACAGAACGTGTTTCCTGGGGGGTATGCCTAGGAGTCCAGCTTTTGAGGTCTGAGGCAGAGAGGAAGAGGCAGGCATCCTCCCCCGGCGGCGAGGAGGGAAAAGGATTTGGGAGCAGTTGCAAAAGCAGGAGGGGAGAGCAGGGGGCCTTGAAGGAAGAGCAGGCCGGGCCTTAGTGAGGCAGCGGGGAAGGAGACGGGCCCACCAGCCCTCCCGAGGGGACCCTACTCGCTGCACTCACGGGGGAAGCAGCCCGCCAGCCAGCCAGCCTCAGCCTGGACCTGGGAGGAGGAGGAGGAGGAGAAAGAGGGGCAAAGCAGGGCCTGGAGGGACAGAAACAACCCCCAGCCTCCCAACTCCTCTCCGCCACACTGGAGTTTCGATTCTCCACAGCTCCAGTCCGGGGCGGGGCCTCTTTTCCCGCGAGGCGCCTGCCAATGACGTCAACAGCCCCGAGGAGGCGGTAGCCACTAAATAGAGCGGCGCCACTAGACGCCCCAGCGCCACCTCATGGCGGGAGGTAGGCATTGCAGAGGTCGAAGAAAGTCACTGAAGAAGGCAGATTCTATATGCACAGTACAATCATAGAGCTGGAAGAGACCTCGTGGGCCATGCAGTCCAACCCCTTGCCAAGAAACAGGAAAATCACATTCAAAGCACCTCCGACAGATGGCCATCCAGTCTCGGCTTAAAAGCCTCCAAAGAAGGCACCTCCCCCACACTCCTGTGCAGAGAGTTCCACTGCTGAACAGCTTGTACAGTTAGGAAGTTTTTCCTAATGTTCAGGTGGAATCGCCTTTCCTGTAGTTTGAAACCATTGTTCCGCATCCTAGTCTCCAGGGCAGCAGAAAATAAGTCAGCTCCCTCCTCCCAATGACTACCCCTTTATATTTATTTATTTATTTATTTACAGCTTTTATATTCTGCGCTTCTCACCCCACAGCGGACTCAGGGCAGATTACAGTATACACATATATGGCAAACATTCAATGCCAATTTTTGACATCCAAACATATACAGACATACACAGAGGCTATTTAACTTTTTCTGGTCGCCAGGGGAGCTGTCGCTTTCATCGTCCATCTGCGACGTTGATTAAGCACTTCCGCATTCCCCGCATGCTTCCCCGCTGGAATGCTTTGCTGGAGTCTTCTTTATGGCCTCATAAATCAGTGAATTTAGCCTCCCCACACTTTTAAGGTGGTACCTTATTTTCCTACTTGACAGTTGGATTCGAACTCATGACCTTTTGGTCAGAGTGATCTTAATGCACCTGACACTCAGCCAGCTGCGCCACAATCCTTCATCATGGCCCTCATCATGTCTCCTCTCAGCCTTCTCTTCTTCAAGCTAAACATTCCCAGCTCTTTAAGCCGCTCCTCATAGGGCTTGTTCTCCAGACCTTTGATCATTTTAGTCACCCTTCTCTGGACACATTCCAGCTTGTCAATATCTCCTGTAAATTGTGGCACCCCGAATTGGCCACAGTATTCCAGATGTGGTCTGACTAAGGCAGAATTGAGGTCAGACCACATGTGGGATGTCCAAGTAGGATGGATGGATGTAGTCGAAGGCTTTCGTGGCCGGAATCACTTGGTCTCTGTGAGTTTTCTGGACTTTTTGGCCATGTTCCAGAAGCAGGAGAAAATGCTTCTGGAACATGGCCAAAAAGTCCAGAAAACTCACAGCGACCCAGGCTGGGTGGAGTTTGATACTACTTGAAATGCCACGGTTCAATGTTATGGAATCATAAAAGCTGTAGTTTGATGAGGCACCAGCACTCTGGCAGGGAAGGCGAAATGTTTTTATTCTCCCCAAGCATTTTTTTTTTCATCTTAAAGCTTTAACTGAGCCAGAAATGCTCCAGTCTGCCATGTTAATATTTTGGATTGCATTGTACCATGCTTTTGTATTGAGACCATAGTTGCTTATTATGATTAAGATCCTGTATGCCTTTAGTGTAATGTAAAAATGCAGCAGCACTGTTATGTTGGCTCTTACCACTGGGACAGACATTAGATCTTTGATTTCATCTGTTGTACAAAACACAATTGACCATCTCCCAGTCAAAAATGAGAGAGATTTGTGAGAACAAATGGCTGCATGGAGGTAACACGCCGCAGATGGAAAAGTATAACTGCTTACGTAAAATGTTTTGATTGCCATAATGCTAAAACTGGAATCCGGCACAAATTTTAAAGTGTACTGTAAACCACTTGTCGTTTTATGAAAGGCAGTAGACAATGCCTTAAATAACAAAAGTTAAAAAGTAAAAGCATAGGGCAACTGAAGTTGCAGGGATAAATGTTTATATACACAAAACATAACAAATGAGAAAATAAATTTGTAAGTTTATAAGTAAAGTGGGAGACTGAAAAACAAACAGTCCCTCCTGTATTGTTTTATGAAAAACAACTAGGCAAGGCCCTTTGTCATGTCTTCTATAGACTGATAGCCAAAATATCTGTTCATTGAATGTCTGCCTTTTTTGGAAGTCACCCTGAATCCCTTCGGGAAGAGAGGGCGGGTTAGAAATAAAGAAGTTGTTGTTGTTGTTGTTGTTATACTTCCTGCATACATACACACCTTGAAACACATACCAACCCTTAAAAGAAATAGCTGGGAGTACCATACATAGCTTTAATCAATTACCCATATTTACTTCAGTCTAATGCACCATTAAATCTAATGCACAACTCAATTTTCAAAACCCTGAAACCAAAATAAGTCTTTGCTGGCAAATGTAATGCACAGCAGCCAAAGGTGCACTCTTTATAATATGCCCATTACAGTTGCTGCCCACTTAGAATTCCATCTTTAAAAACAATTTTGTTGGAACACAAGAGCTTTCATCAATGGAAAAAGAAAACTTTGGGGTGCATCTATGCTGTAGAATGAACCCCCTTTGTCTTAATTCAATGCTATGGGCTCATGGGGATTGTAGTTTTACAAGGCCTTGAGCCTTCTCTGCCAAAGAGTGCTGATGCCTCATCAAACTACAAAACCCAGGATTGCATAGCATTGTGCTATGACAATGAAATTACAGATGACATCCCTCAAACAGAAGTTCCAGGTTAACACTAAGATTCCCCTATTAAACAAACTCAAATCTAGTGCAGCCTAATTTTGGCAATCTAAATTATCAAAAAAAGAAGAAGTTTGCATTGGATTTGAGTAAATACAGTAACTTTAGGTAAAAAAAATCTTACTACTATTTTTAAGTTAACTTTTTATTCTCTCAGACAGTTTCTAAAGGCAATTTTGTGAACTATTTGAGACAATATAATTTACTTCTCATCTTCCAGAAGTACAGAACTCCAGATGCAGCTGAAGAAACCATATGAATTCATCATTCTTGCCCTATTTTATTTATTATTTATTATCTAGAAATGTTCTAAATCATCCTTCTGGCAATTACCATTGAACTAATAACCTAATACAGGAAACTACACAATAGGAGAAAACAGATGAAAAGAGTGGTAGATATAATACATCGAAGCACAAAATCTCAAAGCTGTGAACAAATTGAAGGATTGTCACCTAGCGTTTGACAGTAATAAGAACGAACACTGAAGAGGTAGTGCTTCCAACTCTCATTTCGATAAGAAGAGACAGACTGTATTCTGACAGTGTTATGTAAAATCTTGTCCTAAATAAATTTAAATACCTCATACTTTTTAAAAGCTGAATCTGTAAAGTGCAATCTTACATACTTGAAAAAGGGTACAGTACCTGGGAAGTTCACCTGGGAAATGCACTATATAACCAAGGACACTGTGGAAGTGTCCTTGACTGCTTAACTGGGAAGACCTAAAGAAAGACCTCTGACAGTCTTAGTAGCGAAGCAAGCTTGTGTGGACAAGTCTTTGAAGTAGCCTGGGTTCAAACTACTGGAAGCCACCATTTACCTGATGGATTAGGGACCTGAGAGTTGTTAGAGCCTGAAGTTGTTTGAAAAGTTGAACTATCCTTTTTTTTCAGCTTGCAAAGACAAGGCTGAATACTTGGTAGCCCTCAGTAGACAGATAGGAAAAAAAACAGCAGAGTACCACAAAAAGCATGCTCAGAGAGAGAGAGTACAAGAAACCAAACAAATGAAGGTAGAGCAGCTTCCCCATTTTGCATCACACTTTTGTCCCATGCATACTCTCGCTGAACTTGCAACAAGTGCCAATTCTGGAAGTTGCAGTTCCACATTAGCTTAAACTTAGGTTTCTGATCTAACTGAATTATTATCATTATTGAATGCTTTGATACCATTTTAAGCTTCTCCAAGATAGATCACTCAAGGGAATAGATGGATATAGGTTTGATGAGTTAGGAGAGTATCTCTTCCCATTAAATATGTCTGCTCTTCTCTCATATCTTAAAAAATTGCACATGGATAGACCAACTGAGAGGGGGAATGGTAGTGAAAGCACAAGTGATTCCCAAATTTTGATCCTCAAAATATTTTGGGATTTATCTCTCAAAATCTCTGATTATTGGCTACTGAGGCTGCTTGGAGTTGAAGTCCAAAACACCTGAAGGACCAAAGTTCGGGAGTCACTGTTATAGCTTAGAGACAGCTCTTTACAATCTTAAGGGAGAGTCAACAGTGGCAGGTCTTAGAGTGCTCAGTATGCTCAAACTATAAACCTGAGCTATATAAATTGATAGTCTTCTATTTGGATATGTCCCAGCTCACTTTTGGTGGTGTCTTTGGTTAGGTCTTCCACTCCAGGAAAATTCACTATTACATGCCCCCCATAATCATATCTAACAAATTGCCTTCCGTGGATTTGAAGTACTATAATACACAATGGTTTGCTGAAATCAACTCGTTAGCCTTAAAAAGTGCCACAATACTCTTTTTTCTTTATTATGTTACACTAAAACAAAAAAGCACATTTTAAGAAATCATATGATGGCAATATATATAATAAAACAGATGAGAAAACATTTGAAAAATGAAGTCTGTCTAATGCAGGTGTATGCACCCATGGCTGGGATACTGCACTGTATGTTCATGGGACCCTGGAGGGCTATATTCCTCTATTATCACCCCATTAAAATGTTTGTACCCAAATATCCAGTAATATCTTTCCACAGCTCATTTCACCATACCTTCAGACATTTCCAGACCCTTTCACCTTTCTCAGTGCCTCAAAGTCATATTTTTCAAAGGAAAGTGTGATCTACTCTTGTGGCTTTGTATTCTGAAGAAAGGTCTCAACAGACAAGATTGGGAGAAGGGAAGGAGGATCAAATACTCCAAAAATTCTGGTAACTATTGTTTATTTTGTGTAAGAAAAAAGTCGTCGTCCCCCCCTCCAAACTGGAAAGTGGCAGCACAAAAGTCCCACAGGGAACACTTAGCCCATATCCGCTCTAAACTATGTACTCTGGTAGAAAGGGACATTCATCTCTTCTACAGACAAAAAAATGTTTTATGTTTGAATTTATAATACAAAACAAGTGATTGTGCTACAAGCAGCCAACACAGAAACAGGTAGCACAGACTTCCGCACTTTTTCTCACTCCAAGTCCATTGGTTTTGTTTTTTTTTTTTAAAAAAAAATCTGTAATAGAAAATAATTTAAGGGTAGGTGGATTGACCACCACATCAATCAATCCATAAGGAATTTTAATAAGACAAGCAAATGGTTCACCAACAAATCATTAAAGGGTCTGCATGTTGGTAGTTGGCCATTTTTTGGTTCAAAGAGGCTGCTTCACTAATTATCATATTAGGACAGAAAATCAAAATGTACAAAATGTATACATAGTGAAAAGAATATTCCAGTTGTGTAACAGTAAGTATGTGAAGTTATATCAGAGTGTACAGAACAACAGTGAGAAAGCAAAACAAAATACGGACTGTTATGGCTATGAAATGGTTGCAGTGACATACTATGTCTTTAAAAATTCAACAAGAAAAGCATTACATTCCTCCAGAAGTTCTTGTTCCAGATAATTCTCAAGTCAGTGCCCATGGACAGCAATGAGTAAGTGCAATGGCAGTTTAAGAAGTCCGCCTTTGCAAGCAGGTGTTTTTGGTAGGAAAACACTTTCCACTATTTCAGACTTTCAAAATTGATATTGATTAACACAGAACACTATGCTACAATTCAATTAAGTATTGAAGATATTATTGAAGATTTATGTCTTATTTATTATGTATGTTGTTTTGAAAATGTTATTTATCTGTAGCATTGAATTTCTTCTCTACGGAAGTAGAGAAGAACGGGATATAAAAGTTCTAAATAAATAAATAAATGTGCCCTAACACCTGATTTATATGTACTATCCATAGATTCTGTATAGGGTGTTTATCAAAGTATATTTTTGAAAATGCTAACTGACACTTAAATAAACAGATATTAAAGTTTGAAATTAACCACTAGCATTAAAGCAAAAACACACACACACACACACACCCCAAAAAAAACAAAACAAAAAAAACACCCTCTGGCAGTGAGATAGTCTGTATAGTCTGTATAGACAGGAATCATTACATATTTCTTTTCTTAAACACAAGGGAAATTGAGATCAGCTTATGAAAAGCAATAGCATACACGTAAATTGTTTTTTCCCCTTTATTTAACTTGTATTTTTTAAATAAGTAAAAACATCAGTGACTACTTCAACTCACACCAAGCCCGAAACAGAGTCTGCTACTTTGAAACTAAAGCTCCTGAAATGGAACCCTGTTTGCTGGAAATTTAGGACACACAACATTATGTTAACACTGATACTTGCATTGTTGCCATCTTCTGTTTGTTCACAGTGGAAATTTATTTCATTCTGCAACTTCAGATACTCCAATCAGCATCTTCAGTTTTCCCGCAGGCAAAAGCCATTCTTGTTACACCCATTTCAAAAAGCAGATTGTTTTGATACTTTTGTTCTCTTTTGGCAATAAGACTTCAAAGAAATTGATTAAGATGCTGTTCTAAGAAATCAGGTACAGAACTCTTTGGCTCATAGGGTAGGCAAACTCAACCTTGAAAATTGTCTCCAAAAATGGTAACTGCTGAACAGTTTGGTTCTAGACTCAACATCCTCAGTGTGAACCCATGAGACATGTGTAAACATCTCAATGTCACAAAAATAAGCATGTGTCAATCAAGATGTATTTAAATAGTTGTTTTACTGACAAGCTTGCAATACCCACATTAATACAGAAACAGACATTTTGTCACCATTGCTCTAGTGTGAAAAGTGGATTTGAGTCCTTAGAACTTCATATCTGCTGGAGATGAAATCATATATCCACTTAAGAAAAGAACAGTGGCTGATTCTTTCTCATAGGAAGCACTTGAGTTAATTCTACACAGCTGCAAAGGTACAACACAGACTCTTCAGAGGACGCCATGGTGATCAAAGTCCCCATCATAGTAATCGCTTTCAAAGCTGCTCAGTGACATGATAGAATGCATGGATATAATGCTACTGGTTTCACTGTCTAGTGTTGAGGTAATGCTACTGCTCTCGCTGTCTGAAGAAGAGGTCAGAGTACTGTTCTCACTCTCAGATGGTGGGATTTGTGGAACAGGTTGCTTCTCTGAAATTAAAACAAACGGAAACAGAATGATCTTCTGAAAAAGTATTTGCATAATTTTGCCCAATTCATTAACACACACCCCACACATGCACACACACAGAGGCATGCTAACTTTAAGCAAATCATCCTCAAATAATCCAGTGTCAAAAGAACTGCCAGTGCATATTATTATTATTATTATTATTATTATTATTATTATTATTATTATTATTATCTCTCCCCTAAACAGACTCAAAGCAGCTTACAGTAAAACTGTAATACCATTTTAAATCTAAAAGCATGCAAACATTAAAGGAGAATTAAATATCAAAAGTGTTAAAGATAAACAGTTAAAATGTTCAATTTATGTTCTATAGATAGATTACAGCACAAAGTCTGTATGTATTTCAGCAGAGGATTTCACTTTGGTCCTCCCATATAAAGGTCCAATACTCAGTCTAAACATTGGACAAAGTATAGTAATTACTGAAATTTGTTTTTATATTCCCTCTTATAATATAAAAACACAATGGTGGACTTGAACAACAACAAAAAAGCGTTGTGGTGTTTCTAAACATGTAAATTGTCCTTCAAAGGGCTTTGCTGAGGATAATTGTGTTACCAGGTTGTTAACTGGCGCTCCTTACAGAGAGCAGTCAACCCTCCTGTTTAAGGAGCTCCACTGGCTGCCGTTCATTTTCCGGACCCAATTCAAGGTGCAGGTTCTTACCTACAAAGCCCTAAATGGTTTGGGACCCGCCTACCTGCATGACTGCATTTCTGTGTACGAACCCACATGATCTCTCCGATCATTGGAGAGGCCCTGCTCGCGCTCCCACCTCTGTCGCAGGTGCGACTGGTGGGGATGAGGGAGAGGGCCTTCTCGGTGGTGGCACCTCGTCTCTGGAATTCATTCCCTAAGGACATTAGGCATGCCCCAACTTTGGCAGTCTTTAGGAGGAGTCTGAAAACGTGGTTATTCCAATGTGCCTTCCCAGAATAAGAAACTCCATGCAATCTGTCCTTAAATGCACTTTATTAATGACCTAGGATTGTTTGCACACCCATCACTTTCCGAAAACCCTACCCTAATATTTTACCTGCCATGTCCAGCATATTTTAAATTTTTAATTATTACATTTGGCCCAGCCATAAGTTTTTAAATGTTGTCGTGCTATTGTTAATGTTTATTGCTTATTTTCTGTTATGAGTTTTATTTGCTGCTTGTATTACTGTTGTTTTTGCTTTTGTTATTGCTGTGTTGTGGGCTCGGCCTCATGTAAGCCACACCAATTTCCTTGGGGAGATGGTAGCGGGGTACAAATAAAGTTTATTATTATTATTATTATTATTATTATTATTATTATTATTTATTATTACTTCTTAAACTCTGCAGCATCTGGAATGCCCACCCAAAGGAATTCAAATCCCTACTGGATTTCCAGTGGTATGAAAACTGCATTATTTTGTATAGCCTATTCTGTTTAAAACAATGGTAGGCTTTTGGTACAGTTTGAATAATGTATTTTAATGGATTTGTAAAAACTGCTTTCCTTTTCTTTGTTGTATATCACTCCAAGAGTTCTGAGAAATATTTAACAAATGCCTTTAATAATTAAATAATAAATAAATTCCACTGATTCGGTTGATGAATAACTGAAGTATCCCTAAGGACTCTGTCAAAAGGAAGAGCCATCTTTTAATAGGGAGGGGAAGGGGAAAAAATAAACAACGTTGGTGCCAGGGAGGAAAAAATCAGTACAGACTAAGTAAAGAGGCAATATAGGAATATCTGGCTAATCTAAATGAATTCAAGTCCTCATGGCCAGATGAACTACATAGGATGTACTGTAGGATGTGTGACACTTTTCTTGAAAACAGTACATGTGAAGTGGATTTTGGAGTCTTATTAGATCACAAGTACACAAATCAAGAGTGTAATGCAGCAGCAGCAAAAACAAAAAAAGCCATTGTGATCCTAGGCTGCATCAATAGGAATACAGTGTGTAGACGGTTTTAAACAGTGTATTTTAATGCTGAGACAAATGTTTTAAATGTTTATGTATGATATAATGAATTCATGTCTTGGCATTTAATATTTGCAGTTTGTATGTTGTGCTCCACCCTGAGTCCCCTTCAGGGTGAGAAGGGCGGAATATAATTGTTTTAAAGAAAGAAAGAAAGAAAGAAAGAAAGAAAGAAAGAAAGAAAGAAAGAAAGAAAGATTGAAGGAAGTAATTGTACCACTTTTCTCTGCTATGGTCAGACCTCACCTGGAATACTGTGCCCTGTTCTGGGCACCACAATTCAATATATTGACATGCTGGAAGGTGTCCAGAGAAGGGCAACCAAAATGATCAAAGGTTTGGAAACCAAGCCCTAAAAGGAACGGTTGAGGGAGAAAAGAAGGCTGAGCGGGATAAAAAAAACAAAACCCTGTTTATTAAAATAACCAATTTTCTTCAAAAACACACATTTTTGATCCTTGGTGTATGGCAAGGGTTGTTTCAGGCCCCTCTGATCATTGCATTTCTTCTCAGTATTGTGGCAAGTAAATGACAATGAAAGCACAAATCCCTAAAAATGGAGGACCCACCTCTCACCTTTTCGCTCTTGGATGAGAGACAAGCGATGTTGCTTTGTTTCCTCATCCAGTTTTTCCACCATCCTGTCAATACAGTTGTCCAGAACCAATGACCGTGTCTTCGAAATTATAACACGTCTACATATTGGACATTCCAACCTAAGCTTCATCCATTGGTCAATGCAAAAGGAACAGAAACTGTGTGCACAGTTCAGAGTGACAGCCTGTAAAACAAACATAAACATCTAACAGTGCCCCTCACTGGGGAGAAGAGGACCATATTAATCCATCACAGAAGATGAGATGTATATTTCTCTATCTCGAAGGCAGTGCATTTATTAAAAGGTATAATTCTGCACTAGGTGATTCAGTAGATATATATGAAAGGTTACTTTCATGATTATTATGATAAATTTGCATAATATGAGGGATTTTTCTGAATCTATGTACATTTATGTTATATTGGAATTCACATCCTACTTTTTTGCAGAGGTTTTAAGATTGTCCACACACAAAAATTAAAATACTACAAATATTACAATATTGAACAGAAACTCAATTTAATTCATAAACTCAGTGCCAGTTTTAAAAAGCAAGCAATCACAAAAACATGGGACACAGAGATCTTAGAAAAGCCAAATCCTTAAAGCAGCAAAACAATAGGTTTCTTTCTCACACCTGGAGAAGGCAAGTGTCAAGAGTTGAGCTCAGATAAGCATCCTAATTATTTTCTGATGAAAACAGTGTATATACTCAGATTTTTTGCACTTGTATATGTATCAGCATTTTGAGTCTCCAAGTTATGAACTCTGTAATTAGGTTAGTTGAATTTGTATGGAAGTTGAAACCAGTACAATAGAAAGTGAAATCAGTAACTCCATACAAAAAAAAAGTTTTGTTTAAATTTTGGTTAGCATAGGGAAAGGTTAACATTCCTATAATGTTTGTTTTGCAATCTGTGCCCCTGTTCAGAAGATTTCACCTCACTTTCTGTCCTTGTGACTGGGGTTTGAAAAATGTGGCTTATTGTGGAAACAAGGATTGGTGATAAAGCTTCAGTGGAGAAACTTTTTCTCCATGATAACTCTTTCAGAAGTGAATTTCCCTTCCTAGGATTTCTTCTCACTTCCTGTTGTCTCATCCCAATTCTTAACAAGTCAGATGTCTCTAACTCGGGAACTGCCTGTACTGGAAGATATGATTGAATTTCCATTTTGTGTTTTCGCTTCAAAGCATTTTTGAAATCCCAACAAGTTCTGCTCTCTCTCACACACACACCACAATTTCAAAAAGAGCAAAGATTTTTTTTTACTCTATTGCTTTGTAGTGTCTGATAAGCTGACTAGCCCTACATTTATTATCTCTTCAGGACAGAGTTGGATACATAACAAAAATGGCAAAAGGCAAAAGGAAGAGAGTGAAAAATGGCTATGAGGAAAAAGCGAACTCCTCCCCATCTTCCTCAAAATGGCTGAGCCACTGGTTCAAAAAACCTCCCAAATAAAACATTTTAAATAAATGTACACATAGAAACAGCACAAACTGGCCGTCTCTCTTCAGCAAAGGTTTTAACTCCCCTGTCTAATCTCCTTCAGGTCTTGTTTCAACTTTACTTTGGTATAGGAATCCTGAACCCCACCCCAGTCCACCAGTAATAGCCAAAATCTCCTCAGAGCCTACCCATCTCTAAATCACAAAAACGTAGCAATAATGAGACCCCATCCTTCAAGGTTTTAAAAAAATGTATTGCCACTTTATCTAACAAATGAGAGAGAGAGAGAATAAAAAACAGACAGAACTGCCATTCCCACTCATGCTGTCAAACAGTGGCCTATATTTCAGTCACATCTATATGACAATTATACCCTGCGTAGAGATGGGCTTCCCATTCTATAGACAAAGCCACTTAGATCCAGGATTGTGTTTTAAATGTTTTTAGAAGGTATAATGATCCAGCTCAGGAAATGTACTTCATAAATAACAAATAATGTATAAATGCACATTTGCATGGAACAATAAAAAAGAAAGATCAACTTTTAAATGTTAGAAACACAAAGTTGTGCCAAGGAAGCACAAAGCACAACGTGAAGAGGCGGAAACATCATTTTCTTCATACTGTACTCATTCCAGTCTCCCTCTCTCTCTTGCTCTCTCCTCTCTCTTCATGAAGCCAAACATATCAGGAATAAAAACCACACAAAATCAACAAACCCAAAGTTCCTCAAAGCAGATATGAGCAAAGCAGACAACCATCTTCCAAAGCAGACTAGAGCATGAGGCATGGAGACGCCAACACTCTCTCCGGCACTAGTTCTTAACTCAAAATGAGGTTCTTATGTCAAAGCAAAACCCAGGCTGAGCAACAGCTCTTAACTCAAGGCACTCTTAAGTTAGGATGCTCTTAAATAGAGGTTCCACTGTAATGGGATATGGTAAGAATCGCAACAAAAATATTCAAAATATTCATGCTACAAATGCCCTGGTTTATTTTACCTCTATAAAGTGTTCAGAACAAATTGTACACTGTAGCTCATTTTCTAGAACATCGTTCATCTGATTCAGTGCCTCCTCCTTTTGTGCTTTTGCCTTTTCTTTTTCTTCCTGTGGCCAACAACAACAAGAAAATAAAATCAACACAACATAAATTACTGTTCGGACATGGGAATCATTTTAGAAGATGAAAACTTGCATTCCCAAACATAAGAATATCTCTGAAGTTGAGTTCCAGATTAAAAAATATATCCCATGTACTACATCACACACACACACACACCCATTAAAAGAGTGAAATTGGCTTGCCCTCTACTTCTCAGAAAAAAGACAGTGACTTGTTTTCTATGTCTAAGCAACAGCTACTTAATAAATAGAGTTTCGTGATAAAGTCTGAACCATCAGCTTCACTGTGGTGTAGCTTATTAATGTTCATACCTTGGTCTCTTTCAACTCCCTATCCTTGGCTTTAATTATTTCTTCAAAATCCTTCTTACTACGGCTCAGTTCTTCCATCAGAGCACGATGCTAAGAAATTAGGAGCCAAACAGAAAGTCTAATTAACAGACCAATTAGGTATGCCATATATTATATATCTATCCAAATCCATCAACTCATTGCACAGATGTGGTTTAACAAGTTCCTCCAAATTAATGTGTTGTATAAAACTCAAATGTCATTAGATCAAAAAGGTATACAGTCAAAACATAATATTTTATGTTTCTAGCCCTATTAGAATGAACATTAAAAGTAGAAGTCTGTCCTATACCGAGACTGAGCAGGCTAAAATGGAGGAGTATATGTATAAACAGAAAACAAAGTTAGTAGGTAGGGAGATTTTGTACTTTAGAAAATGACTGTTGACTGTACTTCTGTATTTAGAAAAGAAAACTTAAATTCAAATAACACAAGCAAAGCTTTTTTTAATTTATTTAATGAAGGGGGTTGTTTTATAACTTATTTTATTACTGTATTTACAGGGCTTGCTTTCTTGAAAGTGTGCTTAGATCTGCATCAAACTGTTTCAAATGAATTCATACATTTTAGATAACACTTTGGTAGCCTTGAGATCCATACATAGCAAGTTCCAAAATTTACTTGGTGATATCATTCTGGGCTGGATACATATACAGATTTCTTTTTCTAGTTCCATATTCAAGTCTATATCAAGGATAACTTGCAAAGTTTAAAAAAAAACCTTTATCAAAGCAGAAATATGAGCTCTCCAATAATTCTAATTTCTCTTCAAAGAAGAGTTCATTTTTAAGTAAAGAATATCAAATAAACAGGAAAAATAACACAGTTTTAATTATATGAAACTCAAAATGTGAACTTAATCTTCTATTGTCACACTTATTTTCAAAATTATGACAAGCATAATTCCAAAGTATGAAGCAAGATTCATTCTTAAGCATTATTTCCTATCTCCACTTTTAGAATTAAGCAAAACAAAAGAAATATTCCAGAACCCAGAAAAAGCTAAAAAAAAATTGCTAGATGTAACAAAGGGCACTGGCACAACTCAGCTAATCATCTAGATCTGCAAAATCCTTTTGTATGACCCATACAAAAGATTTCGTGTCTGAACCAGAAGCCCCTAAGAATGTGAAGACAATTCTACAAAAAGGCTGAGGCAAATACCCCAAAGGATTTCCAGTATTATGACATGGAAATGTATTCCTATGTAAATCCTTTCCCTTTGACCAGAAAAAGTAGAATGAAGCAAAGTGAAGAATGTTTGCTTAATTTACAAACTTCAAGAGTTGATGGTGCTGACCTGCAACTTTCAGTATCCCTAGCCAGCACAGTTAATAGTGAAGGATAACAGGTTGTTGAAGAAGGGTCTTTTAATGAGGGCGTTATCTACATAAGTATGTTGGAAATTTTTCTAAAACATTCTAAATGACTGCTTTTAATGATGTTGCTTATTTAATTGTTTTTTAGCACTTATATTATAAATTTATTTATTTCAAACATTTATATTCCGCCCTTCTCACCCCGAAGGGAATTCAGGGCGGAGCACAGCATATACATGGCAAACTTTCAATGCCGGGACACAAATTCACATACAATACATAAACATTAAAAACATTTATCAAAAAATTAAAATACACTATTTAAAACCGTCCTAGCCATCTGCATCAAATCCAACTGGCCCTGTCATCTTTCCCATTGCCCGAAAGCTTGGTCCCACAGCCAAGTTTTTACCATCCTTCTAAAGGACAGGAGGGAGGGGGCCGACCTGACCTCACCAGGAAGGGAGTTCAATAGCTGGGGAGCAATCACCGAGAAGGCCCTGTCTTTCGTCCCCACCAATCGTGCCTGTGACAATGGCGGGACAGAAAGCAGGGCCTCCCCGGAGGATCTTAATCTCCGTGATGGTTCATCGGGGGAGATGCGTTCGGACAGGTAATTTGGGCCAGGGCCGTTTAGGGCTTTATAGGCCAAAGCCAGCACTTTGAATTGTGCCCGGTAGCAAACTGGCAGCCAGTGGAGCTGGCGTAACATGGGAGTTGTATGCTCCCTGTATGCCACCCCAGTTATTAACCTGGCTGCCTCTCGTTGGACTATTTGAAGCTTCCAAGCAGTCTTCAAAGGCAACCCCACGTAGAGTGCATTGCAGTAGTCTATCCTAGCTGTAACGAGAGCGTGGACCACCGTGGCCAAGTCTGACTTTCCAAGGTATGGGCGCAGCTGGCACACAAGTTTTAATTGTGCGAATGCTCCCCTGGCCACCGCTGCAACCTGGGATTCCAGGCTCAGTGATGAATCCAGGAGAACTCCCAAGCTGCAAACCTGTGCCTTCAAGGGGAGTGTGACTCCATCCAGCACAGGTTGCGACCCTATACCCTGTTCGGCCTTGCGACTGACCAAGAGAACCTCTGTCTTGTCTGGATTCAACTTTAATTTGCTTGCTCTCATCCAGACCGCCACAGCGGCCAGGCACCAGTTCAGGACTTGGACAGCCTCCTTAGCATCCAGTGGAAATGAGTGATAGAGTTGGCCGTCATCTGCAGAACAGTACCTCCAAGACCCATCCCCGCAAGGCGCCCCAGAAGGATACCATGGCCTAGGATTTCCATACATATCTGGTTTGTAATGAATGTGCTGGTGATGCCATAGAAATCCCTATGCCTTCAATATTCAAAGGAGCACCACAGATAATAGAAACCTCCAAAGGACGGGAGGAGGACTTCTCTGTTATGGCACACTGGTTGTGGAATGATCTTCCCTGGGATTCCAAAATGATAACACCAGTACCTAGTTAAAACATGGCTCTTTGGGGTCTAATTAACTTCATTCCAATCTGTATATGAACACAGTTTTAAACTGCATTAACCTTTAAGTTGTTTTTTATACATTAAGTCTTTTGGAATAATTTGGCATGCATTAAATTTTACATTGTTTTACACTGTTTAATTTGAATCTATTTATATGCCACCCTGAGATGTCATGGCATAATTGAGGATCCAAATATTTTAGTAAAATAACTCAATAATGGTTTGGCAATACCACATGATATAACAGAGTCTCTAATCAGTAAGGGCAGTTCATGAAAACAAGGAAATGAATATCAGATTTGATCACTTGTATATCATAGCAACTGTACATAACTTTAGCATACTCGTATAAAGGTGTAGCAATTCTTTTGCACAGTTGACTATTTGAAATGATAGTGAAGACTTGTATGAAGGAATGTATCAAGAATAAATTAATTATAATGAAGAACAAAGGGAATAAGATGTGAAATAGCTTCAGGAAGAAGAATAAAAAGCTTAAATTAAGCAACATTTTATTACAGGCTGCCAATGGCTTAGAATTCTTTATTATATCAGTATTCTGCTATTAGTAATAACCTGAAGCTAAAAGTTTGCTACTTTGGCTGCCTGTCACCAAAGTGAACAACACTATATTATCATAGACACTGTGATAATACACTGATATACCCTGCCTAATATAGAGATAGAAAAATAAGCATCTTAGAATTTACTAACAGAGCAGAGGGACAATATCCAAACATCTTGGAATCTTAGCACATTGTGAATAACCTAAAACTATCCTACATTACCTGTGTTAGAACCTGGACCAGTTGTTCCTTTAGTCTCTCTTCTCCCTCCTCCTCCTTAGCTCCCTAAAGAAAAAATAGGAATATGTTTGTGAAGAATAATAGATGTGTAAAGAAGTACAAACAGAAGAATACAAGTGAAGCTAATAAAATTATATACTAAGATAACTCAAACACATTCTATTTTCTTTCTTTCAGTTCAAAGATTGGTGCTGGCTGTATAAAAGCGGATGGGATACACCTTTTAATTAATATTTAATTTTGACTTATCAGGTACATATACCCTTATATGTTAAAAATTTAACAGCACGAAGTCCCATTATTTAATGTTTAGGAAATCTTAACTGTACCTTTTTCTCTGATATCACTGTTCTTTCTTTTCCATCTTTCAACCATAGGCAGGAGAGACAGAAAGAAAAACAGTAAGATAGCAGTGAATATGAAATATCAGTAACCATCTTCTTGCTCCAACCAGATACCTATAATAACATTTGGGCTCATTGCTGCTCAAAACATCAACTAATAAATGAAGTTTTTCCCTTGGCAGGCCTGTATGAAGTACAACCATATGTTTAAATCAAAGCTAAAAATATCCTTTTTGATTCTTGCTTATGCTGATCCTTTGTGGGTCACCAAGAAGTGGTCAACTGGGCTGCTTGTTTTTAAGGCTGCTGCCATACTTCAATCTGCTTTTCAGCCATTGCTAAAATCAACCATCTTATTTATCCTTCAAATCTTTCACCGTATGAAATAATTTCCGTTCTTTAAACCAATGTCTCATGGAGAACCGTAAAGCGTGTCTGAAGGTTGTGCAGGAGATAAAAAACTGAATGAGGAAAGAACTGGATTTAGGCATATATGCTTATTAAACTGTGTTTAAGCCTTCCATTAAACAGAATCTTTTCCATCCAATTGCATGCCTATGGCTGTAGTTATGTGTGACATTTTACACAAAAAAACACAAAGATCAACTAAAACAGAAATGTACAGAAAATCTGGGAACAAATGATTTGATTAAACTGGATGCTTTACCAAGTATCAGAATTCATTGGTTTTTTTATGACATTCGGGGCAGAAACATAGAGAGCTCACATACTAATAAAACAAAACATTGGTGTTTTTTTAAAAAATATATTAGGACTACAGTGCTGAGATTACTGCATGTTTGGAATTCCTTCCTATTAACATAAATACATTTATCTGTCCTTGAGAAAAATCTTCTGAAACACTAATATTTAGAATATCTTAGATTCTAAAAGTCTAATTGTAATGGCCCCTCACCACAAAGTGGCTGTTTAACAATACTCTTCAGATAAAAACAATTAATTCACTTCGCTATCTGTAAAAAACATGTTGCTGCCTTCAATTGTAATACTAATCTCCCCGAACACTTCAAATCACACACTGAATTGTGGATTGCAAGCTAGCAAACACAACTACTGTGCAGCTACATCTGGTATGCCAAGATTTATACTCCTACTGTGGATGCAGCTATTTTGCCTGATCTTTTCCACAAATACCTTGCTTGCAAAAATAATCTTATGTATCTTACTAATCAGTGGGCTTTGCAAGTTTCACTACTATGCAAGATTAAAAAGAGCACTCTGACAAAAAGTAAAGGTAATACTTGAGAGCAATTGTCGCATTCTTCCATATCCTATCATGAAGTGATCATAATGGGATTTAAATCTGTATTTGTTAACACAGATTTTGCAGTGGAATAAAACTAAAATGGATGGCTTCACACACAATACTTTCTGCACAAGATCTCTTCAGAAAACTAAAACACATAAATGAGTGAAAAGTGGTAAAACACCCTCAATTTAAAAACATAGGCGAAATGATGAACATGTGAACAATTGCAACAAAGTTTTGTGGTGTTGTAGTCTCAATGTTGGACTAGGAATTCAGTGGAGATGGGTTCAAAACTCCATTCAGCTGTGGAAAGCCTCTCTCAGCCTCAGAGGAAGCCACACACCTCAGTATCAGAGGAAATCAATGATAAACCCCTTTTGAACACATCTTGTCAAGATTCACCTTAGGGTATCACCACAAGTCAGAAACTGCTTAAGGCACCATAACATTTAATTTAACATGTTGCACACACTTTTTCCTATGCTCAGATATTTGCATTCAAGAACAATGCCATGTATCAATCCACTTTGCACTAGCAGCTGAAACAACTGAGATTATAGATAGAAAACTACTGTAAACTAGTTTCAAACAAGTTGGCAGTGGGGTTGAAAGGTCAGTCAAATACCACATAAACGAAACACTAAATGCAATTTATGCACTGGGACTTCTTGATTAGCATAAGATTGCACTCTAACAAATTTCAGTAACAAAAATTAGATTTTGATATTTTGCAAGCACTAAAGAAGTTGGATTCCTTCCCCCCATGAAACCATTCTGATTTAGCCTTACCTTCAACATGTACATATTTTCAACTGATACCTACTGATTGTGTGTATCTGTTTGTACCTACCTCCAGCTCCTCGTAGAAGGTTTTCTCCAGCTGTTCGACACGCTGCTGCTGATGTTCCTGCTCAGTGCATAACTGGTCCTGCAAGTTTTGTAACTCTTTCTCCAAAACCTGGATCTCCTTTGGAGCACATTTCTTATTCTTTTGTCTCACATTCAACACAGCTGTTTGGGTCTCTTGCATCTTGGCTTTTAACTTTGTCATATCTGCCAGAGTTTTCATTATTTGTTCCAAGCCACTCCAAGACTGTGCCAACCTTGGGGCCTTCTGGCTTTTAGATAAGACGCATAAGTCATGTTCTGACTGAACAGGGCTACAGTGATTTTTCTTCTTTTCCTTCTTGCTTGGTTTGGGAGGCAGGGGTGCTATATCAATGCTTTCAGTTGGCTGTTTGGCTAGTTCTGTCCTGACACCCTCAGACTTCCTCAATGAATCATTTTCAAAAGATACTCTCTCTCTTTTTGATCTGGAATTAGAGGGCCCTTCTGCTCCAGATGCCTCTGATTCTTCCAAACTAATTTTACGTTTAGCCCTCATGTCCTTTGTTTTCTCAGTTAGTTGGTCACTTTTTAATGCTAAAAATGGATGAATTCTCTTCCATTCTTCCCGTATTACTGTATATTCATATTCAGCTGTTTCTCTATGTTTTAAAGGCACTCCTAATTGGATAAAGTCACCTTCTTGTAAACAGTAGGGCTTTAATGGATCTATGCGTTCACGATTCAGCCAGACACCATTTAGACTCTAAATTAAAAAATTAAGAAAGAGAAGCTACTTAGTTTTTTGTCGAATAAATACACAAATGTTTGTGCATGTAGATAAAGACAAAGAAACAACGTATCAGTTTAAATAATGAACTAAAATAAAACTAAAAAGGCTGTTAACTTCAAGAGCAGATCAACCACTTGTTGTGTTTCTTGTGTTTTGTAAGAAATTCTTTTGAAACAATTCATTTCTCAATCACTGAGCTTTTTAAAACTGCATTCCCTCCATAACCCACTTCAGAAGCAACTAATATCATTCAGATTATTTCCATTCTAGACTGTCATGAACCAATAGATTCATCAAAGCGGAATAGGGTGGGAAAGCAGCTACTACCATATATACTAAATGGATGTACAAGTCTAAGACAGGTTTGGGGGCCTAAATTATGGATTTTGCTAGTCCTGGATAAGTGGAGGATCATGCTCGGAGAGGCAATTGCTCCTGGCCACTGCCACCATTTCCTTACCCAGGCATTCAAAATGGCCAGAAGTGCACCACACTGGAGACAGTAGAAAGGGTTGGAGGTATTCTTAGGTTTTCTTGGGACAGGGTTGGAAGTTCTCTTAGATTCTACTGGGACAGCATTGGAGGGACTCTTATGCTCTCCTAGCACAGATTAAGTTTTTGGCTTTCACTGCTTCACTCAAAGAAAGAAGTGGCTCCTTTTTTATAAGTGTTGTGGTATAATATTAATATCAATACATGAATAAGTCAACCCTTGTTTTGGGAGTTGATTTTTTCACTGAAATTTCGTGATTTAAACATGACTATACAGGGTTGTTGTTAATATAGACTAATAGCTGAGAAATGCTTTTTCTTTTTTAAAAGTTTGCCATTCACAAACTTTCAGGAAACTTGGAGAATAAGTGCTCTAAACTCAGATGTTAGTCATTTCTAACAATGCTTCAGAACCAATATTGTGTCTAGGGAACCTGCAACATGGTTAGAAGTCCATGGTGAGGAAGGATGGAACCTGTATATTGGCCATACCAGAGAATGATTTGGGATAGAAAATTGAACTCTTAATTCCAGTATACATCTTCACTCCATGTATTTTCAATACAGTTGTTAATCCAGTGCTCTTGTCAATGCTTCAGGGAGCAGTTTTTCTTAAAATATTAGGCCCCCAAACCTGTCTTAGACTTGCACATCAATTTAGTATATATGGTAGTAGCTGCTTTCCCGCCCTATTCCACTTCAATGAACAGATACAATACTGCTATGATTTGCAGGTGGGTGCCAAAATAATTGTTTTAAAACACAATTATTTTTTTTAAAAAAATCTAAAAAGCCAATCTAAATACAAATATTTATTATAGATGAAAATCCCTTTTGAACTAGAAGCCTACTGCTTTATAATGCATTTCAATATTTAATACATAGCATTTTCATAATATCTAAATTAACCTAGAAAAAAGAGGTTATACTGACGAATGCATTATAATTCTATGACATTTCAAAAGTTGGCTTAGAGTTTCAATTCACAAAATGAAGCAATAAACATTTCACCTGCACAGATCAAGAAAAAATGTAATTTTTAAAACAAGCACAGTTAGTGTTGGAGAAATTAGCCCACTTCAAGAGTGAGCTCATACCCTGGAAGCATGACAAGTGCCATGTCACCACATGAATCTACTAATATCTGTCAGATTCATCCTCTAAAAAGGAGCCAATAAAAGGGATATTTTCTTTATGAGAATTTTCAAAAGGACTGCTCATGCAGCATCAGAAATTACAGGTACTTTCATATAAAAAATGACAAATGCCAGACCACTGAATTCAAATCCCTAGTAAGCCAATCTCAGTGCTCTCTTATGTGGATAAAAGATGAGAACACTAAAACATTATTTGAAGGAAAACAAAGGCACAAATGTAGTATGACATCCATTTCTGTAGAATAGTGATTAAGGAACAGAGCTACATATGAAAGGTCCCTAGTCAGACTCTCACCTAAACATGGCTCTGAGGCAAGTCACACTTTCATGGCCTCAGTTCCACTTCCATGTGCAGTACCAGTAATGCACATTTACCTTACCTGTTTTCAGCAAGGATTACAAATACATATTACAAGGATAAACACTTGAAAGAATTAAGAATTACTATCCAAAGACTACAGTTGCAGCAGGCTCCTTGGGTGGTGCTTTCCTTCTCAACCACGCCTCCACACAAAACTCTGGAGCACTAGAGCAACACTGTTTGTGCCATGGGGAACATAACCCAAAACTGCACAGAGAAACCACATGCAAGTAGGAGGATGGTTTCTGCACAAACAACCTTTGGACACCATCTTTATACATTGACAATAAATTGAAAATACACTACAAAAGAACATAGCACTCCGTAATCTGGAGAGAATTCTCAGAAGGATTATTGAATCAGATTTGCATCATAATTAAGCCTTGGTTTCTGGAAACTGCATACAAGATGAGCATATGTTTCTATAGTTGAATGGTCCTCCAGCATCAGAGTCAACATTCTCCTATTCGTTTTCATGTTCTGAATCTCCATGTGACTTGATTTCTAATAACTTTCTGTACCTTGTTATCAGTCACTGTCCACTGGCCTTCAGTATTTTGCTTGAAAACACAGTGGTTCCGAGAAATCATCAATGGACAAGATTTTGAAATCAGCTGGTATGTGACACCAGCTCCTCGACCTATAGTTACCTAAACAAACAAACAAAAACAGACACTTAGCACCCCATCTTTATCAACAAATTATCTGGATTTAATTGCTGCAGAAATGACTCTGTGTTCCTACACTACATGGTGCAATTCAAAGAAGTATCTTAGAGAAAGATTTCCATTATTTTTCCATTCGGGACCCTTTTCCACCCAAGAAATTTTTACGTGACCCCAGATATAGTTATATAAAATAGGTATAAAAATCAAACATTAACTGATAATAAATCAGCATTTGAAAGGCTTGAGAAACTGGTTGATTTTCCTCTTTATGAAGTACAGCTGAAGCATCATCTGCAGAGTCTACTGTAAACACTGGACAAGAGAGTTGTGTAAATGTCTAAAACAACAGGTGACATTCAATTTTTTTTCCTGAGATTCAAACATTTAGCTAAAAGGACCCCATTTGAGATCAGGACCCACAGTTTAAGAAGACCACAATACAAGCATTGTGTTAGGCAAGGAATGCCTACAGGTACTTTTGCCAGTTCTTCACCCTAAAATATAGCATTCAGCACCAGGTATTTGTCTACGTTCTCTCAATGATGTACTAACCAAATTTTAACTAATTTGTGGTCTCCCATCCATGAATATATAGATCCTGTCTGATTTTCCTTAGCTTACAAGATTAGGCAGGATCAGGCCTTTGGACACCAATCAGTTTTGCTGTTAAATTGTTGAATGTTATTTTATTGCCTCCACTGAACCTTGAGATCTCTAGATATACTATTACATCAATGTAGGCCACTTTAGCACCACTTCCTTGTGGAAAAATAGGGTATCCGTTTAACAAGATATTAAAGTTTTCTACAGTATTTGTTTGATACAACTTCACACAAGGCTTATGCTGGGACCTATTAAGGCTTTAAGACAAATGCTGCTATGTGTTCGATACCAACCTTGCCTTTGTATTCTCCAGTTTTCAATAAAAGCATGAGGCTAACTGAGCCTCAAGTTTTCAATAAAAGCATGAGGCTAGCTGAGCTACCTCATCTTTGCAGCTGAGGTAGGTTAGTTCTGAAAAGTTGTCCTGGCTGACTATCAGACTGCTTTCAAACAATCTGCTTGCTAGATTTCAAGGTGCAGTCAAGTTTAAGTTGCATAAAATGCATTTTCGCATAGTAAACTGCCTGCCAGAATTAAAACTGAAGGATAAATCTTAATCTATTGGCATGTGCTGGAACAGAAACCCCAGAGTCTGCAATCTTATCCACACTCTAAGAGTGAAGTCCCACTTAATTCATGAAAACTTACTTTGAAGAAAATAAATGTAAGACATCTTTAACTCCCAAATCAATTTTGAATCTAGACAGCAACAAAGTAGGTAGAAGCAGAAGAATTATTCCTGTTTGAAGAATACTCTGCAAGATTACAGCAGAATGAATAGATGTACCTCATTTATCAATATTTATTGTAGGAGCCTACAAAATACCTTTTCTCACAATGTGTTCAAAGTACCACCAATGTTTGCTAGGAAACCCTTCCTAAGATATTTTATCTTGAATAATATCGTAGACTTTCAGTTAACCAGCATCTATGGGAGATTTATAAATGCTGAATAAATGTACTTTCTAGTTGATTTGGAACTGCTATTAAAATAGGCTTAAATAATACTATATCCCATACTATGTCCTACCATAAATTCTGTATTAACGTGATGTTAATATTTATATACAGTAATTAAAAGCAAATAAATACAAACTTAATGTAACACTGATTTATTACATAACTATCATATATATCCAGCACAGCCCAGGCTGCCGGGGGGGGGGGGGGGGGGGGAGGAGTCCACCTCTGAAAAGGCCTACCTCACAATGTCTCTATGGCAACACTCCAGCAATTCTTTTTGGGAAGGCTCTCTTTGTGGCTCCTTCCTTCCTTTTTCTCTCTCTTTTCTTTCTTTCCTTCTTCCCTTTCTTTCCCTCATATACCTTCCCTACTCTTCTTTCCCTCCTTTATTATTTTTTTGTTAGCACCTTATAATCTGGCCCGCCAAAAGTTTGAGGGACTGTGACCTGGCCCTCTGTTTAAAAAGTTTGTGGACCCCTGCTCTTGAGTTTTAGAGATAAAAACAGGTTTTCTATTGAAAGTATTATTTATTTGATTTTTTTTAAAAAAAATGCCAGTTGCTTAAAGGAGTTCTAGTTGTTTGAATCTTCACCTCTCTTCAAGGCAGGGCACAATGTGTATATTAAAAGACACAGGTGTAAAATTAAAACACAGTAAGTTCATTATTATTATTTAATTAATTATTTTTTTAATTGTTTAAAAAAATTCATACCAGTAAAATACCTTGTGCTCTCTTCAAACTCTAATATTCTATGCATAAAAGCCACTTTGAATCTCTTTTGTGGACAGAAAGGGTGGAGTATAAATAAAGATAAAATAATAACCAAACCAAAAGTGGGAGGGAAGCATTTCTCATTTCATCCCTAGCCCACCCAGACTTGTGGTCTCTTCAAACTATCTGTACGCAGATGACACTCAACTCTATTACTCCTTTCCACCGAATTCCAAGGAAGCCTCCCAGATCCTGGACCAGTGCCTGACAGTCATGATGGACTGGATGAGGGCTAACAAGTTGAAGCTTAATCCAGACAAGACAGAGGTCTTCCTGGTCAGTCGCAAGGTTGATCGGGGTATAGGGTGGCAACCTGTGCTCAACGGGGTTACCCTCCCACTGAAGAGACAGGTTCGCAGCTTGGGGGTCCTCCTGGATTCAGTGCTGATGCTTGATGCCCAGGTGTCGGTGGTGGCCCAAAGAGCCTTCACACAGTTAAAGCTTGTGCGCCAGCTGCAACCGTATCTTGAGAAGCCTGACTTGGCTACGGTGGTCCATGCTTTGGTTACATCCAGATTGGATGGTTGCAATGCACTCTGTGTGGGGCTGCCTTTGAAAACGGCCTGGAAACTGCAACTGGTGCAAAGGTCGGCAGCCAGGCTTCTAACTGGAGCTAATTATAGGGAGCACATGACACCCCTATTAAAACAACTCCACTGACTGCCAATAAGTTTCCGGTCCTAATTCAAGATGCAGGTTATTACCTATAAAGCCTTAGACCAGTGGTTCTCAACCTGTGGGTCCCCAGATGTTTTGGCCTTCAATGCCCAGAAATCCTATCAACTGGTAAACTGGCTGGGATTTCTGGGAGTTCTACGCAAAAACCCCTGGGGACCCACAGGATGAGAACCACTGCCCTAGACAGTTCGAGTCCAGCCTATCTTTGTGATAGCGTCTCCCCCTATGAACCCGCAAGGGCTATAATATTCCCCAGGGAGGCCTTCCTCTTGCTTCCACCACTGTCAAAAGCATGGCTGTTGGGGGTGAGGGAGAGGACCTTCCCAGTGGTGGTCCCCCAACACTGTCCTCCTTTTGCAGGGATCTGAAAACCTGGATGTACCAGCAAGCATTCGAGAACGACTAATCCCTAGCTATAAATGCCCAGTCCCTAGGTCGCCAGATAGTACTCTGTTCTGCACTTCATCCACTTCCCCGGCCCTATGGTACACTGTGTGCACTATCCCTTGCCCGGCCCTTTATAGCTTGGTCACACCCATTTTACCAATCCTGGCCATTGGCTTTGTTGAACCTTGTCTGGAACTTCAATGTAATCTGTTTGTATACTTTTCTGTTTGTTTATTTATTATTTATTAATTACTTATTGCGCATATTTGTATCCTGTCCTTCTCTTCCCCAGTGGGGGACTCAGGGCGGCTTCACAACAGGCATTCATTCAATGCCAACAACAGTAATAAATTATAAAAGCAATTAAAACATAAAATTACTAAAACATTGTTTAAATCACGCAGGTTTGAAATCATAGTCCAAGTCAGTCCATTGTCATTCACATAAATTGGGTCTCATTCTAAACTGCTGCCTCTACTGTTCGAACACTTGATCAAGTTTTGAGTTTTATTCTAAAGGACAAGAGGAAGGGGGCCAATCTAATATCACTGGGTTGAGAGTTCTGCAGGAAAGGGGCCACCACTGAGAAGGCCCCGTCTCTCGTCTCCACCAGTCGCATTTGCGAGGATGGTGGGACTGAGAGCAGGGCCTCTCTCATCAATCTTGCTTTAATTGTAATGGTGTTTTTGTTTTAATTGATTGTTTTTTGCTTTTATGTCTTGTGGATACTCTGTCCCATATGTAAGCTGCCCCAAGTCCCTTCGGGGCGATAGTTTATAAGACTAAAGTTTTTGGGGGTTGTTTTTTTTTTTTTGGTCAGGAGCGACTTGAGAAACTGCAAGTCACTTCTGGTGTGAGAGAATTGGCCATCTGCAAGGACGTTGCAAAGGGGATGCCCGGGTGTTTTGATGTGTTACCATCCTTGTGGGAGGCTTCTCTCATGTCCCCACATGTGCGGGAGCTGACAGAGGAGTCGAACCTCTGACGTATCAGTCTTTAGTCCTGGTGGCACAAGAGTTTAATGCACTGTGCCACCGGGAATTCCTAGAATAAAGTTGTTGTTGTTGTTATTATTATTATTATTATTATTATTATTATTATTAAACTTTCATTCTGTGCATAAAAACCGCTTTGAGTCTACTTTGTGGAGAAAATGGGCGGGGTATAAACAAGCATAATAAACTAATAATAATAATAGTATAATTAAAATAATAATAATAAATCAATCTAAAAGTGGGAGGGAGGCATTTCTAATTTCATCCCTATACAATAATATAGATGGGTTCCTGAGTGAAATGTATATAACAAAAATACCACTTGTATAACATAAACAATTCAATAACAGTATATAAACATGCTGCACTGTTAACCTCACAGCGACAACAAACAGTATGGTGCAAACTTTTAGTCCAGTCGTATTTTCTTATAAGTAGCTTGAGTAACAGCCTACCACAATTCAACAACAATCTATATACATGCTGCACTGTTAACCCCACAGTGACAATAAACAATGTGGTGCAAACTTTTAGTACAGTCGTGTCTTCTTATAAGTCGCTTGTGGGACAGCCGACCACGACCGGTTTCGGCCTACCTCAGGCCTTCCTTTGGTGGAAAAATTATGCACATGAAAGTATGTTCTCCACGGTCCCACAAGCTACTTATAAGAAGACACGACTGTACTAAAAGTTTGCACCACATTGTTTGTTGTCGCTGTGGGGTTAACAGTGCAGCATGTATATATATTGTTGTTGAATTGTGGTAGGCTGTTACTCAAGCTACTTATAAGAAAATACAACTGTACTAAAAGTTTGCACCATACTGTTTGTTGTCGCTGTGAGGTTAACAGTGCAGCATGTTTATATACTGTTGTTGAATTATATCATTGTTTATGTTATACAAGTGGTATCAACAGGCATGGGCAAACCTTGGCCCTCCAGGTGTTTTGGACTTCAACTCCCATACTTCCCAACAGTCTAGGAATTATGGGAATTGAAGTCCAAAAAAACCTGGAGGGCCGACGTTTGCCCATGCCTGCTCTAGAGAAACAGTACGAATTTTAATGTATTGTCGAAGCTTAAAAAACTGGATTGTTGTAGGTTTTTTCGGGCTATATGGCCATGGTCTAGAGGCATTCTCTCCTGACGATTCACCTACATCTATGGCAAGCATCCTCAGAGGTGGCGAGGTCTGTTGGAACCAAGAAAATGGGTTTATATATCTGTGGAATGACTAGGGTGGGACAAAGGACTCTTGTCTGCTGGAGCTTGGTGTGAATGTTCCAACTGACCACCTTGATTAGCATTTGATGGCCTGGCAGTGAGAGGTGAGAGATGATTAGACGTCCCAGATTGTTTCCTCTCTGTTGTTTTGCTGTTGTAATTTTAGAATTTTTAAAACTGGTAGCCAGATTTTGTTCATTTTCATGGTTTCCTCCTTTCTGTTGAAATTGTTTTACCTCAGGAAAATGAATGTTACCTCAGGGAAAAAGTACAAGGAGTATTCCCAGAGGTAAAATTCAAGAATGCCGCCCTAGAAACTAGAAACAAAGCGAGAAAAGCCTCTTTTCCCCACTTTTGCTTTGTTTTATGCGTCTACAAAGAGTTGTTTCCCACACTTTGGTCTTCCAGACAATTTGGACTCCATCTCCCATGATCCTTGGCCATTGGCCGTGGCAGCTGAGGCTTCTGGGAGTTGAAGTCCGAGCCCCTGTAGGAGGCGGGGAGGGGGATTTCGGCTCTCCCCTTCCCACTGCCTTCCTTCCTTCTTTTTTCCGCGCCCTCCGCCTCTTCCCCTCCGGCCCCGCGCTCACCTCGCTCCCGCTCTCCAGTAGTAGCCATTCCTCGCTGAGGCCCGCGCGCTTCAGGCACCAAGGCCGAGCGGGCTCCTCCGAAAGGCCGCTACTCGCGCTGCTGCTGCTGCTGCTGCCGGCGCCAAAACACGCCGCCATTTTCCGCCGCCCGCGCGAGAGCGACGCAGGCAAAAGCAATCGAACAAAGCATAGATAGGCCCCGCCCTGCTTCGGGCAACGTACCGTTTCGCCTTCAAGTGTCCCTCATTAAAGATGGCGCCTCACACAGGACAGCCGCAGGCACGCTCAATTGATACCGGAGACAGACACCCTTGTTGCGTGTGCATGATGCGTTTACACACCGCAACTGTATCACAAACAAACCCTGCTCAACCCTGGTGAGATGCTTGACGGAGGCGCACCTACACTGTTGAAGGGATGCAGTTGGACACCGCTGCCATGCCTGAGTGGTATGGGGTCGTGGGAGTAGTAGTTTCACAAGGTCTGAGCCTTCTGTGCCCAAACTACAGCTCTCACGGTTCCACCACAAGGTCTTCAACTACCGCTCTTGTCAAACCTCGTAGTTTTACAAGGTCTTGAAACCTCCTCTCCCAAAGAGGGCTGCTGCCCTCACCAAACTACAAATCCCAGGGTTCCAAAGCACTGAGCCACGGCAGTTAAAGTGGGGTCAAACTGCCTTCATTCTGCACTGTAGGTGCACCTGTTCATAGAATCATAGAAGTCAAGAGTTGGAAGAGACCTCATGGGCCATCCAGTCCAACCCCATTCTGCCAAGAAGGAATATTGCATTCAAAGCATCCCTGACAGATGGCCATCCAGCCTCTGCTTAAAAACCTCCAAAGAAGGAGCTTCCACCACACTCCGGGGCAGTTGTTTGGAATCAAGTCACCTTATGTCCAGTGCCATGTGCATTTCAATTGAGTTAAGTGCATGAGCTTTACAGTTAATGGGAATAGATAGATAGATAGGGAAGCAGGCAGGCAGGCAGGCAGTCAAACTTGGGCCATCCGGGTGTTTTAGACTAAAACTCCCACAATTCCTAACAGCCTCAGGCCCCTTCCTTTTCCTCCTCAGCCGCTTAAACCAGACAACATTATCCATAGACACCTCCAAGGTCATGTGGCCAGCATGACTGCATGGAGCGCCATTACCTTCCTGATGGATCTACTCACATTTGCTTGTTTTTGAACTGCTAGGTTGGCAGAAGCTGGAGCTAACAGCAGGAACTCACCCCGCTCTCCAGATTTGAACCACCAACCTTTCGTTCAGCAAGTTCAGGAGCTCAGCTGTTTAACCCGGGTAGAATGAATAGTAAATAGCTGCTGGAGTGACTTACTTTTGGTGTTGTCTTTTTTATGAACACCTCAGGATCTCTTGTTGTTATTGTTGTGTACTTTCAAGTTATTTCCACCTTACAGGAACCCTAAAGTGAGCTGGTCAGGACAGAATTTGTTCAAAGCAGATTTGCCCTCGCCTTCCTCTGGGGCTGAGAGAGTGTGACTTGTCCAAGTCACCCAAGGAAGGATTTGAGCCCTGCTCTCCCACATTCAAACCATGGTACCATGCTGGTTCACAAGCAGGATCTATCCTGGTTAATATTTGGATCGAAAACTTCAAGGGTATACCAAGGATCTTTCGGTAAGAGTAGAAGAAGAATCTAGACTGAAACCTTGGAGGAGATCCATTCTCATAGGATGCAGTTACACAAGATAGAATTAATGTAGTTTGACACCACTTTCAATGCCGTGGCACAATGCTATGGACTTATGGGAATCGTAGTTTTACAAGTTCTTCATCCTTCTCTTCCAAAGAGTGCTGGTACCTTAGACATCCCAGGATCACATCGCATGAAGCCATGACACTTAAAGTGATGTCAAACTGCATTCATTCTACACGGTAGATCAGGCATGAGCAAATTTTGGCTCTCCAAGTGTTTTGGACTTCAACTCCCACAATTCATAACAGCCAAGACACCACACTTGGAGGGCCATCATCCTCAGGCTATGAGTGATTGCCTAATTAAAGATATATAAGATTTCATAAATACTATATGTGACTGTTAAGTCCCATCATAAAGCACATGCAGGCAAAAGTCTGACTCTGGGAAGCAGGTGCCATTGCAATGTTAAAGGAGCGATTCTCATGCTATCCTCCCTTTCAGTTCTCACAGCTTACAGTATTCACTTTGTAACTAAGAGATAAGCTCAGCAAGAGCCAGGATCATCAAAAGGAGATAGGAAGCGCCCAGCTTATTCCAGTTTTGGCCGTTTTGCACCTGTTCCCTGAGTCTCCTGCTTAGTAATAGATCTGAATGTTTTTAGGTAAGCATAGACAAATCAAAACGAACAATGTACAAGATCAATCAAAACATGCCTTTTGGATTTCTGAAAGGCAATAAAAGTTCGCAGCACCATTTAGAGGGTGCAGCAGTCTTTCTTTTATGCCTTGATGCACCTGCTGCCATTTACTGGCCGGTAAAATAAAGCTTTTGCCTTTGAGAGATTCAACTCGTGAGTGTGTCCTTCCACTTTGTCCTCCTGGGTCAAAAGGGGACTCCTGAGAACAGGCAGGGTGCCAGCCCCTTCACTTGCATGGTAGGAGGGAACTGGAGATAGCCCTTGGGGTCTCTTCAAATACTAGGCTTCTGTGTGCGCGCAAGGATTCAGATCAGCTTTTTGAGAGTTAATTAATCTGACTGGAGAAAGGAGGCACCTTGATGTGTTTTGCTCTGTGTTTCCTGCTTGGCAGCCTCTTGTATCTCCAGACCAGCCGGAGTCTCTTGGGTCAACGTAGCCTAGCGGTTCCTTCGATTGACAACAATTTACTTAATTGTTCTCCACCTCCAACAGTTCAAGTCCCATGGGAACTGCCTGGCCTTTTTGTGTCTCCTTAAGGTTCTGTTTGGATAAACCACATTTATACTTGTTTCCACAGCCAAATTATTACAGTGTTTGTTGTTCCATGAAATCCGGAGACACAAGTCAGCATTCTTCAGTTTTTATTTCTATTTCAAAAGGCTGGCCTGAGCAATGAAAGTATGGACCATCGCCCACATGCATTTTGTGTCTTAATTAAATTTCCAGTACTGAAACGCAAAACCAGTTCAAACATCTAATAAGTTTGGTTTGGCATGTTGTGCAGTCACCATGTCTTTATTGTGAGACCAACTTGGAAGGTAGTTTGTGCAATGAAACCATCTGATGCCACAATGAAACACAATTTTTGTTCCTGGATATTTATTTATTTACAGTATTTATACCCCACCCTTCTCACCCCAAAGGGAACTCAGAATGGCTTTCAGAACACACATACTGAAAACAATTAACAAGGACGAACAACACAACAGGCAGGGGTTTTTTTCATCTTATTTCCAGCATATTGGAGGCTGTGCTTGACTCCGGCCACAGGGGGTGCTGGCGCTCTGTCTTCTATGCTGAGGAGCATTCCTCTGATCAATGTCCTTAAGGGCACCTTAACTACCTTCCCGCTAAAAGCGGTACCTATTTATCTACTCGCATTTCTGCTTTTGACCTGCTAATTGGGGACCCCTCTCCCCAGCACCAACTGCTGCTCTAGGCCAGAGTTAAGGGGGGGGGGCAGGGGACAGTTCCCCCTTGTCTCCTGTGCTACACTAATAAAATAATATATTATAATACAATGTAATGTTATATATTGTGTATACATATAATATTTATAATATTATAATGTAATACAATATAAAACTAATAATAATAATATGATATTATAATTATATATGTTATATTACATGTAATATTACTAATACTATTACAGTACAGTAATATATAATACTGATATTGTACTATGCTAATTATGTGTGTGTGTGTGTATATATATATATATCTTGTAAACTGCTCTGAGTCCAATTCGGGGTGAGAAGGGCAGCATATAAATGTCATAAATAAATAGGTGGGTAGGTGAGCACATTTTGCTATAGTATTTCAATGAATGTCTCATAGAGTCTCAATCAATTCAACATAGTGTGTGGCAGCCACAAAAATGAAGTTTCTGGAGTATAATGACTTCTGTCAAAGTAGGTGCCATACAATTAAACAGGAAATAATACTTTCAAACCAAGAATAAAAACATTTTCAAATTGTGTTACATGATGTTATTTATCTTGTTCTCTGGAATGCTTAGCTTCCCTGAAATTAAAACAAATGCAAATAGAAATGATAATCTGAAAATGCCTGCATAATGTATCCTGATTTTATAAAACACACACACTAATGAACGAAATACTTAATAATTGATCTCAGCCACAAGCGATAGTCTATGATATGATTATAATTTATATAATTATAATTGGAATTGAGATTGGCATGGGAATCTGATCGAGGGTTTAAAATAGAAGAGAAACAATGGGATTTAATTTCCCACTTCCAAATTAATATATGTCAAATATATTCAGAAAAGAGGGGGGCCCTGGGAGCACCCATATTATTGGAATCCACCTGTAATGACAAACTGAATTAAACCAAACGGCAAGCTTCTGAAATAGATAATTCAGGAAGTAAAATTTGGAACAATTTGGTGTCAAACCGTATTATCCAAGAGTGAAGATCAGGCAAGGGCAAACTTGGGCCTTCCAGGTGTTTTGGACTCCAACTCCCACAATTCCTACCAGCCTCAGGTCCCCCCCCCCGCCCCCAGCTGCTTAAGAAGTCCATAATAATCTCGCAATTCTCAACCAGCAGAGCCCTCTCCCTCCTTGTCTCAGTTGATAGCTCTTCGGTTACTTCGAACCCTGAGGTAGATTCCGCCCTCAGTGAAGATGGCGGCGGTGGCAGTCAAGGCTTCGGCGCGGCGCTTCCTTCGCCTGACCCCGGCTTGGTCCTGCCGCTCCTGCCAAACTTGCCGGGCGGCCTCCCGGTCCTCCGCGCAGGTCCGGCAGAGCTTTATCCGGTTCTTCCAGGAGAAGTACGGGCACCAGGTGGTGGCGTCGTCCTCCGTTCGGCCGCGGGCGGATCCCGGGCTGCTCTTCGTCAACGCGGGGATGAACCAGGTGCACTCTCGAAAACGGCACGGGTGAAAACAAAGGCTCCACAGAAGAGTTCCTACCTTCTGCGTTCCCGCCACCTTTTCATTATTCGAGCCCTCTTCTGATGGCGCTGCTCTGTTAAACTGCTCCATTTGGAGGGAGGAGATAGTTTGCTCATCAGTTAGAAACCTAGAGAGAGAAGGGCTATCCAGTCCAACCCCCTCCAACCATGTTGAAATGCACAATCAAAGCACTCCCGGCAGATGCCCTTCAGGCATCTCTTTAAAAAAAACCTCCAGAGAAGTAGCCTTCACCACACTCCCAGGCAGCATATTATACCGCTGAACAGCTCTTGCCATCAGGAAGTTTTTCCTAATGTTTAGGTGGAATCTATTTTTTCCTGTTGTTCATTTATTTATTTATTTATTATTTAAACTTATATGCTGCTACTCCCCTGGGGCTCGGAGCGGCTTACAAGAATAGCTAAAATCTAACAAAATTTAAAAGCAATTTAAAACAATTTAAAAACAACAATATCAAACATTAAAAGTTTGAATCCATTGCTCCATTGTGTCTTAATCTCTAGTTTACATAAATCAAGCTTGACCCATCCTCAATGTGAGATCCTTTCAGATATTTAAACATGGCTCTCATGTCCCCTTTCAGCCTTCTCTTCTCCAAGCTAAACAGACCCGGCACCCTCTGCCATTCCTTATAGGGCTTGGTTTCCAAACTTTTCACCATGTTGGTCACCCTGTTCCTTGTCAATATACTTCTTGAATCGTGGTGCCCAAAACTGGACATCACCTGTCATTCCAGGTGATGTCTGACTAAAGCAGAATAGGGTGGAACTATAATCTTCCTCGATCAGGACACTGTACTCCTATTGATGCAGCCTAGAATCGCATTAGCCTTTTTAGCTGCTGCATCACACTGAGTTACTGAAACCATCTTGTGTGCCTTTTGACACTTTGAAATTAACATAGTCATTTATTTTATTTCATGTCAAAAGCATTGCACAAATAAGTATAAAACTGATAAAATAGAAAGAGCACAAGCGGCTAAATATTTTTTTTACCAAAAACGGGCAACAGCAACCACATTATTTGTAGCTTTAAACAATTCTTCCTCTGTATATGAGGCAGGACATTGTGGACAAGCATACAGATGCAGAGTTGTTTGTTCTGATCCACAGTCGCACAAGGTGGAGGATTCTTTTAGGTAGTGCCATTTTGCCAGGTTGTCTTTTGATCAGCCCACTCCACTTCTGAGTCTGTTCAGGGACTTCCAAGTTGCACATTCTTGATTTGCCCCTGGAGGCAGACCTCTTGGGGGGGGGGGGGGGGGGGGGGGGGCATCCAATTGGGATTTCCTGGTTTAGCTGTCCAGAGGGATAACCTTGCTGTTACTGGAGGAATATTAAGAGGAGTGATGGTTCTCATGAAGCTTTTCCTTGATTTGAGTCTACTGGGAGGAGGCTGATAACCATGCAGTAGATGGCAGTCACCCTGTTCAACCTTATTTCTCTCATAGTTAGCAGCAACTTCCCATCATATTGTGGGGAGGGGTTGTTCAAAACATACCTATGATAGATTTGTCAAATGCAGATGTAAGTAGTGCTTATAGAAATGAATGAGAACCTCCTTCACCCAGGTCTTGCAAATTCAGAGCCAAGGCTCCTTTGAATTATTCCACCTACAGTACCACCATCTTTCCATTTCCCTGTTGCTTTCTGTTTCACACAGTGTTTCTGGTATGATTCAAGGGTGGATGGCCATCTGTCAGTGTTTTGATGGTGCTTTTCCTTGCAAGGGGGTTGGACTGAACGGCCTCTTGGTCTCTTCCAGCTCTATCTATATAAATAAAAATGTAATGTTCATTTGTGGAATTAACATAACTCAAAAACCACTGGACGAATTGACACTGAATTTGGACACACTACACCTATCAGGCCAATGAGCGACCATCACTCATAAAAACACTGAAAAACACAGTGGAAGGGATTTTAAAAGCCAAAAAAGCAAAAAGATGCTACAGCGCAAGTGCAAAAACAACTTTCCCCCGGCAAACAAAACACATAATAGCATATCCACACTCTCTTCCGGACTACAGCTCCCAGCATCCCCTAGACCAGGCCCTTTAGGAGAGGAGGATGATCCAAATGCACTGCTTCCAAACTGCAAGCTTTCTTCCCCTTGGATTTCTTTGAGAGCATCCCAATCCCTGCATATTTCCAATTTCCTATTCCTGGACTGCAACTCCCAGCAATCCTCCAGATAGATAAGACAGATAGATTCGATAGAGATATAGGTAGGTAGGTAGATTGATCAGGACTTCTGGGAGTTGCAGTCTAAGAATAGGTAGAGAAGGAAGAAAGAGGAGAAAGAGGAAGGGAAAGAAAAGCAAGATTTACATTAGTGCTCATAACACTAATGCTGAAGTGTTATGAGCAACTGGAATGGAGAATTGTATTTAATGTATCTAATAAAGTCATTGAGCAAAGTAGCCTGTATTATTAAACAAAGTGAGATTATGGTTTCGGCCCACTGTCATGTACATGCCCCACTATTTCTCATTTCCCGTCCAGATCTGGGGGGATGACTTTTCTTTTCACTAGATTTAGATGTACCATATTCTGGGATGCCTTTCCCTCAAGCACAGCTCTGATGTATGTGAGATTTACTTTGAATTCCCTTCTTATCTTTCTAGTTCAAGCCCATTTTTCTGGGCACAGCAGATCCCCGGAGTGAGATGACACGTTACCAACGAGTAGTGAACAGCCAGAAGTGTGTGCGTGCGGGTGGGAAGCACAACGATTTGGAGGATGTGGGCCGAGACGTTTACCATCATACGTTCTTTGAAATGCTGGGGAACTGGTCTTTTGGAGATTATTTCAAAGTAAGAGATTGAGCTACACTCTCATTAAGAAAATACTAGATCTTCTCGGTAGTATTTTGTTTGTGTTGTATACAGTAAAAACAGGGGCGGTGGGTGGGTGGGGGGTTGTCAGGTGGCAATGATTTGTTTCTGAATCTGAATGTTTTAGAGCTGATAGACAAATAGAGTCAGGAAACAGTTTCTCCCCATAGAGATGGTCCAAGTGTTGTCGAAAGCTTTCATGGCCAGAATCCCTGGGTTGCTGTGAGTTTTTTGCCTGTATGGCCATGTTCTGAAGAGATCTCTGAAGACGCCAGCCACAGATGCAGGCAAAACCTCCTTCTATGGAGGCTTTTAAACAGAGGCTGGATGGCCATCTGTTGGGGGTGCTTTGAACGCGATTGCCCTGCTTCTTTGCAGGGGGTTGGACTGGATGGCCCACAAGGTCTCTTCCAACTCTATAATTCTATGAAGGGTTAAAATCTTCAGTAATGTTCAGAAAGTTTGTATCTTGAACTTATAATCTTTAACAGTTTCTTCATAAACTATGTTGCTTTATACTGCACTCTTTAGTAAGAGTTACTTTCAAATAAAAACACAAGCCTCAACAGTTTCTAACTTCCTAACATGAGCTTCTCTGACAGACTTTATACTCAAGCTCATTCAAGACCCAACACACTTCTCTAACAGTCATTCCTCAACAGACATTCCCTAACTGTCACCCTGTTTAAACCTGAACATTCTAAACGGTCACTGAGTCAGTCACATGACCTGCAGCCCCTCCCTCTGCTTTAGGTGTATAGAGATAAGGAAACTGCAAGTCAGATATGACATATACTTCAGGTTATAAAATAACACATTATAAAACAGACAAACACTATATAGAGGAGGTTTGAGAAGGTTGCTTCTACCAACAAAAGAGACTGTGTATGGAAAGATATCTGAATGAAAAGAATACAATTTTCCCCCAGCTTTCTGTAGACAGGACATTGTTCTTTATGGGGTGTTTTAACTTGACAGGCCTTCCTCTTTTATTCATACCACATCCTGGCATCCTGCAAATATACTGGATTAAAGTTCAAATTGTTCTCAGCCCATATGACTTTCCCCAAGTTGGGGGAAGCTGCTGTAAAGAATATGAATAAGAGCAAGCATCTAAAAAGGGCATCTTGGATTCATGACCTAAATCTAATAGTACAGTATTCTGTTAAATAAATGGAACTTGTATAAATGTAAAGGTTGAGTTTCCATTGATTCAATAGATCTGTTCTAATCAGGGCAAACAATCAGATCTTCTGTTAAGTTCACTTTTTATCTGTTTATTTGCATTTGAACTTTCCCTCCCAAGGGATTCATTGTGTTAAATATGGTAACTTAATAGAAAGTGTGTGTTGTCCAAAGTCACCCAGGAACAAGGGGCTGAGCAGGAATCTTCTTGAATCTTTTGTTTCTGAGTGTTACTCTTCTCTCTGTGTCACCCTGTCTTCAGTTATAAGATAAAGAAACCACATCCATCTCTTTTTGCGTTAAAGAAGTATTTTCTTATCCAGACATTTGTTTTTAATGTACAGTCATTTCATTACTGTCTGCATCCCCAGGAAGAAGCCTGTAAAATGGCATGGGAGCTTTTAACAGAAGTTTATGAAATCCCAAAGGACCGCCTCTATGTGACCTATTTTGGAGGCAATGCCACACTTGGTCTAAATGCAGATGAAGAGACCAGGGAAATTTGGCTTAACCTGGGGTATGTATGTTCTCCACTCAATAGTATCATTACAGAATTATCCTTTCACAGATACTTTGGCTTATAAACTTCTGCTCACAAGAGAGTAGGGATCTAATGCCCTTAGGAGAAGTCTGCTTTAAAGCAAGAAATATTCTACTTTTATGACTGGTGTAAAATCACAGTGTATATAACAATCTTATGTTCTCTGTAATTTGCTCAGTACTGTATTATATAAGTTGTATATACTTTCAATGTTGTATTATATATGTTGCAAAAAACTTTTACCTCCGTGACTAATGTACTATTAACTAAACATGACACCAGAAATATAAAAAGGGAAAGACCTGAATCTAACTATTACTCCCAAACTAGAGTCAGCCTATTGAATTACTGTGATTTACACAAGAGTTAGTTTACCGTTCAGCTCTTGATTCAGTGGGCCTACTATTGTTGCAGAGCCCCTGGTGGCGCAATGGGTTAAACTGCTGAGCAGTTGAACTTGCTGACTGAAGGGTCGCCGCTTCAAATCTTGGGAGCGGGGTGAGCTCCCACTGTTAGCCCCAGCTCCTGTCAACCTAACAGTTCGAAAACATGCAAATGTGGGTAGATCAATAGGTACCACTCCAGCAGGAAAGTAATGGTAGTCCATGCAGCCATGCCAGCCACATGACCTTGGGAAGTGTCTACAGACAACACCAGCTCTTCGGCTTAGAAATTGAGATGAGCACCAGCCCCCAGAGTTGGACTTAATGTCAGGGGAAAACCTTTACCTTTACCTACTATTGTTCAATCTTGTAGTTCAGTTTAAGTTTACATATTGACATGAGATGGAGGCCTGAGTTATAAAAGAGACCAGAATTAATAAAGGCTGGATGGGATGCTCTGCAGCCCTGGTGAGTAATGCCTCAGTTCAAATATTGGCCAACTTATAACTGTGACAAAATATGGCATACTCTGCAGTTTTCTTTTTCCTTCTAATAAGAGCATGAGAAAGAAGCATAAGGACAACAAACCAACACTATAAGCAACAAAGTAAAGCAATACTTCTCTTTTGAGTCCATTTGTTAAAGTGGTTTGAATGCTGGAGTAACATTCTGAGAGACCAGGATTCAAATCTCTTCTCAGCCATGGGAACCCACAGGGTAGCCTCAAGCATGTCTCAATGGCAAACCACCTCTGAATAATTCTTGAGAAGGAAACCCCATTATAAGTTCACCCTGAGGTTTCCATATGCTGGAAATGACTTGAAGGAACAAAACAGCAACACTTCATTCTTCCAGCCCTATGAAATTTGAAGAACCAGGCACTTGGAGAAAGGATTGATTGCTCTGCCCTTATTAGCTGTTCTCTCTTTGCTTTCCAGCCTGCCCCCCAGCCATGTACTTCCCTTTGAAATGAAAGACAATTTCTGGGAAATGGGTGAAAGTGGGCCCTGTGGCCCCTGCACAGAGATCCATTATGATCACATAGGTGGTGGCAGGAATGCAGCAGCAGTGGTGAACAAGGGCAACCCCGACGTGGTGGAGATCTGGAATTTGGTTTTTATGCAATACAACAGGTAGGAAACAAAGGGAATACTTGAGTTCTGAGTTCATTCTAAGGCTTCACATCTTATAAGGAGACTCAGCTACTATGGTTTTCTGGTTGTGGTTCTTTCATCAGTTTTCCTCTGACTTTTCCCTTCCATCACCTTCTGTTACATTCCCCGTTGCACCAGATGTTTCATGAATGAACCTTTGGCCTCCAGCTCATATCTGTCTTTTCCCCAATTACTTTCCTTCGCTACTGGTGTATTGCCAGGGAGGCTGATGGACGGCTGCATCATTTGCCTCAGCATCACGTTGACACAGGAATGGGCCTGGAAAGGTTGATGACGATTCTGCAGAAGAAGCTCTCAAATTATGACACTGACCTCTTCACGCCAATCCTGGATGCAATCCACAAGGTAATTATCAAGATACCTGAGGAACATTAGCTAAGACTTCAATGGGAGAGTTTATATGTAAAATCTATATGCCCACTTGGTAGGCTCTAACCTGCACAACCTTTATTAATATCTGTCAAAGATCTGTTATAGATCTGTGTTCATAGATCTTTCATAGAACTGGGTTACTGGGAATCAAATTCTGACATTGGTAACTAAGGGCCCTTCCAGACAGGCCTTCTAACCCAGGATGTGATCCCAGATCAGATCCTGGGATATAGGGCCTGTCTGGAAGGGAATCGTAAGTAGTTGGATAGCTGTTGACCAAGGAAGAATAGTTGCCACTTATGGATGAGCAGAGAGTTAACAGCGACTCACTTCCTTAAAAAGATTTTTGTTTAGCTGCAAAGCACACCCAACCTGAGTGAAGAATTATGTTCCTTGCTCGCAGCTGCATTGCCTTGTCTGTTTAGACCTGGCATGGGCAAGGATAACCTTTTGTATGTATTTGTTGGGCGAGTGGGCTTATTAACAAAATACCCTCCTCATAAATGTACAGCAGAGTAACTTATTAGTAGCAGTGTGACCCAGCACCAGTAGCCCAAGGTGATAAAAAGAACAAAAACACACAGACCAATCTTATCTCTTCCATAGGAGGGTTTTCTTGTAGTAAAAAATATGGTTGCACTATTTACAAAAATAATGTTCCCATAACACAAATAAAGTTCTTTACACTTCCCTCTTTGCTTCCATGCTGGACTTCTTTCTCATGCAGATATACAGCTTTGCTCTCACAGAGCCTCACACCGAAGTTACACAGAAGCTTCACACAGTAGCTTTTTACACACAGCAGTGTTCACACTGGAGCTTCAAACATGAGCTTTACACATCCTTCAACCTGGGGCTTCTCTCACAGAAGCTTCTCACACAGTATAATCTCTACAATACCAAGGCTTCTCATACTGAGGCCTACTAACATCTGACTTCAGCGTTTATATTTTGAAAATATGCTGTGTGCTTTCAGATCTCTCTCTACGTGCGTCAGAGAGATGTAGTGATTGGCGTTTTTTCCCTCTCTTTGAAACCTTAGAAGTAGCTCATACCCAGTTCTTGATTATTAAGGAATGCAGTTTTTTCTTATTATTGTAAATAAACCTTTTGTGATTTTAAAGATTGGGCTCTGCATCTTTGTCTGCCTAAGCTCTTAATTTTTTACAGCCACATCACGCAGCATTTCACGTTTTGCTAGCTGTGAGCTGTTGCTCAACTTTTAGTATCCTGTTTGTGTTTTGGATGCTCTGCTGTATATTTTTGGGTAGTTTTCCCTAAAACTTTGAAGAGAAATTAGACTGGAGCGTTTGAAAGAAACATCTGCCACATAAATTACAGAGAATTATACAACACGGTTTTCCATTTAAGTTTTCTAAAACATATCTGTGTTTATTTTTTTCCAGGGCTGTGGTGGGCCCAGCTATCAGGGCTTGGTTGGGGAGGCTGACGCTGGTTGTGTGAACATGGCCTACAGAGTGGTGGCAGATCACGTGCGAACCCTGTCCATATGCATAGCCGATGGTGTTTATCCAGGCATGTCTGGTGCCGAGTAAGGAAGAAACGCGTTCACAAGGGTTGGTGGGGACCAAACGGCGAGTTGGGTCTTGGGCCCCTTCTACACTATCATATAATCCAGATTATCAAAGCAGATAATCCACATTATCAACGTTGAACTGGATTACATTAGTCTTCTCTGCCATATAATCCAGTTCAACGCAGATAATCTGCATTTTATATAGCTGTGCAGAAGGGGCCTTGGAGGAAGTTTGGGTAGGACAGAGATCTGGACCAATTTTGAAAGAGAAAGTTATTTGGACACAAGTGGAACCTCAGGCAGAGAGTAGAGTTAGAAAATATGTGGATTTTAAATAATTTCTCTGTCTTGCCTTCATGGTCCTTCTATTTTTTATACACATAATGTATAATATGAGTTAGGCTGGAGGGCAGTTACTGTTTCAAAATCAAACTTCATAAAATTATGTTTATTAGTATAATTATGTTTTATTTGATTATTTGTATTCTTTTTTCATTTTTATGTTAGTTCTGTTTGCTATAAGTTTATTGTTATTATTTTGGGACTATGACCCTCAAACGCATTGCTTGCTAATATTAACTACCTATTTGTCACTCCCTTTAAGTATCACTTTATTTCTGCCCTTCTATTCTTAATATCACTCTTCTAAATCAAAAAGCGAATAATTAAAGATTGACCCCATTTTAGCTATAAAAAAGGAATAAATTGATATCTGGGGGGAAAGGAGGAGAAGTTTATTGTAAATCTGACAATGATTGTTCATGTGTGTGAGAAGCTAACTGGTTAAATGCTTTGGGGAATATGACTTAAGAGGCTTTGTGACTATTGGATGGGAAAAGTGAAATATCATTCTGGCCCAGAGTGCTAACTTTGAATGGACAACTCTTTTGCTTGCAGGGTTGTTCTGCGTCACATCTTGCGTAGGGCTGTGCGATTTTGCTCTGAGGTTCTCCATGCGCCACCTGGTTTCCTGGCCAGCTTGGTTCCTGTTGTTGTAGAAATCCTGGTAATTAAGATCTTATTTTTCTGTCTGAAGTCATTTAGAGTAATTGTTTACATGAAAGGCTCTGAGATAACTGCACATCAAAGCTTGAGTGTCACTTTCAGAAGTCCAGCTTCTCAAGAGCACTTCCTGACATGACACCAGTTTTAAAGAAATGATATATGGAGTAAAATTGCGTTTTGTATTGGGAAAATAATAGAAAGGCATCAAGTGGGGCCTTGGGATTATGCAAAGTGATGCCATTTAATAGACTGTGATTCTTCCTTTGCAGGGAGATGCTTATCCAGAGCTACACAGGGATACAGACAAGGTGAGTGGCTGAAACAGACTGAAAGTTGTATCTAGCAGAGATTTAGAAAATATTGTCATCTGAAAATGTTTAATTTGAATTTTGTATTTTGTATGCATTCAAAGCATTATGTAAAAATCATTTTATTGTCATATTTATAATGGAAATAGCCTAACATATTTGTCCCTTATATTTAACTTAAACACTTGAAAGAACAATATTTTTAAAAGACACACTGGATGGGGGTTGCACCATGTATTATACTGTGATGCACAACTGTGCAGAGGTTGTGGGCCATTTCTTCCTCCAACACCTGTCAGGAGGACCAAAGTGTTGTGCTTTGGGACACACAGGGTGAGGCATTACTAACTTAACACTCGCCCGTCCTTGAATCTGGTAAATTAATTGGAATTCATGAAGGTTTTTTTTTTCAGTCTCATGGTGGTGCATGATTCTTTTCCTATCTTTTCATGTACAATTTTTTGCTATCACACACTGATATGCTTGTTCCTCATCACCAGAACACACTCTCCTTTTTTTTCTTTTTGCTCATTCAGTCTTGTTTATCATACAATACATCAGCCACCAATAGGTTTATCTTCTGTTTCTCATTGGAAAGAGATGAAAGACACGAGTAAAGGATATGCATGAAAATACCATATACTGACCAGGGGCATGTTAAAATTCATATGATCATTCTTTGTTATTAAAATGTGGGACCAATTGGGTCTTTTTCTGTGCTCGAACTGACCATATTTAATGAAACTGAGCACTCTTACTGCCAGTCAAATAATGCAGTGGAAAGAATAATTAGGAATTATGTGCAATTACAATCGGAATGGCTGCAGTGTACAATGTTTGGATCATGTAATTTTAATATTTCTATTAAGATGTTATTAATGCTTTGTTTTAATGTTTAAATGTCATTTATGTCTCATGTTTAATGGTTTTAATAATTTTAATTTATAGTTATATGTTAGTGTTTAGTTATTATGATTTTTCTATTTACATGTATGTTGACATTGAATTATTGCCATTAGTATGTTGTAAACTGCTTTGAGTCCCCCCAGGGGTAAGAAAGCCAGTATATAAATATAGAAAATAAATAAAGTGACTGCACTGCATTATCAACATTATCCACTTGATTAACAGACTAGCATAAAAGGAGTGTGGTCTAGCAAGTGAGACTCTTTTCTACTATAATCATGAATAACTGTTGCTATACTATACAGTGAAATCTATGGAATAGTTTGTAATTTTTTGTCTTACTTTTTTATTACCGATTCTGGCTTGCTTTAAAACCTTTTGTGCTTCTTCTTTTGAATAATGGGTTTAATTACTTACCATCCCCGCCCTCCAAAATTTGGCTTTGATCTTTCTACAGGTTATGAATATTATCAATGAAAACGAGGCTGCATTTTTGTCTTCCCTCTTGCGGGGACGCCGTGTCATAAACAGAACACTGCAGCAGATGGATCATTCCAAAGTCTTCCCAGGTAAATTCTCCCCTTTTTTACATAATAGCTGAAGGCAGGTAGAGAACCTAGTTACATGCAGGTTGCGATCTTTTTCGTGTTTTCAGTTGCCTTGTTTTTTTCCCTCTGGAAAGAGCCACGAAAATATCCATGAAAGTAAACAGAGTTCAAGTTCAAATGTCATACAGCAATAGAGCTAAAAACCTGGCTATTTAAGCAAGCCTTTGATCATGGCTAGGATATTATTTAACTATTGGACAAGATTTGAATGACCATGAGAACTTTAATTATAATTGCTGGTTAGCCTGCTAACAGAATAGCTGGTTTAAACAGTGATTATTTTTAGATTGTTTTTAAACAGCAAATAGTTTTAGCCTGCATTTATTAATGCTTATATTATAATGTCATTTTAATTCTACTAAGTAATAATAGTTTTGTTGTATACTGCTTATTGTCATATTTTTTGTGTGTGTTTGTTTGATAGTTGTAAGCCACCTACAGTCCCTTTCAGGAGAAGGGGCGGGGTTTAAATAAAATGTATTGTTATTATTATTATTAGAACTGCATTATTTATTCCTGTTGACCTTTTTATTCCCACAAGAATTCAAGTGCATTTCTACTTGTCTCCCAGTAAAGTGTTCAATACTCAGAAGGTTGTTAATTTTCTTTATTTCAGCATGGTCTTTTCAGTCAAGAATTTTACAACACTTTGAACTACAACATCATTTGTATTGATTCAACAAAAAATCATATTTCAGATTAGGCTTTGCAAAATTATTTGTTTTGCACAATCTCTCTAAAATCCCCTCCAGCCAGCATGATCACTGTATCCCCCCCAAAAAAATTCAATCTCTGATGGAGACACACAATGTTTCTGAATGAAACAAGCTAAGGAGCAAACAAAAAAGTAAGACAATCCCATCAGCCATTCTCCATTCTCCAGTAATTATTCTGTCTTCTCCCCACCTCACCCTTCTCTTGCAGTGGAGATTGCCTGGTCTCTCTATAGCAATTTGGGATTCCCCCTGGATCTCATTGCCTTAATGCTTGAAGAAAAGGGGGTCCAGCTGGACAAGGCTGCTTTGGACTGTCTGGCACAGGAAGATGCGGAAGTAAGATGCAAATCTTTCCTCTTTTTCTCCGTCAAATAAAGCCTGAATTTTCTTTTCCTCTAGCTATTTTTTTTGTTGTGGTGATTAATTGCCTTCAAGTTTACTTTGTCTTATGGTCACCTTTTGAAAAACAGACCTAGTAGGCACCAGCAGCCCTTGCAGACTCAGGACCATGGCTTCTCAGATTAAGTCTGTTCATTTCAAATACGATCTTCCTGTCCTACTCCTCTCTACCAAGCAAGCATTAGTGTCTTTTCTATAAGGCTGGATCTATACTGCAATATAATGCAGTTTGAGAACACAGAAATGCTGGACCACTCTAACATCTACCATGTCAGACTGCACAGAGAAGCCATTGAAATCCACAGACATGTGGACAATTTCAACAGAAAGGAGGAAACCATGCAAATAAACAAGATCTGTCTTACCAGTATTTTAAAAAACTCTAAAATCAGGACAGTAAATAAAGAACAAACACTCAAAAAGCAGGGGAATTCCAGACAAGAATCAATCAAGGCCAGCTAACACCTCCCAACAAAGGACCCCCCCAGGCAGCAACCAGCCAGGATTTGAAGCTGCAAGGCCATTAAATGCTAATCAAAGTGGCCAATTGCAACATTCACACTTGCCTCAAACAGACAAGAGTCCTTTTGCCCACACTGCACATTATTCTACAGAAATATAAACCTCACTTGCCTAGTTTCTCACAGACCCCTCAACCTCTGAGGATGCCTGCCATAGATGTGGGTGAAGCGTCAGGAGAGAATGCCTCTGAAACGTGGCCATACATCCTGGAAAACTCACAGCAACGTATTACTATAAGACCTTCATTCAAGAAGCACATCTGGTCCTGTTGGGTGGGGGAGTCTGGCAGTTGTATTCCATCACTTTACTAAGTTTTGCATATGTCTGCTTTAGTAGTCTAAATTCCATAAATTAATTACACACAGTTTGAACCGTTTTGAAATCTGAATTCTGTGTCCTGAATAAAATGAAAATATAATTCAGAATAAGCTTGGTCAACTGATGTTTTGCTCCCTTTCTTTTTCCGTACTTTTGCAGCGCAAAGCTCAACCACAGCAGGAGCAGAGTGCCAGGATGTTGCTAGATGTGCATTCATTGGCTCAGTTACAACGAGATGGTGTGCCTTCAACTGATGATTCTTTCAAGTATGCTTATGAAATTGGGCAAGATGGAAGATATGGTAAGAAATAAGACATACTAGAAGATATAGCCTCAAATGTACTCTAAAGAACACAGAATTAAGATTTACACATGGGGAAAAAAACTTTGGGACAGTTCACTCATGTTTACATGTTTACCATCTCTTTTTAAATAAAAAGGTTAAAAGGATTGGGTTTTTTTTTCTTTAGCCTCCAGGTAAATAGAAACAGCTTATGCTATTGTGGATGGCTAAATCAAAATCAGCATTGTAATACTTTTGACTCATAGTTAATGTGTCCCAAACTGTAATGTATACAAATTTGAGTTGTAGATTTTCTCCCTACAACTAGAAAAAAAGAAGGGTAGGGGACCCACAAATAGCCATTATCATTAGCAAGACCAGCTATACAAGGTGAAATGGATAGTTAATTTGGGCAGTTAATATCGGTTGTCATGAAATGGGAATGCATCACTTTTTTTGAGTTGTTGTTATATTTTTACTAGGAAGGAAGTGGAAGAGGTACTTGTAAGTTCTTTTTCAGGTGTCAAAAAAGTCTTGCATCCTGTGCTCCTGATGAGAGAGGAGGACATATCAGTTGCCTCAGTCAGCAAAATCTTTGTGGTCAGCCCTGGCTATTAGGGTTAAAATAGCTCATTCTGGCAGCATTTATCATGCTTTCTTCACACAAGTCTTCCTATTGTTCTTTGGAAACATCACAAAACTGTCTGCCGTATTTGTAACATTTTTCTGTCTGTAAGCTTCAATTAGATACAGATCTATCATATAGTGTCATAGACACTGTTCCCGTTGATGGAAGTAACCGGAACATGATAAATTTTTATTTAGGTCTGCTGGGAGGAAAGAAAAGTATTTTACTTATCCCAGTAGAATACTTGTCATTACAGCAGCAACCCTGAAGGTGGCACTGTTTTATCAATAATACAAAGAAGATTTAGCAGAATAAAGCTTGAATTAATTCACATAATGTATTTAGGTTTAGTTTATCCTCTTCCACCGCTTAAAAATTGGTTGACTTAAAAGGGAATAATCCAAAATAGCCTATTAGCTTCCAGGCACAATTCAAAGTGCTGGCTTTGGCCTATAAAGCTCTGAGTGGTTCTGGCTCAGTTTACTTGTCCGAACGTATCTCCCGCTACAATCCACCTAGGACCCTAAGATCATATGGGGAGTCCATGCTTGTTGTCCCCCCATCATCACAATCACGTTTGGTGGGGACAAGGGACAGGGCCTTTTCTGTGGTGTCCCCTCGGCTGTGGAACTCCCTCCCAAGCAAAATTAGATCTGCTCCATCCCTCCTGACCTTTTGGTTGTGGGCACCATGGTGTGCCGGTTGTTTATTTATTATTTATTTATTTATTCAAAGTATTTGTATACCGCTTTTCTCACCCCGAGGGGGACTCAAAGCGGTTAGCCACCCTGAGTCCCTCTGCGGAAGTTGAGACAGGACGGGATACAAATGTACGAAATAAATAAATAAATAATAGCCAATTTGTGATACTGGTTTCATATACTTTGTAAAGATATGGGGATGTATTTTGTGTGGGAAGCAACAAAAACTGTGTAGCACCTTTATCTTGTACTTTAGCGAGAGCCAGTGTCATGTCATTTAATAGACTCTTGGACTGGGACTTGGAAATTCTGGCTTCCAGCCCTCACCAAATGAACATTTCTGGGTGAACCAGAGGCAGTCCTTTTGTCTCAGTTTGTCCTATTGTACAGGTTAATGTGAGGGTAAAGTGGTGAAGAAGAAAGTAATGGGCCAAATCCTGAGTTCACAGAAGGAAAAGTTGGATATAAAATTCATAAATAATAAAAGCTGATCTTGTCCTACTATGTGGATGTGATTTTTAAGGAATATCCTCGGAGTTCAATCATTCTGCCATAGCGTGAAGTGACTGGCTGTAAAATAATAAGAAACTTACTGCATGATTGCAGATGAGCTTCTTAGCATCATAAATATATCTAGCCAACTTTCTTGGGCTATAAATGCTTCAAGTGGTTTGGCCCCTCACCAGAAGCATGGCAAATAATATTGCGATTTCTCTTTGCAGTGTTCAAGGAATGCAAAGGTACCATCTTGATGTTATACAAAGATGGCTCTCTTCAGAAGGAAGTCAGCGGAGGAGGGCAACGCTGTGGGGTCCTCCTGGACCAAACTTGTTTCTATGCTGAGCAGGGTGGCCAGGCACCTGATCAAGGCTACATGGTGTGTGGTGGGCAGCAGGTAGGTTTCTTCACTTATTAGGTCTGAAACCAACATTTGACCCCTTAGGCTGGGCTAAAATAAATTAATTACATTTGCTCTAAACACTGAGAGCCACTTCCAACCTTGCCCTGTCTAGGCCAGCATTCCTCAAGAAGGTATCCTCCAAATGAGTTGGGTTGCAGCTTCCACATTCCTCCATTCTCTATGTTAGGTGTGGAGTTATAGAAGCTAAACTCCAACATATTTGGTAGTACCTGTATAAGACTGCTTGTCTGTTTCTCAGCCTTTATAACTGATACAAGTAAGAATGAAATTTTGCTCTTTGACAAAAATTTGCTAAAAATATCTACATCTGTGCTGTGAGTTTGAAGATTCACCATCACACCTTCAGTTAGAATATTTCCTTCATTCCTGTAGTTATGCTGTCTTGTTAACAATGCTGTTATAGCCCAAGATGGCTGGAATTCTATTACCTATTTATCATTAACACCTGTTAGTGAACTGGGCAGGTCTCTTTTGATTAGAAATTGCACATTAATGTCATGAAACACATCAAAGCCAATGTTGTGTTGTGGTTTGACTAAGACTCTGAGAAACCAGAGTTTGAATTCTCACTTGGCTTGGAAACCTTCTATGTGACCTTGGGCAAGGCACACTTTCTCAACCTTATAGGAAGGCAATGGTGAACTTACTCTGAATAAATCTTTTAAAACATTTTAGCAGAGGGTCATCATAAACTGGAGTTTATTTGAAGGTCCAAAACAACATGTGCAACTTGCCTCTTGAACCATTCCCCGATCTTTGGCCATGCTGGCTGGGGCTTCTGAGATTGGATATCTAACAATATCAAGCTGTAGAACCACTGATCTAGAGGTTTTCAGGCCTTTTGGAATCCTTCTTGAATTGAAAATTTAGTTTGATATTTTAAATTCTCCATTTTCCTCTAAAGATGTGCTTCAGCCAAAGGAACATAAGTTTGTACTAATCCCTACATTTGTCTTTTTCTGCTTTTGAGGACACACTTTTCCCTGTGGTGTCAGTGCACGTTTCTGCTGGTTATGTGATCCACGAAGTGATTGCTTCTGAGGCCCTGAAGGTTGGAGACCAAGTACAACTCTTTGTTGATGAGGTAACGATCATTATTGGATGATGCTAGGGAATATCGAGGTCTCTTCTGTGTCTTGCAAACTTACAAGTTGAGTAGAACTATGCCCCCTACTGGTACAGCGGGTTAAACCGCTGAGCTGCTGAACTTGATGACCAAAAGGTTAGCCATTAGAATCCGGGTAGCGGGGTGAGCTTCCACAGTTAGCCCCAGCTTCTGCCAACCTAGCAGTTCAAAAACATGGAAATGTGAGGAGATCAATAGGTATCGCTTCTGCGGGATGGTACTGGCGCTTCATGAAGCCACATGACCTAGGAGGTGTCTACAGACAACGCCGGTTCTACGGTTTAGAAATGGAGATGAGCACCACCCCCCAGAGTCAAACATGACTAGATTTAATGTCAGGGGAAACCTTTACCTAGAACTATGGCATCACAGCTATGAAAGTTTGGGGAGACTGAATTACTGGGTGTATGAGCAGATAATTTACTTTCACAAAGCTCCTTCTATTGAGTAAAAAAAAAGTATTCTCATGTCCTTCTTTGTATTAATAAAATAAATAGTGGCATCCTTCATCCCTCCTTTCTTACCAAGAGCATTCCTCTTGTTTTTTCTTCAAGGCCCACAGGATCGCCTGCATGGTGAACCACACAGCCACCCACTTACTCAGTTTTGCGCTCCGCCAGGTCATGGGAGAGAGCACAGAGCAGTGTGGGTCCCATGTAACAGCTGAACATCTGCGGTTTGATGTCAGAACACAGGTAAGAGGGATCCTCAGACTTTCCCATGAAGTAGCAGTGAGGAAATTTTGTTTGTGAGCAGAACTGAAGCCAGGCCATATGAGCTAGCTGTCTCATGACAGTTGTGGATTCTGGTCACTTCTCCTTTTGGTGGACACAGCTAATTGTATATACGAGGGAGGCTATAAATGCCAAACATGCAAATTTTGCAACAGTGAAATTGTCCAAGAGCAACCCCAGTGGATTGAGTTGAACCACTGAAAACTCCTTGAAGCCTAAACTGCCTTTTCCTTAGGGGGTGTTTAGTATTGAATGATTCCTCCCATAATCTTCAGTCAGCATGTCTGGTGGGTGTGTTGGCTAGATCATACAAACAGTGTAACATTTAGGAAATATTCCAGGTTGCAGAAGACTGATCTAGAGCAGGGCTTCTTAAACTTTTTCCACTCACAACTCCTGTCTGTCTCAATTTTTTTTACATGACTCCAGGTATATAGGTTTATGAAATAGTTGTAAAACCCAAATATTTACTGATAATAAATCAGCATTTGCAAGGTATGATAAACAAGCTGACTTTTCTTTTTATAGAGTACAGCTGCAGTATTTTCTGCAGAGTTCAATGTAAACACTGCACATTGTTGGTAACAGATTTGTGTAAATGGGTGACATTCAGAAACCTTTTACTGTTGCCCAACTTTTAGTGATGCCAACATTTAGCTGAGGGGACCCCATTTGGTGTCGGGGTGCATTGTTTAAGAAGCAGTGATCTAGAACATATCTTATTGTTGCTGCAGGTTGTACAGTTGTTGATAGTTCTGACCATGCTTCCTTGTAGTAGATGAACAACATGAGGAAAGGGAGTGGTTTCTATGTCTGTGTTCTATAAGCTGGAGATGAAATGAAGCAAGGAATGTAGTTTTGCAAAACAGAAAATCCAGAGAGATTTTTTTTGAGTGCTAGGTTCTTCCAGATGGCAGCCATCTTCAACTCTTACTACATAACATTGCATTTCTTTTCTAATCAAATAACGTGTCCTTCATTAGGTCCCAGTAAAGACAGACCATCTCCAAGAAGTGGAAAATGTGGTCCAGGAGGTGATAAAAAAGAATGAAGTTGTCTGTACAGAAGAAGTTCCCCTCAAGTTGACAAGTGATGTTCAAGGACTCAGGAAACTGGATGACGTAAGTCAAAGGAGGGAAATAAATAAAGTGTGTTTCTTTAGTCATTGAACGCCCCCCCCCCCCAAAAAAAAAAAGCTTTCAATAGCAAATAAGCATTACTACTATCTTGCTGTGTGATTTACAGACAAATCTCTATATTCATAAAACTCTTTTAAATCTAAATTTCTTAATACTCATGATTGTATAAATAATGTGTTCAGAATGCAATGAGCCAGGCAACTCGAATGTAGGAAACTGAGGTTAAAACAAGAGACTGTAATTTACTGTGGATTTTTGGTACAAATCTTTTCTGCTGTTTTTCAAAGGATGGCAGCATAGAGCAAGAGCTGCATATGTGAACAGTCTTTTCTAAATAAATAAGTGGTATTGTGTAGATTTGACATGACTGCTTGAAATTAAAACTACCAACTAAGCAGAACTGTCACATCTGTTTATCCGAGGCTGAAGACATTAAAGGGCAAGTGGTGTGTCTTGGTCTCTGGTATTATTTTGTTGAATTCAAAAGACAACATGCTAATAATAACAATACAAGAACAGCTGTCTTTTCTAGCTGTGTTCAAGCACGACAATTGTAATCACAGAGGGGGCTGGGGACGTGGTGCCAGTTCAGGCCTTGTACCAACCTTCCTGGGGTGTACTGAAGAATTTGTAATTGGCAAGAGGTTGAAGTTATTATTATGAACTGTAGCACTCAGATTTCTCCAGCTGGTACAGACACTATGGACATTTGGAGAAGTATGTTCCAAAGTAGTAGGTTTTCCAAACTCTAAACATGACAGGATGCAGGCTCCATCCATTGATTAATCCTGCAGAGATTTTCCGCACCTCTTTGCTGTCTGTGACCACCTGGCTCCCAGCCTATAGTCCCCAGCTCTCTCCTTAGAGCATTACACAAACTGTTTAAAAGCAAATCTTTTGGGTTTGGAAAGATTACAAGAAACGTTGCCCGTGGGCCACCAGCTGTATTTACTCACTATTCTAGGAGTCTCTTTCCATGTCCTCCTCTAAGGGCAAACCAAGAATGGGAAACTTGGAAATCCCTGAACAGACTCAGAAGTGAAGTGGGCAGATCAAAAGACAATCTGACAAAATGACACTACCTAAAATAATCCGCCACCTCATGCAACTGTGGAGCAGAACAAATAACTCTACACCTGTATGCTTGTGCACAATGCCCTGCCTCATGTATAGTGGAAGAATTGTTTAAAGCTACAGACAGTGTGGTCGCTGTTGCCCGGTTTTGGTAAAAAAAATTATTTAGCCACTTGTGTTCCTTCTATTTTTATCAATTTTATACTTATTGTATTTATGCGATGCTTTTGACACAAGATAAATAAATTGCACAAATTTTCCTAAATCTTCTGTCTATGAAAGTTTTTCCATCTCTGAATTAATCTTTCACATTCTTGTGCAGACCTTCACCATATTTTGACAAATTAGGCTCATTGTGTTTGGGTGTTTCTGAATTTTCCATGGCCTCATTACAGCTTGATGTTACTTAACTTAAGAGATAGCTAGGATGCTTGTTCTGTAAAACAGAAATTCCTAAATTATAAATACCATGCTAAGTGGACTTTCATACTAGCAGCTTTAATTATTTCTCAATCTATATAAATAAAAATGTAATGTTCGTTTGTGGGATTAACATAACTCAAAAACCACTGGTCGAATTGACACTAAATTTGGACACAATACACCTATCAGGCCAACGAGGGACCATCACTCACAAAAACACTGAAAAACACAGTGGAAGAGACTTTAAAGGCCAAAAATAAAAAAATACATTACATCACATGTGCAAAACCATATATATATATATATATATATATATATATATATATATATATATAAAATATACGCACATGCACAAACACACATATATACACATATACACAAATATATATATACAAACAAAGCACATATACACAGACTGGGCCACAGCAACATGTGACGGGACAGCTAGTTTATTAATATTTTCTTTCTAAGAATCTCTTGGTCCTCCAGTGTGATTCTGTGATAAACCTCTTGCAAGTTATCCATAGAGTCATGCTGGAGGACGAAGAGATTCCTAGGGAGTGTCTCCCCTTCCCTCCTCAGAAATAGCATATTTTTTATCCATGGTTTTCCCATTTATGCAAGGTCCCGCATCCTTAATCCCTGTGAAAGTGGAGGACATACTGTATTAATTTATCCTCAAAATGCTAATATGAGGGAAAGCAATCTGTAAGCATGTGTATCCAGAATGTTTCAGACTTCTGAATGCATGGCCATTCAGATGGTTCATAAATATACAAGCATGCTGCTCAACCTTTGGTACAATCAGAAGCTAACATGCCATGTGATAGGATGATAGTGGATTGAATGGCATCCATTAAAACCAGATCTGGAAAAAAAAGAGAAAAGCTGCTTGGAGGGAAAACATTAGACCACCTTTCTTCTGTTTCCCACATTTCCATGGGCTGAGTAGATATGCACAGAGCACACTCTTCCACTAATCCAGGCTTCCTTTTGTTTGCTTGTTTTCTATGTCAGGTGTATCCAGATGTAGTTCGGGTGGTATCAGTGGGAGTTCCAGTGAAGAGAGCATTGGCTCATGAGTCTCAAGATGCCATGCATACCTCGGTGGAGCTGTGCTGTGGAACGTATGTTTCAGTTCAACTCTTTTGGTTTATTTTACAAAACAAATTCATATGAAACAGAAGTCATGCAACAAACCTAACCAAATTTAAAAGTGCAGCTGAAGCATGGATTTCTGAGAGTGGGGTCTTGTATGTTCTCCTTCTCCCCAGGCACCTTTTGCGAACAGGAGCTGTCCAAGACTTCACAATCATCTCTGAGAAACAGCTGGTCAAAGGGATAAGCCATATCATTGCACTAACTGGAGAGCAAGCCAAGAAGGTAAGACCTTCATGAAACAGCTGGCTGGCTTTTTTCTGATGATTTTGATTTTCAGAAAGAATGCTCAATTTGTATATATATATATATATATATATCACCAATCTGCGCTTTATCCCCTCACCTCCATGCTCCTGTTATTTCCTTACTTTTGGTCTCCATTCTCTTTCTCATGCGTTGGTGCCCTTGTTTTCCTTCACTCTTGATCTGACGCATACTCCTTTTCACGCACTCATTTTCAAATTCTGCCATTCAGAATTTATTTCTCAAATTAATATAGTGAAGTGTTGTGTGGTTTCTGGTCTGTATGGCCATATTCTAGCAGCATTTTCTTCTGACGTTTCACCTGCACCTGTGGCTGGCATTTGAAGAATCCACACAACACTGAACTGATTCTGGCTGTGATAAATTTCAACAATACATCAAATTAATATCGATTGCATAGCTATTAATTCTCTTAAGGGCTGTGAAGGGGAGTCATTTTGTATATATAGGTTGAAGGCTTACTGCCAGAAGAGTAGGGGGGAAAAACACCAAGACCCTATGGAGAAATAGAAACTGTATTCATCTGATCATTGGAAGTTCCATCAAAGTTTTTTGAGACTCTAATCTTTTCACTGATGCCTTTTTGGAAAATATACTTAAAGGAAACATGTAAACAATCTGGTTCTGATAACAGAGCATCCATAATCTCAACATCTTCCAAGAGGAGTTTCCTTGTTTCCTTGCTGCTATTGTTGTTATTATTATTAAATACACCATTATTATACAGTATGTCACAGCAAACGCGATATATATGCTGGATTTTGTATCATAAAATCACAAGTCGAACACTTCCCAAGCGTCTAGGACTGTATGATGTATTTTCGAATGATGCGCGCAGATCCAAGTAAGGTGGCCTTTTGCAGTTGACAGATGGTTATTTTGTCAGTGTTTATTGTTGTTGTTGTTATTATTATATGTATTATTAGATACATAACAAGATTTGTGCATAGTAAACAAGATCACTATGCTTGCTTTTGTATTTGATTACACTTCAGACACTTACCAAGTGTCTAGGGCTGTGTGATGTATCGTTGAATAATGTGCGCAGATCCAAGCAGGGTGGCCTGTTGCAGCTGACAGATGGTAATTCTGTCAGCGCCGATTGTTTTTAAGTGGAAGCCAAGGTCTTTAGGCACTGTACCTAGTGTGCCGACCACCACTGGGACCACCTTTACTGGCTTGTGCCAGAATCTTTGCAGTTAGGTTTTAAATCCTTGTATTGTATAAAGAAACAAATAAAATTAATCTTATTTATTTATTTATACCCCATTTGATCTCCCCCAAAGGGGACTCAAAGTGGCTCTTTGTGGCAAAGTTATAGTTGGGCACAAATTGCACTCTTACAACATGGGCCTTTGCATATCACACCACTATAGCTCTGTGGAATCCTTGGATTAGTAGTATGGTGAGGCCCTAGAGCTCTATGGCTGAGAATTCTAAAATGCCTCCCTAAAATACCAATCCAAGGATGACATGGGATGGAATCATGGCAGTTGAAGTGGAATCGTAGTACTATAACTCTGTAGTGTGAAAGAGCTCAGGGTAGTTTGTGTCCTGTTTTGATGCATTTCATAATAATCTCTTTTGAAGCAAAATCAGGGCAGATAACACTAACCATGTACCACAACCTTTGGTTAATTGCCTCCATGTGTTTTTGCTACTCTCATCTCTTTGTCTTTCTTACCCATTCTTCTCTGCCCGAAGCCTTTTTTCGTTTTGTGCTGAGTAATAATCCCACCGACCTGCTCTGTGGGTCTACCCTGTTGGTGAAAGGAAGGACACACAAGCTTTGCCACCAACTGGATGGGGAATCAACCCAATCTGTTGCCCTCTCTTTGGTTGCTGGCAGCAGGCCATTAAATTATTCCTCAAGTTCGGTTTTCACTCTGGCGCTTGTCTTTCTGGCCTTGTCATCTCCTCCTGTGTTGTTACATTGCTGACAAGACTCTGCCTGTCATGGAGAGCAAAGGTTTCAGAGTAGGCTTGCCGGATTATTGAAAGCACTGACCCAAAGCAGCTTTGCATCAGTATTTTGTGTTCTCCTGCAGTTTCCTTTTATGTTTAGCTCTGAAGTGGAAACACTTACATCCAAGACTGTTGTTTGCTAAGTGAATAAAAGTAGTCATGAAAGTAGCCATCCACAAGAAACCAAGGGAAGCAATGATAGTCTGTGTGCTCTTGCAGTTGTTGACTCCTAGCAGAATCTGGATCCTTTTCATAGGTGTGGCACACAACAACAACAACAACGACTATTGTTATTATTTATCTTGATCATTCATTCATTCATTCATTCATTCATTCATTCATTCATGCAGCAGCACCACTGCACTTGGCCTTTTGCAAGTAAAAAAACAAGAAAACAGTTCCCTGTCCTCAGGAGCATAATCTAATTACAACATGTCACAAAAGGGAATAAAGGGATGGCAGTGTGGAAGGGGATTAAGTCCAGGAGATACTGCTTCTTCTCTCCAATGCCAGGGCAATAGCCGTTGGGATGGGGGCAGGGTCATTCATCTGCTTCTGGGACAAGACATAATGGAGCTGTGCCTGCCTTTCCTTCAGTTCACAAAGTAGATGTAAATTGTGCAAATTAAATGTCTAAGGAAATGCTCAAAAATTAAAATGCTCTTTGTGTTGTCGAAGGCTTTCATGGCCAGAATCACTGAGTTGCTATGGGTTTTCTGGGCTGTATGGCCATGTTCCAGAAGCATTCTCTCCTGATGTTTCACCCACATCTATAACTGGGGAGTAAACTTTGTTGGGAGGTGTTAGCTGGCCCTGATTGATTCTTGTCTGGAATTCTCCTGTTTTTTGAGTGTTGCTCTTTATTTACTGTCTTGGTTTTAGTGTTTTTTTAATACTTGTAGCCAGATTTTATTAATTTTCATGGTTTCCTCCTTTCTGTTGATATTGTCCACAAGCTTGTGGACAATTTTAATTGTTCCCCTGTGTAGTCTGACATGGTAGTTGTTAGAGTGTCAGACTACATCAGGCAGCAATCAGCCAGGCTTTGAAGCTGCAGTGCCATTCAATACTAATCATTTGGCCAATTGCAACATTCACACGTGCCTCCAACGGACAAGAGTTCTTTCTTCCACCCTGGACATTCCACAGATATATAAACCTCATTTTCCTAGTTTCCAATGAACCTCACAACCTCTGAGTTTGCCTGCCATATATGTGGGCAAAATGTCAGGAAAGAATGCTCCTGGAACATGGCCCTACAGGCCGGGAAACTCAAAGCAACCACTAAAAGGTTCTTGGTTTGCTTCTGAGGAAATTTCATCCAAACAGATTTGTGCTGGTTATTGCTTAAAAGGTCCAGTGTGACTCAACTCAAAGCTGTCTCCCCATGAGCTTGTCTGGACCATGAGATCTGCAGGGGAAACCTTTCTTTCAATTCTTCACAAATATGGTTGGTGGGACTGGGAACACAATATAGGGACTTCTCAATACCCCCTTCTTATTGGGCTCTCATCAGCAGAGAAACACTTTTTATAAAATCCCTGCAATAATTTTAGAACTGAAGGCTTTTAAGGAAAAGGCCGTAAAACAGTGGTTCTCAGCCTGGGATCCCCAGATGTTTTTGGCCTTCAACTCCCAGAAATCCTAACAGCTGGTAAACTGGCTGAGATTTCTGGGAGTTGTAGGCCAAAAACATCTGGGGACCCTAGGTTGAGAACCACTGCCATAAAAGTATGCATGTTTTCAGTTGAATTCATAATTCATAATTTTTAAGTGTCTGGTTTAAATTGTTTCCATATGCTTAATAGTTTGATTCTATATTAATATTCACAGCTTTTATGTTTCTAAGTACATTGCATTCATTCTAATTTGTAACCCACCCTACGTTCCAATTTTGGGAGTGGGGAGAAGCAGGGTATAAATAAATTTTGTCATAATCATCATCAGTTGTCATCATCTCCATCTCCATCTTTAGGCCTTTTTGCATAACTGGTTTTTCTGGGCTCACTTCCATTTTTGCTGCATTCATCCCATCGTTCATTCATTCTACTGTCTTCAACAAGAAACCTTAATGGAGATCAAGTTCAACCATCTCTGGCACTCGTATCCATGCCCAGATTTATTGTTTAGGGAAATGATGGCATCCATTTAATGAATCAATCGTGTATTTATTTGAAATGTCTATATACTTCTCTATAACCATGTTTTGTTTCAAACTGGTTCTTGGAGTTGGGCCAATGCAGAGAGGGAGCCAATGAGGTTGGCATACCACCAGTACAAAATGGTCACCCTGCCCAGTCCCACTTAGCAAGCTTGCAGCTGGGCTCTGAGCTAAAATAAGTTTCCAAACCATTTTCAAAAGCAGCCACATATACAGCCAAACACTCTCTGATTACAATATGTATATGACTGCAGTAGTCAAAGGAAACATTTAGATCAGAGGCCCTCAAACTTTTTAAGCAGAGGGCCAGGTCACAGTCCCTGAAACTGTTGGAGGGCTGGATTATAATTTGAAAAAAAAACATGAATGAATTCCTATGAACACTGCACATATCTTATTTGTAGTGCAAAAAACAGTTAAAAACAATGCAATAATTAAAATGAAGAACAATTTTAACAACTATAAACTTATTAGTATTTCAATGGGAAGTGTGAACCTGCTTTTGGCTGATGAGATAGGATTGTTGTTGTTGTGTGCTTTCAAGTCGTTTCAGACTTAGGCTGGCCCTGAGCAAGGGCCGGGTAAATGACCTTGGAGGGCAGTATCCGACCACAGGGCCTTAGTTTGGGGATCCCTGATTTAGATGATACGAAGCTGTGGTTACTTAAGTCAGGGTCTTAGTAAAAAGCAATGCTTCCAGTAATGAAAGATGGATGAAGGAGCACCTCTGAATGTTGAAATCTCTATCCCGCATGATTATGAATGCTATACATAACCTTGTATGTAGAAAGGCTGTCCTGCTTTGGAGTGGCCAGTTGGCTTCACACAGCTTTCTGTTGTCTTCTAGGGCACTACTTCTTAAACTGTGGTTCCTGATCCCAAATTGGGTCCCTTTAGCTCAGTATTGGGATCATGAGCAACAGTAAATGATTTTTGAACACTACCTAGACATTTACATGAATCCGTTAGCACAATGTACAGTGGTTGCGCTGGACTCTGCAGAAAATGCTTCATCTGCCCTCTATAAAAAGAGAAAACAGATTGTGTTGTCAAAGGCTTTCATGGATGGTAAAACATCAAAACATCCAGGTATCCCCTGGGCAGCGTGCTTGCAGACAGCCAATTCTCTCACACCAGAAGTGACTTGCAGTTTCTCAAGTTGCTCCTGAAACAAAAAAAATGGTGGGAATCACTGGGTTGCTGTGAGCTTTCCGGGCTGTATGGCCATGTTCCAGAAGCATTCTCTCCTGATGTTTCACCCACATCTATGACAGGCATCCTCAGAGGTTGTGAGGTCACAACCTCTGAGGATAATTGCCATAGGTATGGGCAAAACGTCAGAAGAGAATGCTTCTGGAACATGGCCATACAGCCCAGAAAGCTCTCAGCAACCTGGAAAACAGACTCTTTAGCAAGACTTGTGTATGCTGATTTATTATCAATAAATCTTTGGTTTTTATACCTGTTTATATATTGACATAACCAGGGTTGTGTAAAAGAATCTTGCAAATGGAATATGTTTTAGGAAGGTCTGTTCTGGGGTACAACGAAAGCGTTAACATGTTCCATGTTCCTCTCATGTGGAAGGAGCTTGTTAGGAAATACAACTTCTCTTGCCACAGTAGATATCTTGCCTTTAATTATCCGTTCTAACAAATTGACTTTTCGGTGATATCTTCCTTACAGGCAGATTTGGTGAGAACATGAGAGAGGGATTTTTCAGTCGCTGGTTCCAAACTGGAAGCTTTTGAGACCCCATCTACATTGCTATATAATGCATTATATGGCAGTGTAAACTCATATAATCCAGTTCAATTCAGTTAAACTGCATTCTGGGACTGCATTATATAGCAATGTAGACAAGGCCTGAGTGAAGTTCAGCTCCTTGTTCTTCTGCCACCAGACAAAGATCTTTATATTCAGGTAGAGCTTTTGCAGCTGGCTACTGAGCACGGTGATTTTTGGAAGAGTGTAATGTTCTTGCTTTTTCCTTCAAGTGCTTTTAAATTGTTTTTAATTTGGTTATTCCATTCTGATAACCTGTTTAATTGTATTTTCCTACTGAAATTCATTGTGTCTTCAGATGTATGTTTCAAATTACTGTGAGATCTACCATAGACACCAGCATTGGGTGAATGCTGGGAGACAGAGTAAAAATAAACAGGAACTGTGTCTTGTCATGGCCGGAATCACTGGGTTGTTGTGAGTTTTCCAGGCTGTATGACCATGTTCCAGAAGCATTCTCTCCTGACATTTCACCCACATCTATGACAGGCATCCTCAGAGGTGATGAGGTCTGTTGGAAACTAGGCAAGTGGGGTTTATATATTTATGGAATGTCCAGGGTGGGAGAAAGAACTCTTGTCTGTTGGAGGCAAGTGTGAATGTTGCAATTGGCCACCTTGATTAGCATTGAATAGCTTTGCAACAGGAACTCTTTGCAGCAGAAGAGTAATTATATATAGTCTATTAATCCTTCTCAGGAAATGTTCCTGGATTGTCTAGCAAGCTCTTTTATATGGATTTCACGCACTGATTTCCCCTCTGGACGCGTTGGTATATCATAGCAAAGCAGAGAATCCCTTGAGGGACGATGGTCATGTCAAGAATTCCTAATGCTTTGTTGACATTTTCTAGTATTGAGTCTGTCATTAATTGGAAGGAACATTCAGTCCTCTGTAACATTCTGTTCCAATTTCAGTGTGATGAAGTGGTCTGCATCCCTCTCCTTTTTAGCTGGCATGTTTTTGTAGATGAAAATTAACAGGGATCATTTGCCTTTGAGAATCCAAATATTTTACTTCCTATTTTGTCATCATTTCTTTCATTTTTAATCATTTTTATATCTAATCTGATAATTGTATTGTACTAAGCTTTTGTGCCTGGAACAAAGTGTTTCCAGATCTCTTGTGACTGACCTCACTTTTAATTCTCTGCATTGTTTGTATATCCACTACCTTTGTAAATGTCCCCCTCCCTGAAAGATTTTGGTTCTTTCCTATATTTCTAGGCTCGGGAAGATGGCCGGTCCTTTGCTAAGGAGGTGGAGTCTCTTACAATGCGGGTGAAACTGGGAGGAGCCACAGTTGATGAAGCACAGAGGCTTTCCAAGGAGGTTGGCTACCTAACAATTGTGAGTACTTCCTGCCTTCTCAGGCTGAAGGGTGGCTAGTTTCTTCCTGTCAATATGTTCTCTTTTACTTCTTGAATGAGTAGCACATTTTCCTCAAGGTTATATTTTCTTCTTTCCTGTGGAGAGTATCGGTCTAATTGGAACATTCACAGAGATCTGGTTTGATATGTAATTCCATTGATTATATAACCCAGGAATGGGATTATTTAGCCATAGAAATGTTACTAAATTACAGGTGCCATCATGTTTGACCATTTTCCATGCTGGCTGGCCATCTCCTAACTGCAATGATATATAGAAAGCTACCAGTTTAAGAGCGACTTGAGAAATTGCAAGTCGCTTCTGGTGTGAGAGAATTGGCCATCTGCAAGGATGTTGCCTAAGCCGTATATTTGATGTTTTACCATCCTTGTGGTAGGCTTCTCTCATCTGTTGGGGGTGCTTTGAATGCAATTTTCCTGCTTCTTGGCAGGGGGTTGGACTGGACGAGGTCTCTTCCAACTCTATGATTCTATGTCCCCGCATGGAGAGCTAGATCTGACAGAGGGAGCTCATCCACTTTCCCTGGATTCGAACCACTAACCTGTCGGTCAGTAGTCCTGTTGGCACAAAGGTTTAACCCATTGCGCCACCAGGGGCTCCCTCAGAATGGGTGCAGACAGGACATTGGTTTTATGAAAGAAGAAAATCTTAAGTAGCAGAAAACAGTGCCTAGACTCAATTTACCCAGAAATGATACAGTTTTTGAAGCGTATTTCTCTTTGTCAGCCCCACATCAACCTGGCTTACTTAATACAAATAAAAAAAAAACATAACCTCCTGTTGTTGGCCAGCTAATCAGATCATATGCTTTATCAGAGTATGAGAAAAGTTACTTTCTAGAAGCACAACTCCCAGAAGGCTCCCACCCAATATTTCCTGAATATAACTTTTCCATTCTCTGAAACTTAGTGAAGTGTATTTTCTCTTCCTTCTACCTTGCTCTGACTGACATCTGTCCAGTGTTCCCTACCCTATTTCATCAAAACAGATGTCCAGCAATAAACCTGTTTTTTCTAATTTTGGTGAACTCAGTCAGGACTAGCTGTTCCCAATACAAACTGTTGAATTTTTCCATCAATATCGATCTGTTCAATAGTTTAATTATACCTTCACTCACTTACTTCCAGGCTAACTCCAGCGTTTTGACCAAATATGTAAAACTGCTCTTCAGTAGCATTACGTTCTCCTTTCAGACAGCCAATTCTCTCACACCAAAAGCGACTTGCAGTTTCTCAAGTTGCTCCTGACATAAAAAAAACCCTTCTCCCAAATGAGTAAGGATCCAGGGGGTCTCTTACGGACTGTAAATAAGTAGACACTCCAGAAGAGGAAGTGTCCTGATGATCCCTCTTTGTTTTGCAGTCAGTGGACAATACTGCCATGCCTCAGTGGCAGAAAAGAGAACTCCAGGCCACTCTGAAAGCACTGCAGAGAACTGCCAACACTGCAATCCGAAAACTGGAAACCAAACTGGTAAGGATCTAGCAGCTGATCGGTCCTCTTGTTTGTTGGACAGACACATGACAAAACCATGCGCAGAAAATGTGAAATCACTGCTGAATTTCTCTGCATTAAAAAATATGGCAGCTCTCTACAAAAGGTCCACTGCCAACTTCAAATTAGATGGCAGGGTTTCAAGCCAATCTTGTGCTAACTTCATACTCTATCGTTGGCTGCCCTGTTGTTGTATCTGACAGTGCATTAATTGTTTACCATATCTGAAATCTTGGATTGGTCACTTATTCTTGGTCACTTATGCTTTATAAGAACACAAGGTTATATCTAGCCAGGCGTTCTGATCTTGCAGTGCAACGAGAGTCCTGTGAAGAGCCCTCAAGCAGAACATGGGACGCACTTGTTTCCCAGCAACTTGTAGATGGAAATATGAACTTTGACACTGCAGATAATACATTGTTGTCATGGCCAGTAACTGCTCATTGCCTAATCATCAATGAATTTGTCCAATCCCCCTTTAAAGCCCCTCAAATTAGAGTCTAACAGAATTTAACTCATCATAGACTATCACTTATGGCCGAGTCTGATTGTCTTCCATAGGTACAGTCTTGGCAGTAGTGACTAGAGACCTATTCTAGATCTGCTTGGTCTTTCTCAGGACATACATTTCCAGATGAACGTGGTCCCAACAAGGGTTTGTTTGAATCACCTTCGTCTTGGTACTTTTCTCTCTTTCACATGCTATTCATTCCACCTCAAAATCCATAGTACTGCTGGTAACAGCTGGTCTCCAGTTAGACCGCTCACATGCCAGGTTTAAGTATGCACTGTGTGAAGTATTATTTACTTTTAATGTCCTGAATCTCCCAACTTCACTCGACCTTATTGAATGATCAACTTTTAGATGTTCCATTATTATAACAGTGAGGAAATGCCTCTGCCTAATAATAGTATACATATTATGTATAATTTGTTCAGTTGTATTCTATAAGTTGCTTCTAGTGTGAGAAAATCAGCCGTCTACGAAGACGTTGCTCAGGAGACGCACAGATGTGTTACTATCCTGTGGGGAGGCTTCTCTCGTGCCCATCTAGGGCTCTGAGGATTACCTGGGAAGGAATCCCACTAGAGCATTGCAGCACACTGAAATACCTGGGAGTCACTCTGGACTGTGCCCTGACTTACAAGAAGCACTTCTTGACTATTAAGCAAAAAGGGGTGCCAGAAACAATATAATACAAAAGCTGACTGGCACAACCTGGGGATCACAACCAGAGACATTGAAGACATTTGCCCTTGCACATTGCTACGTTGCTGCTGAGTATGCAAGCCCAGTGTACAATACAATATCACCATGTTAAAACAATGGATTTGGTTCTCAGTGAGACATGCCACATTATCACAGGATGTCTATGCCCAACACTGCTGGAGAAGTTATACTGTTTAGTCAATATTTCACCACCTGATATCCACTGGGAAGTAGCAACCAGCAATGACAGGACTAAGGCATTGACATCTCCAGCCCATCCTCTGTTCAGATATCAGCCAGCAAGCCAACGACTTAAATCAAGAAACAGCTTCCTAAGATCTAAAGAGATATTCACAGGAACACTTCAGCAAGGGAGAGCCCAAAAGTGGCAGGCTGAAACCCAGAACCTCAATCAGTGGCTGAGACTGGATGAGAAAATCCTTCCTGGGTACACAGAAGACTAGGCAACTTGGAAGGTGCTGAACAAACTGCGCTCGGGCACCACGAGATGCAGAGCCAACCTTAAGAAATGGGGCTACAAAGTGGAGTCCATGACACGCAAGGGTGGAGAAGAGCAAATCACAGACCACCTACTACAATGCAGTCTGAGCCCTGCCACATGCACAAGGGAGGACCTTCTTACAGTCACACCACCTTCTGGTCAAAGAAAATTTAGTATAATGCCAAGTTTTGTGGGTTTTTTGTAATACATTATAACTAAATTCGCAATTTGTTTCTGACACAATAAATAAATGTATAATCTTACTCAGTTCTGCCTTGTTTTCCTCACATCCACATATTTTCACATTAAATAGCCCACACCAACCCTTTCATGACTTTGGTTGGCTTTTCCTCTCTCTTTTCCAACACTACAAGGGAAGAGATGTTATTTCAATTCTGGTTATTCTACATTTTATGCCAATTATTTCAAGTCCAGTAGGAGATACTTTGAAGACATTGGGATTCTTTTTAAATTAGTGAGGAGAAAACAAAATATATACATAGATAAGTAGCAGTTGGACATGCATGGCGAAACATGGAAACATGACTGAAATGCATAAGGAATGGAAGTTGTGGCACATTTTGTCAATCTTAGAAATACTGGACCATTTTACAAAATACTATTGACAGGTTTTCTAACAACAAAAAACTACAAGGACATACTAATTAAAAGGAACAAACCAGGTGTTCAAAAGATTCCTGAATATGCAAGGCTTTGCAAGTAATGAAGCATTTTAAGCAAAGAGCTGTGGTGAAATAAGTGTGGGTTCATGAAAGGAACCATGGTGTAAATTGGCTTTAGGTGTTGAATTCATTTTACTACGTCCGTCTCCTGCCTAGCATCTTAAGAAGCCTGACTAAATTCTGAACAGAAGAGGATTTCTGTTCCCGAGACTTGTTTGTGGCCACTGACAGAGAAATAACTGTAATTATTTATTGCTAATATTCCTCTCGGATGGCATGCGTTTTGAGTCTGTTTCATGGCAGTTGCCAATACACTGTGTGCTTTCTTCCCCAGGCTGTTGAGGAGGCACACAAACTGCTGGCAAAGTATTCCAGGGAGGCAGTCATCGTCGACACCATCGCTGTTGAGTCACCCTCAGTAAGTGTTTGTCAGTTTTGTGTTTCCGTCAGAAGAGAACAGGCAAGAGAGATGAGACTGATTCACTTTCTATGAGGAAGCCCAGCTGTCCTCTTGTGACAGACAGCAGGTTGAGCTGAGCACTAAGAAGGCAAGCATTTTGGAAAGAGAGAGTGGAAGAGGGATAAACTTACTGCTCAGTATTTTTGAGCATCCTTTAGGAAAAAATGTAGCTATCTCTTTTTATGTTACCACCTTAGATACTTGGTTTGCAAACCTGCACATCTCTTCCCAGTTAGTATTGCTACCAAGCTCTTTACTACATCCATGTATAAGGCCTGTGATTTTTAGTCTCTATTTAACTGTTGGCAATGATGGAGCATCAGGCAGAGTTATACATGAAATTATATTATTTACTTCTGCCCTGTACATTACCTCTTCACTACTGTTATATACTGGAATATCAACAGTATCCAATATATCAAGGTAATAAACAAATTAATGCAATATTTGCCCCATCCTCCACATCTGTCTCTTTATCTCAGAAGGCCCTTTTAATATAAGTCTTTTTTCCTCTCTAGCTGCCTTTTTCAAAACTCAAATACACTTCTATGTATACTAAAGGTAAAGTTTTCCCCTTGACCTTAAGTCTAGTCATGTCTGACTCTGGAGGTGGTGCTTATCTCCATTTTTAAGCCAAAGAGCCGACTTTGTCCATAGACACCTCCTAGGTCATGTGGCCGGTATGACTGTATGGAGTGCCTTTACCTTCCTGCCTGAGTGGTACCTATTGATCTGCTCACATTTGCATGTTTTCGAACTGCTAGGAGCTGGGCTAACAGCGGAAGCTCAACCTGCTCCCTGGATTCGAACCACCCTTTCAGTAAGCAAGTTCAGAAGCTCATTGGTTTAACACGCTGCACCACCAAGGGGTTTCATTTGTTATATTGTTGTACATAAAAACAAACTATATTGCAAATTATATAACTTTGCAAGCAGGTTTGTTCTCTTTAAATCTTTTTATTGATTAATATTTCTCTTTTCTTTCTCATAACTTGCCCCATTGAGTAGCATAAATGCTTCAGAATTTGTCCCAGTGCTTATATATAGTTTTAAAATCAAAATTACAATGATGCAGACTTTTTTGTATGTAGTTCAACAGAGACAATAAGTTTATTTTAATCAGCCCTGTAATTTCTAGATCCTGATGAAAGTTGTCAACCAACTCTGTGCAAAAATACCGGCAGCTTCAGTGATGTTATTGAGTCCACAAGCTTCTGGTCAGGTGTTTTGTGCTTGCCAAGTCTCCAAGGTAAATTGTGCTTTGCATCTTATTAATTTGCCCAAGTGGTACAAATTATGAAAAAGAGAATGGAACTTTGTCTTAGACATTCATAGAAGGACAAAATACTATAGAGAACACAGACTATGTGGAACAATTGAAGACCCATGATTTTAACTCTTGTTTTGCTTTGGTTCACTTTTATACTTCTAATAATATATCAGCTCAGTCATGAGAATGAGAAACAAAATTGATGTGTTTGTTTTCAGAAGAAATCATGGGTGTGGATGCAAATTTCCTTATTTGTTAAGGGCTTTGTATCTGTACAACAAATACATGGTCTATTTGTACTCATTTTGTTATTCTAAGTAAGTGGAAATTGTATCAAATGTTCCTGTGTTGCTGTGCAGTATTTTTTAGCATACCTGTTGCACTCCGTCCTGGATTCACCTTTGCACCACACAAGAGTCCAGTATTACTAGCAAAAAGGTTTATTGAAGAAAAACAAATATAAAAAGGCAAAAAGTAATGCAAAAAGCAATGTTCCAAAGAGCAATGGGGGAAAAGGCCAAAAAAGGGGAAAACTGAATTCATTACAGTTCTGTTCAAAAGTAACAAGGTACATAGAAAATCAGGAATCAAAACATATACATAAATCCATAAACAAGAACACAGGAACTTCTTTCAAAACATAAATCCATGAACGTGAGCACAAAACTTTCCCAAGGAACTTAAACATAGACTTGAACGTGGAACAAGACCAAGGTGTAAACGGTAACACAGCATTGCCTGCTCCAACCCTTTTAATTCACAACATTTTAATTTAAGGACCACAAAGCCCGAGGTCATGTATTTGACATCTGCTCTGTTGTTCCAATGATTTCTCATGTAGTATATCTGTGACCTCCATAATCTGGCTCCCTCCTCCCAGAGATCGAGCCTCCAACTCCTACTGACTTCAGGTGTTTTCCCAGGGGAAAGATCTCTCCCTTCTAGCTCCTTATCTTCCATTGCCAAGAAACAACTAGGGGAAAGGTTCTCCTTATCTTCTAATGCCACAGCATCTCCATCTCTGCTCTGAAGCCATTTCTTTCTCACCAGACACAGACCCATTCTCCCAGACAAAATCATGATCTAAAATCCCCTCATTTCTCACACTGGAAAGCCCATCGGTCCTCACAACCTCTGACTGAGCAATCCCCTCATCTTCAGCCTCTGGCTGAACCACAGCAATACCCTATGAAGAAGAATATTGAAGGTTGTGTTCAGCATAATTGGGCATGTGATGCACATATATTCCCTCTCTGTTCTGTGTTATACTATTGTGTTGGGTTTTGCATCTAGTACCAATTATTAAGGAACAAAACACCCGGATATTAATGAAAGGGTAGTTGATTGTATTTTTTTCACTTTTCTATTTCTGGTGTGTTAACTAACTATTCTTCTTCCCCGTCTCTCTCCACAGAATTCCTTGCCCACATTTTCTGCCTCTGACTGGGCCCTGTCTGTTTGTACTCAAATGGGAGGCAAGTCCGGTGGTTCTGGAGTTGTAGCCAAAGGCATGGGAAACACCACTGGTTTGCAAAGGGCCTTGGCTACAGCTCAGGAATATGCAAAGGATAAAATCTGATCCCCTCTCCCACTTTTGTGAAGCCGGTGCAAGGAGACAAAAGCTGGATAGTCGTTTGACTAACATGACAATCATTTTTGAGTTCTGAAAGCAATGACTGAGCTTTGTTTGCTGCTCGTTACTGTTGTGTTTCATACTTCCAGTCTACCTTGAATTGCACTTTCTCAAAGACCATCAAAATGTTAGGATAATCCAAATTGTTCTGACCCATATGTGTAAGCAGAAGGAGTGTTGATCTCTCCAAAAACTGATTTCTGCACTTGAGAATAATCATGTAAAAAAACCCAAAGGCATTCATTGCTCCACCCAATGAGCACAAGAGGAGATGGTAGTAGATACTGGCACCATGAATCTGCCATTCTGTGTAACCAAGCCTGCCTTGATGTCAAATGAAAAGAACTATACAATACTCCAATGCTAGTAATAAAGACTAAAGAGAGGGCTATATCTGTTTGAAGAGTTATTTTCTTATTCATTTAAATAAAATGGGAATGCTCTCTCTCAACTGATCCATTACTCAGGTCTTAATGAGTTTAGATAGGTATGCAGTCAACTACATGCATGCACACCGCATACAGCAACTTATGCCCACTTTTTGACTTCACAGATTAGGCTAATTGAAATTTCTGTTATCTTGAGCTTCTGCTCTTGAAGTTTGCTTTACATGGATGTTATTTTTCCATATGAGATGCCTACTTTCCATACTACAAATTTAAAAACCAACACTGAATTGTCATATTTATTTTTCCAAAGTCTATTGGGATTCTTGGTCCTACACCAAGAATGAGAAATATGCAGTTTCTCATCATAAAAATGTCCAGTCATTTCTCCAGAAGCCTCAAGGGGGCACAATTTGGTATGAAAAGGTTATTTCAACAGCAGATGTACAAATGTATAGGTTATTATGCTCCAGATTGACTCCAATTTAAAAAGCAGGCCAATATGGCCCTTTGGTGACTGTAGGGTACAGTCCCTAGACACTTTACAGCAGCTTCTTACCACTGCCGTAGTGCAGTTGTCTGTTCTGATGGAAGCAGAGATTGCAGGTAGCAGTCTTCATCCATGGAAGGGGGAGGAACGAAAATACCAATCCATAATTATAGCGTTATAAACTAGAGAGGGATTTTGAATTCTCAGCCAAGTCACTCCCGTGTCTCACCAAACGACAGCCTCAGGATTCCATAAGATGGAACGGTGGCAAAGTGGAATAATAGCATTATTAAACTACTGAGTTGCTGAACTTGCTGACTGAAAGGTGAGCAGTTCGAATCCAGGGAATGGGATGAGCTCCCACTGTTAGCCCCAGCTTTTGCCAATCTAGCAGTTCAAAAACATGCAAATGTGAACGGCGCTCCATGCAGTCATACTGGCCACATGACCTTGGAGGCATTAACAGACAACGCCAGCTCTTTGGCTTAGAAATGGAGATGTGCCACCACCCTCCAGAGTCGAACAAGATAACGTAACGCCAAGGGAAACCTTTACCTAATTGTTTTGTACAAATGGACTCGAGGTCCTTATGTTCTCATAAAATCATGTGGATCACAAAAATGTGCTTATTTGGAACATCACCTGCTCCTACTACAAAGTCTTGATTTCTCCCTCCCATCAGTCAATATGTTAATTAAAAACATTTTTCTTGTCAAATTTGTTTTGTGTTTGCTTTTTTAACCATCTAGCTTGAAGAAAAATTAAGTTTGCTCATTGTTTTATGAATTTGCATTTTTTCCTCATAAATTTATTGGCATCACCTTTTGAATAGATTCCCTGCCATACTCACATATTTGGTGTGATACAGTAAGAGACAGACTATCTGCATTCCTGGAACACTGATAAGCAGACATGTTAAACGTCTTGCTTGCACAATTTATGGAAATACATCCCTGTGACAGAAGCATCAGCAGAAGCACATAATTATTGGTGTGTTCCTGTCACAAATGTTTAGGGGTTTTTTTCCCTCCTTTTATCTATTTTTTTAGCTCAGTAGCAAGTATAAGATACAGTATTAAACATGACACAGAAGTAGTTGAAGTGTTGAAGAATTACAATCTGTATAACTTAGTTAACTGTGGTAGATGCTGCAACTATAAAATAGCTTTATGATTTCATATCTTCTAGGAGGTATAAGAGGCAGCTAAAATGTAGGTTTCTTAAATATATGTTAAAATAAAGATATGAATTAGTTGTATATGTTAACCAGCACTTTCAATCTTCCTGCAAATGATTATGTAACAAGATCTTACTAGTTTGACTGATGACAGCATCTGTTATTGGTTCACTTCAACATGTATCATAACCAGTTCCTGCTTATATTGCCACAAGTGTGGAATACTTTTTCATCAATATATTTTTAAGATAACATCTATTTGTTTCACCACCATTCAGTACTTGTTAGGGCGGGAGCAATTTGTCTTCACTGCTAGATCCCGAAGAAAAGATATTAACCAAAATGACAATGGCAGTGTGTGGGACAAGAGGTGGTTATAAGTTTGTCTATTCCTCTGTTGATTGGCATGTGGCTGCATCTGATCTATGTTTTATGAACTTTCTTTAAAGAATTATGCATTTTCTATTTGGTGGCAGCTTCCACTTACTTGGAAACACGGTTGGTGGGGATGAGAGAAAGGGCCTTCTCAGTGGTGGCCCCCAAACTCTGGAATACCCTTCCAAAAGAGATTAGAGTAGCCCCCACCCTTCAATCCTTCCATTACAATCCGAAAACATGGATGTTCAAACAGGCTTTTGACCTCGAGTAGGCTGAATGGGCCCATATGAAGTTGATAATTGGCACTTTGTGAATTGATAGCAGCTAGTTTTATCTACTGTTGTTTTTTAAAATTGTATTATTTTGATTTTATGCTATATGTGTCAAAATGGGCTGTTGTTTTCATTTTATGTGACTTGTTTTATACTTATGTACCATTTTTATCTGTTGTATGTTATCTATGCACCCTGGAGTGCCTTTGTAAGCCACTGCGAGTCCCTTCAGAGAGATGGCGGCGGTTTATAAATCAGGATGATGATGATGATGATGATGATGATGATTATTATTATTATTATTTGACTTCTGCAAGGACTTGGGGGCTGGGCACTATCGAATAGGCAATAGTTTAGGGTGGAAAACAGTGGAAGGGGCCAAAACCCTTCTCTGGAGAAACAAAAAGCTTTTCTTTGAAATTCTGTATTTCCTGACATTAATCCTATATCAACAGAAATGTGCATCAGAAATACGCTATGCATCACAGGAACCAAAGCCAAGTGTTATGCCAAAATATCATCAGGGGTTAGCTTTGGCAATCAAAGCGTTTTCATCATTTTTATCCAATGTGTTGTGCTCATCTATCGTGGCCAAAAGCAGTGCTACATAAACTCTGTGTATGCATGTGCATCCACACACGTTCTTAGCTGAATCATCTTACAGCTATTAATTTACTCTTGTTTGTCCCTCTGTTCAGCCAAGCTTGTGTTTTCCTAAAACATATGATAAAGCAGTTTGCAGACTGTTCCTGGTTGCCACCCAATATGGCTGTACTTATTTTATTTTATTTATTTCATTCACTTATACCCCGCCCTTCTCACCCCTAGGGGGACTCAGGGCGGCTTACATACAGGGCACAATTAGATGCCCAATCACACAACAAGTAATCCAAAAAATATAAAATTCAGCAGTTAAGTTAAACAACAATACATAATAAAAACATAATCCTAAAAACAATCTCATGTCAGAGTCCATATATCAGAGTCCATACATCCGTTCTATTCCGTTTGTCCTTGTCTGTCGCCGGTCCTTGATTTAATTATCAGAGTGACCAAAAGCTTGGTCCCACATCCAGGTCTTTAGTTTTTTCCTAAACGCTAGAAGGGAAGTCGTCGATCTGATCTCCCCGGGGAGTGAGTTCCACAGGTGAGGGGCCACCACTGAGAAGGCCCTGCTCCTCGTCCCCGCCAGCCTCACTTGTGACACTGGCGGGGTCGAGAGCAGGGCCTCCCCAGAAGATCTTAAACTTCGAGGTGGGACGTAGAGGGAGATCCGTTCGGACAAGTACACTGGGCCGGAACCGTATAGGGTTTTATAGGTCAAAACCAGCACTTTAAATTGTGCTCGGATTGGATCGGCAGCCAGTGGAGCTGACGCAACAGGGGGGTGGTGTGCTCCCTGTACGCCGCTCCGGTGAGCAATCTGGCTGCTTCTCGCTGAACTAGTTGGAGTTTCCGAGCAGTCTTTAAAGGCAACCCCACGTAGAGTGCGTTGCAGTAATCCAGCCGGGATGTGACAAGAGCGTGGACCACCGTGGCCAGATCCGACTTCCCAAGGTACGGGCGCAGCTGGCGCACAAGTTTTAATTGTGCGAAAGCTCTCCCGGCCACTGCTGAAACCTGAGGATCCAGGCTCAGCGATGAGTCCAGGATTACTCCCAAGCTGCGAACCTGCGTCTTCAGGGGGAGTGTAACCCCGTCTAACACAGGCTGTAACCCTATACCCTGTTCGGCCTTCCGACTGACCAGTAGGACCTCTGTCTTGTCTGGATTCAATTTCAATTTGTTAGCTCTCATCCAGTCCGACACAGCAGCTAAACACCGGTTCAAGGTCTGGACAGCCTCCTTGGTGACAGGTGAGAAGGAGTGACAGATTTGGACGTCATCTGCATAGAGATAGCATCTTAGTCCGAAACTCCGAATGATCTCTCCCAACGGCTTCATGTAGATGTTAAATAACATCGGGGACAAGATTGAACCCTGTGGGACTCCACACAACAACGGTTGTGGGGCCGAACAGGTGTCACCCAGTAACACCTTCTGGGTCCGTCCCTCTAGGAAGGATCGGAGCCACCGCAAAGCAGTGCCTCCGAGCCCCATATCCATGAGGCGGCCCAGAAGGATACCGTGATCGACGGTATCGAAGGCCGCTGAGAGGTCCAGCAGAACCAACAGGGACACACTCCCCCTGTCTAGTTCCCTGCGCAGATCATCTACCAAGGCGACCAAGGCTGTCTCAGTTCCATGTCCCGGCCTAAAGCCAGACTGTGCCGGATCTAGATAATCAGTGTCTACCAGAAACCCCTGGAGTTGTGTTGCCACCACACGTTCCATGACTTTGCCCAAATAGGGGAGATTGGAAACTGGCCGATAGTTGTCAAATTGAGTGGGATCCAGTGATGGTTTCTTCAACAGCGGTTTTATAATAGCCTGTTTTAGGCTCACTGGAAACTCTCCTTTCTGTAAGGAGGTATTAACCATCACCTTCACCCACCCCGCCAAACCCCCTCTGGCTTCCTTGATCAGCCAGGAAGGGCAGGGGTCTAGGATGCATGTGGTGGGTCGCACCTCTCCAAGGATCCTGTCCACATCCTCAAGCTGAACCAATTGAAACGAATCCAACAAAACTGGACAAGCAGGTGCTCTCGTTACATCCCCAGAGACTGCCGTTAACATGACGTCGAATCCAGACCGAATCCGCTCAATTTTATCCGCGAAGGATCGAGCAAATGCTTCACAGCGAGCCACCGAGTTATCCGAGGCCTCGCTTTTTGGCGGATTTAACAGGCCCCTGACAACTCGAAAAAGCTCAGCTGGACGATTCTTCGCTGATGCAATATTGGCTGTAATGAATGTTTTCTGAGCTGCCTCTATTGCCACACCGTAGGACCTTAAAAAGGTATTCAGGTGTGTTTGGGCTGGATTGGTGGGATTCTGGCGCCACACGCGCTCTAACCTCCTCTTCTTTCGCTTCATTGCTGCCAGCTCCTCAGTGAACCAAGAAGCTGGTTTAGCTCGGTTACTCGAGAGGGGGCGTTCCGGAGCGATAGTGTCAATTGCCCTGGTCAACTCACTATTCCAGCCAGAGACCAGAGCATCGACAGTGTCGCTAGCCAAGAAGGTGGAAAAATCCCCAAGAGCCGTCAGGAAACCATTTGGATCCATCAGTCTCCTGGGGCGGACCATTCTAATGGGTCCCCCACCCCTGCGAAGGTTAGAAGGCACAGTTAGTCTAAAACTGATCAGGTGGTGATCGGTCCATGGCAAAGGGGCGATGGTCGGCTCCTCCATCCGTCACCCTCATCCCATCCCTGAATGAAGACCAAATCCAAGGTGTGTCCGGCACTATGGGTGGGACCAGATATTAGTTGGGACAGGCCCATGGTTGCCATGGCGGCCATGAAGTCCTGAGCCGCTCCAGAGAGAGAGGCCTCGGCATGGATGTTGAAATCTCCCAGGACCAAAAGCCGTTGGGAGTTCAACACCATGTCCGAGACCACTCCCGCTAGCTCAGGTAGGGAGACTGTAGTGCAGCGGGGTGGTCGGTACACTACCAGAATCCCTATCCTGTCCCGGTCACCTATCCTAAAGCCGGCACATTCAAAGGAAGATGATTGTGGGATGGGACACCTGATCAGTGGGATATAGTCCTTATAGACCACTGCGACTCCGCCTCCCCGCCCTCCAAGCCTTGGTTGGTGCTGAACAGAGTAACCTGGTGGACAGAGTTGGGAGAGATTAATCCCTCCCCCCTCGTCCAACCAGGTCTCCGTTATACAGGCCAGGTCTTGAAATCTTCCTTCTCTTCCAAGTCTTGAAGTCTTCCTTCTCTCTCCAACTCAGATTAGCACTGGTACATTACGAAATGAAGGATATTGAAATCCAGTTGACTTCTTCCTGTTTCCAAACACATAGGAGCTAGTTTTGCTAAAGGTTGTGCTTTCTCGGCTTGAGTACTAAAAAGAAAAACAGGTTTCTGCATTAGTATCATCTCAAATCATGCTGCACTATACCAAAGCTTGTGAAGGAACATAGCCATATGTCTTCTATGTAGTAAGAAGTTTTCACATCACAATTCAGCGTGCATGAGGGAGAAAGAAAGAAAACAAGCTTTCAGGTTTCCTGTCAACTTATTGTCAACCACCCCGAGTCCCTTTGGGGAAAGAGGGCGAGTTATAAATAAAGTGTTGCTGTTGTTGCAATTCCATGAATGCCAGGGTTTTCTTAGGCAAAGAATACTCAGAAGAGACTTTGAAGGTTCCTTCCTCTGAAATAAAGCCTCCAGCACCTGGTATTTGTTGCCAGTATTGCATCCAAGTACTAATAAGGAATGACCCAGCTTAGCTTCCATGATCAGACTGGGGGCCCTTCCACACAGCCCTACATCCCAGAATATCAAGGTAGAAAATCCCGAAATATCTGCTTTGTACTGAGTTATCTGAGTGCTCCAGCTGGAGGTCAGCTCTGACCAGCAGTGCTGCAGAATTTGAAGAGGCATGAATGGAGGGTGAAAGAGAAATGTGCCAAGAGGAAGGCGCGTCAAGCCAACCCCGACCAGGACCCTCCCACCTGGAAACCAATGCCCTCACTGTGGGAGAAGATGCAGGTCAAGAATAGGGCTTCACAGCCACCTACGAACCCACCCCCAGGACACCGAACTTGAAGGACCATCATCCTTGAACTACGAGGGATCGCCTAAGTAAGTAAGGTTATCTGAGTCCACACTCAGATAATGTGGGATTTTCTTGATATTCTAGGATATAGGGCTGTGTGGAAGGGTCCGGGATCTGTTACCTTTATGAAAGGAATTGCAGGATCTTTCAGTGAAAGCCATTCCATTTCAGTTCTCTAGTATGCACGAAACACACACCTTTGTCAATGCCTTCTTTAATTCATGCTCAAGTCTTTTATGATGTGTCAGAACTATGATTAGTTTCATTTTTCATATACATCTCACATCCTTAGATGTTATTGCTAAGAAAGCTTGCTTTTAAAATAGTTCTATAAAGTATGCATGAAGCTTTTAATGAAATGCTTACATTTCTGGCAGGTATATGTAATTCTTACCTTGAAGGTAGGACATTTTAATGTTATTCTATATGGCTGCATTTGCAATAGGTTTCTAGAGGGTTTTTTGTTTGAAATGAATGCATGGGCTGAGGTCCTGGAAGACATGCAATTCACATAATCTCTGACACATCTTCCACCGATCTTCTCCCCGCCACCCCTTTTAAGCTGCCACTGATGCCCATTCCCAGCACAGCTATACGTGGGCCAGAAGAGGAGTGGGTAGGAGAGTCAAACCAAGTTCCTATACTGGGACACACAGTGAAGGGCATTTCCTGGAGGACCTTTCGAGGTTCAGGAAGAGGATTTCATTGTTTAACATGTAGCTATAAGAATATAGCCAGACACTGCTTTGCCTTGGCAATGCCAACTCTTCACCAGTCAGTAATGACTGTGGGTTGCGACTGAGGCAGCCTAAATTTGGAGGTTGGTTATTGCATGGTCAGGAGAGACCTTCACAATGACCAAAAATAGTAAGTTAAAGATATGTAAATTGAACGTAACCTTATAAATCACCACTGAAATGCCAGTCTCGATTAGTGGCAGTCTAATCTTGATCTACTAGAGCAATTGATTATACTAACTAGGAATGTGCAATTAATTAGGCAGATGCACATTCTGTGGAGCCATTCTCATGTCAACTCTACTTTTCGCAATAGCTTCTTTCTTATTCAGCAGCACTGAGTGGTTACTGAGAACTTTTCTTGAAACTTTTCTTGCTTTTCCTGTACTACCAAATTCAGTGTACAAATAAAGAAGAGAAAGCCACATACTGACCTGCAGTGTGAGACCTTTACTGAGGGAGAAGGCGTAAATGAGTCCATCCTGACAACTGCTTCCCTGGCCTCTCTTTGGCTGCTGGAGTGGTGGAAGCTGGAGAGACTGGGGAAATTTTTGTGGTGCTTCAAACATGGCTTTCCTCTTCTGCAGAAGAAGCTGATGCCTTAACACTAAGGAGAGAGGTTTTCATTCAGTGTCAGAGTATTGTAGCAGTTAAAAGTTAAGACTAGGATTTAAGTGACCAAGGTTCAGCCATGAAACCTATTGGGCCAGTCACATTCTCTCAGTCTGACTTATCCAATAGATTTGTAGTGGGGAGGATGAGAGACATGTGTACCACTCTTTAGAGGAAAGGCAATATAGAAATACATTTAATGGATAAGAAATATAATTTACCAAAGCTGTTTCTTCTGCCTTTTAGAGTTCCCATACCTCAGTGGCAGTGAACAAACTTTGCACGCAAGTAGTTCCAGTTTAAACTAGTAACATTTCTGGATGACGACAAGATCTCAGCTTTTGGGTTAATAGTTTAGCCTGGGCTACATGAAACACAGACTTGTCTGATAACTGGCTACTTCTCCTCCAATATGTGCATCCTGGCTACAGAGTCATTAATTTTCACCGGTTGTGGGTTTGTTTGTTTTTTTGCTAAGAGTGTATAGTCACTTGAGAGCCCTTTCAACAGGTTCCTCAACCATGGCCCTCCAGCTGTTTGGACCTCCAACTCCCAGAATTCCCAACCACTGAATGAGCTGGCTAGGATTTCCGGGAGCTGGAGGCCCAAACAGCTGGAGGGCTGAACTTTGAGGATGCCTGCCTTATAAGGACAAGCCTTTGGATAGTCCTAATTTTGAATAGAGCATGGATTACATTTTTTTCCCTCCTGGCTGTAGGATTCTGGGAGCTGAAGTTCAAAAAGATAACTTTCCTAAGCAGCATGATCTACAAATATTGCCAGCTCCTGTTCATTTGCAATGACCTAATTATGAACCTCCAGGCATCATAGGTCAGGTCTGTTGAGGAAGGGAAACCTGGTCCTCTTTTACAACATTAAGATGACAAAATACTAAAGGTAGCAAATAGAATTCCATGATCTTTAGATTAAAAGTAAAAGAAGAAAATGTCCTCAAAGCTAAGTGAGCAGCTTCTGTACATAGGGAGTAACTTCTCCCTATGTACAGAAGCAGCCATATAGAGAAAGAAGTCCCTAATGTATGGAAAACCACCAAGCAATTTACCTGTGTCTCTAGATAATAGCCTATCTGACACAGTGAGTTGTAGTAACATGCAAATGACCATATGACAAATTCCTCTGCACATCTATGCAAAAAGCAGTCATTCTTGTCTCAGCTATATCCCTTCATGTCTGGAAGAGAGTCAGATTCTGGTATAGAAGTTCTGCCTTGCTTGATAGGTGCCCTAAGATAAATATGGAAAGAACTGATTTGTGCCATTATTCCCTTGTCTCTAGCAGGCTTATGATTCTTCACTAAGAGACTGAAGCAGTTCTCTATTACTGAAAAATGAGCCATCTTAAACAAGGGCCATGTATTTTGGCAGCATCAATCTATCATCTCTATCATAGGTTGGGAGTCCCTTATCTAGAATCCCAAAATCTGAGATTGTCCATATGGTGGATTGAGATAGTGACACCTTTGTTTTCAGAGTACACAAACTTTGTTGCATACACAGAATTATTAATAGCATTGTATAATACTGCATTTATTAGACTCTAAGATTCAGCCATGAAACCTACTGGGCCAGTCACACTCTCTCAGTCTGACTTATCTAACAGATTTGTAGTGGGGAGGATGAGAGACATGTATACTCCTCATTGGAGGAAAGGTAATATAGAAATGCATTTAATGGATAACAAATATAATTTACCAAAGCTGTTTCTTCTGCATATAAACAACTCTGAAACAACTCTGTGCATCTTAAAATAGCAGGCTATGTGTGTAAGGGTATATGAAACAAATGCATTTCTGAAATCCTAAAGACGTCTGTTCCCAAGTATTTTGGATAAGGGTTATTCTGTATTGGACTTTTCTATCATTGACAACAAACGTATAAATACTGGGGGGTTTTCTGTCAGTATACACACATACAAATTCCATATGGACATTCGCTATTTCCTTTCTTTGTGTAGCTAAGCGATAATAAACCCACCTGGGGCTTTCTGGGCACTCGTAGGGGACCGCTTGAGCCATTGCTTTTGGAAAGCAGCCCAGTATGGCAGCAGGATGCTGAAGACCGAATCCTTCAACTCATCAAACAAGCCTGGAGGGGGGAATGGGTTCTCCTTCTGGAGGGCTCGCTCAGCTGCCCGGACTGCCCTGCCCAGCCTCTTAGTATCCACTGCCACCTGAAGAGTAAGACATAAACATCTAACATTCTGGCTGTCACCATAATACATGGTCACTCCTCGTTCTCCTCTACCCTTGTCCTCATCCCATCCCTAGTGAAGTGAAGGCATTAATTGGAGGCCAAGCATATGCTCTCACTTGCATCATGTTCATGCCGTTTTGGCCTCTGTTTTGGGTGTGTGCTGGTTTCTCTGTCCAAATGCTGGGAAACATCAGCTGTGCTCAGTCAAGGCATTCCCTAGATAAAATGAGTCAGGGGCTCTGAGAAGCCAAAATGAATTGTGCCAGCAGGAGGTAAATGAGGGCATTTCATTATTTTGGAACTGCTGTTCTACAAGGAATAACGACAGCTAGTTTGCCGCAGCTCATCACTGCATTATATATTTTTTCTCCACAAAAATGGATGATGATGATGCTCTGACATCTCTCTTTTTTTTGCCAGGGAAGAGGTGTCTATTTTTGCTAGATTTTGGCACCAATTCCAAAATCAGCAGAGTTCAATTTTCTCTCAGGAACATACATATGGTTATGTACTATCAGTTAATCCTGACAGGATACAGAAGACTATTATACCTCCAGCAGTGACAGAACATACGTTGCGGCATAGAATATATAAATAGGTTTGCATATGCTGTTGTATATGCCTGTGATGGAATTGAACAAAGTAGAGTAGTGGCCACTAAATTCAGCACTCTAATAGTCCCATTCCTCTCTTTAAAGCTATAAGAGCTAGCAACTTGCTTTTAAAATATCGATATATATATATTGGCAAGGTCTGGTTTGAGTGTTGGATTATGACTCTGGAAACTTAGGTTTGATTCCCTGTTTGTCCATCAAAATCCACCTTGGGCAAGTTACACACACTTAGCTGTGATAGGTTCGCAGGATATGTCTGAAATTACTTGAAGGCACACAACGACAACAAGAAGAAAAGTTCCCAAGGACAGCCTGTATAGTGTAGAGGTTGGAGTGTTGAACAAGGATGCTGTGACACTAGGATTCAAATACCATATCAACAATGGAGACTCACAGAGAGTTCTTGGAAAGTCTAGTTCCCTCAGCCTACAAGGATAAAGTAGGCAAACTCCCTGTGAACAAATCCAGCCATGAGTCCTCAAGTCCTTTCCAACTTTTCCAGTCGTCTTTACCACATTACTATAGCACTTAATTAAATGCCCTCTCGAACAGCCACGTCTTGAGGCTTTTTCGGAAGGACAAAAGAGAGGGCGCCTGCCTGATGTCTGTAGGGAGAGTGTTCCACAACCGGGGGGCCACCACTGAGAAGGCCCTCTCTCTCGTCCCCCAAAACCAATAACATGAAACAAACATCAACCACCGCACAGGCCGGTGCCTGTGTGAAGGCAGATCGGGATCGAGAGAAGGGCCTACCCACCGGACGATCTCAAGGTCCTCGTGGCTCATATAGCAGCCAAGACTGCGTGTCTGAAAGGTATAGTTGGAGCCAAACATCATGAAGAGGGGTCAAGTTAGGAGCCCCATGGGGCACACAACAAAAAACAAAGACACAAAGAAGCACAAACCCACAATCACCACGCAAAAAGAGGAGCCGTTCCAGCAGTCTTTAGTGTAAAGGCCAACCCATCACCTTAAATTGGACCCGGGACAATAGCAAATCGCACAGCCAGCTGCAAGCCTGTGCAACAACAGGGTGTTGTGTGCTCCTTGTATCCCGCTCCAGTTAGATAACATGGCTGCCGCGCAGCTGGACTAGCTGAAGGCCGGGCCGTCTTCAAAGGCACCCACGTAGAGAGCGTTGCAGTAGTCTAAACGGGATGTAACCAGAGCGTGTACCACCGTGGCCAAGTCAGACTTCCCGAAGATACGGGCGCAGCTGGCGCACGAGCCTAAGCTGTGCAAATGCTCCCCTGGTCACCGCTGAAACCTGGGGATCCAGGCTCAACGATGAATCCAGGGTCACACCCAAGCTGCGCACCTGCGCCTTCAAGGGGAGTGCGACCCCATCCAGCACAGGCTGTAACCCTATATCCCGTTCGGCCTTGCGACTGACCAGGAGTACCTCTGTCTTGTCTGGATTTAGTTTCAGTTTGTTCGCCCTCATCCAGACCGTACAGCGGCCAGGCACCGGTTCAGGACCTCGACAGCCTCCTTAGTAGCAGGTGGAAAGGAGTGACAGAGTTGGACATCATCTGCGTACAGATGACACCGCACCCCGAAACTCCGGATGATCTTACCCAGCGGCTTCATGTAGATATTAAACAGCATGGGGGACAGTATGGACCCCTGTGGAACCCCACAAGTCAAAGGTTGTGGGGCAGAACAGGAGTCCCCCAATAACACCTTCTGGGTGCGTCCCGCCAGGAATGAGTGGAGCCACTGCAGAGCAGTGCCCCCAAGGCCCATTTCCGCAAGGCGCCCCAGAAGGATACTGTGGTCGACAGTATCGAAGGCCGCTGAGAGGTCCAGGAGCACCAACAGGGACACACTCCCCCTGTCTAGCTCCCGGCGCAGATCATCCACTAAGGCGACCAAGACCGTCTCAGTACCATGTCCCGGTCTGAAACCAGACTGTGCAGGATCCAGAATATCCGTGTCTCTCAAGAATACCTGGAGTTGTGAGGCCACCACGCTTTCCATGACTTTGCCCAAAAAGGGAAGATTGGAAACAGGCCTAAAGTTGTCCAATTTAGTGGGGTCCAGTGATGGTTTCTTCAACAGCGGTTTTATAATTGCTTGTTTTAAGCACGCTGGAATCTTTGCCTTCCCGAAGGGAGGCATTAACCACCACCGTTACCCACTCAGCCAATCCCCCTCTGGCCTCCTTCAGAAGCCAGGATGGGCAGGGGTCTAGGATGGACGTGGTGGGCCTCATTCCTCCAAGTATCTTGTCCACATCCTCGGGTTTCACAAACTGAAAAGAATCCATCAAAATAGGACAAGCAGGTGCTCTTGTTACATCCTCTGAGACTGCATTTAACGCGGCGTCCAGCCCAGAACGGATCAAGGCGACTTTGTCTGCAAAGAACCGAGCAAATGCTTCACAGCGCGTGACCGAATTGTCAGGGCTCCCGCCAGAGGTGGCGGGAGTTAAAAGACCTCTAACAATCCGAAACAACTCCGCCGGACGGTTCTTTGCAGACGCAATAGTGGCCGCAAAGAAAACTTTCTTTGCGGCCTTTATTGCCGCGGCATATGCCCTAAGAAAGGACACAAACCGTGCTCGGTTTGACTCGCTTGGATCCGAACGCCACACGCTCTCTAGTTCCCTCTTCCTTCGCTTCATCACTGCCAGCTCCTCGGTAAACCAAGGGGCTGGTTTAGCTCGGCTACTTGAGAGGGGACGCTCCGGAGCGATCATGTCAATTGCCCTGGTCATCTCCCCATTCCAGAGAGCGACCATTTAACTTGAATTCATTCACAAAGAATGTGGATTTCTTCAAAACCCACTCTTAATCATTGTCCCTTTGAACTAATACTCATTCTTTCAAGCCCTTGGGTTGGCAAGGAGCAGAGACATGAGCTCCCACTGCTACATGGAGGAGGCATGCTGATAAACATTACACTCCACCAGAGGGAGAAATAGTATTTTATTTTATTCTGCAATGAAGAAATAGTGGGACTCTTCAAGTGACCATTCAGCTACAAAGCCTTTGAAGCAGGGTAGGTAACATGTGGCCCTGTTGTTTGACTGCAACACCCATCTGCCCTAACTAACACTAAAGGCTGACTTAAGCTCAGGCTATCTGACAGACTGTATCTCCCATGCAACCCTGCCTGGACCCTGAGATCCTGAATTGAGGTCCTTCTTTCAGTTCCTATCAAACCCTTCATAGGCATTACTGGTGAGAACACACGATGGGACCCTTTTGGTGGTTGCTAGGCTTCAGAACGCCTTCCCCAGAAATATCCACCTTCTTGCAATCCTTCCTTCAGCTGGCAAACCTCTTTCTTCTTCTACCAGGCTTTCAGAACTGGCAGATTTTTAAAAAAGTTATTTTAAACTGTATTGCTTGAATTGCATTGTTTTGATCATGTTTAATTCTAAATTTCAAACTCTATTTTAATTTTGATTTTTCATATGTTTTTAAAGCAACATTATAGCCATTTCCATTCAGCCAGTGTTGGGGGAAAGATAAAGCAACAGATTTGAGCCAGTGTTGGGGAAAAGGTAAGGTATAATTAAAAATCATGACAAGGATGCTGACTAGAACAACAACGGCAGTCCAACAACATCTAGGTGGCAACAGAATGGCTATCCTTAGTTTAAAGCAGTGGTTCTTAACTTGTGGACCACAAAATCTGGTCCACAAGCCTCCTTTCTCTTTATTTTATTTATTTCTGCTCCTTTCATACTGTCTGCCATTCCTTCCCTGTTGCAGACCATGGCATATGTTCTGTATCAGAAACTAGAGCTGATGTGGTCTATCCAATGCAATTTTCTGAATAAGCACCCCAAACTGAATCTAAAGTAGACCAAAAACTGATTCGTGACCCTTTTGGTAGTAATGTTGGAGAGTGATCCCTGATCAAAATGATCCCTGGTCAAGTGGTCCCTAGTCAAAGTGGTCCCTGGTAAAAAAAAAAAAGTTTGGGAACCACTGGTTTAAAGAAACTCTTCATTCATGGTGATATTCTTTGGGGATCAAACCAGTAATCTGTTCATTCAGTATTGATCTACTAACATTTGCATGTTTTCAAACTGTTAGGTTGACAGAAGCTGGGGCTGACAGCGGAAGCTCATGCCGCTCCCCAGAATCAAACCTGCGACCTTTCGGTCAACAAGTTCAGCAGCTCAGCGCTTTAACCCACTGCGCCACTGGGGTAGCCCTCTACCCACCCACAAATCTCAAGGTGCCCACCTGCCAGCTGCTATACTGCCAAAAAGGGTTCTGGGAATTGTGACCCAAAAAATAATTTCCACACTGTGATCCTTTCCAGTATTACACTGTTGCTTGTCTCTCGAGAAGAAAAGGTGTAGGATCCTACCTGCAGCTGGGGCTCAATCTGAGAGGTGAGGAAACACTCCCGTATCACTTTGACCTTTTTCTTCAGAAGAGCCATGTCAGGCCAGGCGTGATGGGCGTTCTTGAATTTCTGCACCTCCAGCAGAAAATGTAAGCCACTCTCCAGCACAGGAGGACCATGCAGCTGCAGATGCTTAAGGAAATGGAGGATCTCGATGGTGGGCCATCCCTCGGCAGCCTTCTTTACAGACTGCCAAAAAGAGACCTTGTCTTCTCTGGTGGGCTGAGCTGTGGCTGATGCAGAGCCACCCTGGCCTTTCTGGCTCCTTAAATGCTCAAGAGCCACTCTGGCGGCAATTGATTGTAGCAACGGTTCCAGCTTGCGCCAATGCTCCTCTGGGATTTGGGAGGGCTCCTGCAGCACATGCTTCTTCAACCATTTGCTCACCTCATCCCAAAACTGCTCAAAACCAGGGGTCACAATAGAATGAAGGAAGAGTCGGATTTCATTCCAGCTGAAATCACTTATTTCTCCCTGGTCCAGCTCTTCTTTTAACCTTATTTTCAGCTCCTTGGGGAGTTGGGCATTTGATCTCCCTTTCCCTGGCTTGTCACAGATATCGAGAAATTTCTTTACACAATCCATTCGCTTTTCTCTCTCTGCAGCTTCTTGGCAGGCCTCCATTTCCTGAAGCAGTCTCAGAATTCTTTCCAGTTCCACATCTTGCATTTTATGAGCTGCTTTTCTAAATACTTTCAGAACAACTGTGTTGCTAAGCAAGTCTGGTTCGTTTTGGAGAGTGGGGGCTTCCTGACCAGTTGGAGATTTTCCTTCCATTCCCTGCTCAATATCGTAAGGCTTGGGAGCCCCCTTCTTTCTGCCCTTTTTCTTACGCCTCCCTCTGCCTTGTGGGTCGTGAAGCCAGGAATGCTGTCTCTCTTTCTTTATCCTGAAAGAAGAAGGTCATGCAATGGAGGGAGATAACAACAATGAAATAACAACAGTGAAACAGAACTCAAGATATTAAGCACTGCATGTTTTTCATAAGGCATCTCCACTGTAAAATACTGGATTATATGGAAATCTGAAACTAAAGTAAGCTGCCTGTATCCACAGGGGATGCATTCCCAGCTACCTCAAACTGAGGATATGACTGAAAAACATTAAATTAAATCCCACCAGGACATAGAGCCACACAGGACAACCCAGAGATTTCTAGAGAGCTATCCTTTCTAGGAATTTGCTAGATCATTCAACATTATTCTGTGGTAACTCCCCTGGGAAAGTATAATATAAGGCTGTGCTAGGTGGTCCTATCGAATTCCTAGGGAGACCATTTCCTCCATATGTAAGTAAAGGTAAAGGTTTCCCCTGAATATTAAGTCTAGTCATGTCCAACTCTGGGGAGTAGTGCTCTTCTCCATTTTTCACTGAAGGCATTTCTGTAGACACCTCCAGGGTCATGTGGCTAGCATGACTGCAAGGAGCACCATTACCTTCCCACAGAAATGGTACCTATTAATCTACTCCCATTTGCATGTTTTCGAAGTGCTAGGTTGGCAGAAGCTGGGCCTAACAGCGAGAACTCACTTCGCTCCCCAAATTCGAACCACCTACCACTACCCTGCTCTCGGTCCCACCTCCTTCACAGTTGCATCTGGTGGGAACAAGAGACAGGGCCCTCCCTAATGACATTAGATCCGCCCCCTCCCTCCTGACTTTATGCAAAAAAACTCAGACCCTGACTTTGGGATCAAGCATTTGTACAATAGATGGATCAACTGGGAAGATAATGTCTTAGTGAACCGCAATGGACTGATCTGGATTATGTTATGAACCAGCAAACTGTTTTTAATTGAATGTTTATAATTGTTTAAACTGTGTTAATTGTAACTGTGATTTTTCATCTATTGTTTTGGCATCTGATGGCTGCCTGTTGTAAGCTGTCCTGAGTCCCTCTTTGGAGGCGAGAAGGATGGGATATAAATGCTCGAAATAAGTAAATAAAGAACCACAATTTACAAGACCCTTAGTCTCTATGTTCTAGATTTATAGCCGCCAGATTATAGAAAGCGTAGAAGTCGAAGGAGCATTTTTTGTCAATTCCAGCTTTCAGTGGGGTAGTTCAGTACTAAGGTCAGAAATTAGGAATGTGCAGCCTTCCAGATACAAATGTACTGCATCTCCCATTACCCCTCACTATGGTTGTGGTGGCTTCATTATTGTGAGTTCCAATCCAGCAACACCGAGAGTGCTCAACATTCTTCACCTCAGTTTAGGTCCATTCTTAATTTTGATCATTCTTTTCATTACCTGTCATCTGTCTCCTGCTTTACGTTTTGGGTTATAGTTTCAGTGCTTTCAGTATCAAAGTGAGGTGTTGGTGCACAATATCTGAAAGGAAGAGAATTAGGCAAATTAGGATGTTACAAAAATAAAAGGAGAGGGATCATTGATACCTCAAGAAAACCTTACTGTTATTTAAATCACAAACCCAAATTGTTGACAAAACAGCAACAACAGGACCTGTCATCTCAGGGCCCTTCTACACAGTCATATAACCCGGAATATCAAGGCAGAAAATCCTACAATATCTGCTTTGAACTGGGTTATCTGAGTCCACACTGCCATATATACCAGTTCAAAGCAATAAATGTGGGATTTTATTCAGCGGTGTAGAAGGGACTTCAAGCAGCATCTTTTTCCACCACTGTCATATGATGCTGGATAGTACGATCTTCATAGCCTCTGACAACTGAAAAATAGATGAGATTCTTTTCCTGACAACCCAGAGTAGAACATTTTAAGACTCACTCAAGGAAAGATGTGATGTCATGGCGAACATAGTGGAGCCAGCTGCTAGCCAAAACAACAAGTATATAGTGAGCAAGAGGCTCAAAAGTGGAAGGCTTCAAATCTCCATTGCCCATACACAACATTGTCTTGAGATGCTGGATGTATTCTAGCATGCTGAAGCTTAGACCTGAAGGAAAAGAGCAGAAAGGTCCAAGGTTGGCTTAAGACTCTGAAGAATCTACTTTCAAAGTGCACGTTTGTTTTAGGACTGTGTAGTATTTGTGACAAGTGTGTCAGGAAAGAATGTTGTCCCTTAATAAGCGATTACAGTTACTTGGTGGCTCTAAGACAGGGATGGGCAAACTTGGGCCCTCCAGGTATTTTGGACTTCAACTCCCACAATTCCTAACAGCGCATCAGCTGTTAGGAATTGTGGGAGTTGAAGTCCAAAACACCTGGAAGGTACAAGTTTGCCCATGCCTGCTCTAAACCAATCTCCCTTTCTCTCTCTCTCTCTGCCTCACCTGTGGCAAGAGGTTGCTGGGAAGATAAAGTGAGGAGAATGTAAACCAATTTAACTTCATGTGAAAAGGCAGGCTATAAACATGACAAATAAAAGAAATGGAGCCCTTGATTCACACCACATCTAGACATCCAATTTCTTTGAAAGATCCAAAGGAATGAATCCGTAATACGGCATCTTTCGCAGCCTTAGGTACAAAGCATAACTAACAAATTCACCTCTCTGTGTCAGTGAAGTACTTCTTCTTAACTCCCTACAGATTTGATATACCACAGTAACCTCAAGGCTATTAATAAACAGTTGTGGTTGATGACTGTCAAAGTTAAAGGTCTAACAACAGATCCATCAATGCCTGTGGTGTATTTCCCCCCTTATTTTACTAATGTCTCTGCTCAAATAGCTTTTTGTAGTGTTTTCAAAACTTCTATAGCCTGGTCGTTTGGGGTCAGTAGTTAGATAAACAAGTGTACTAGCCATGTGCACAGTCTGGTCTTTCATATTCATTCATTCAATTTAAAAAAATCATCATTCTACTTCAACTCTTGTAGGTTGAGATGTTTGCCTCAAGGCTACATGTACTCTATAATCCTATAAAGAACTATGCAAAGGATTAACTACTTCTTTCCCCCCTCTACACATTAAGATATCAATACATCCACCCTTTGGGTCTTCTGTTACTCAAACAATGGGATATTAGATTCAACAACTGTAATGTAACTTGGAAACTGGAGGATCACTTTCACACTGTCAATCTAACTCTCGGTTCTCCTTTCCCAGCTCTAAAACACCAGGAGACCTTATACATTACTACAACGACCATAACATTTGTTTACTAACTTATACAACAGCATGTGGATACTCTATATAATTCTTTCCCGCTTGAGGAACTTTTTCTTATGTTGGGCTTTGGTGACAGAAGTGGAACTCCTCTAAGTTCAGTTTCACAAGATCACTCACTGGCATTGCTCTCTGCATAAGACTCCAGGAATGTGTCCAAAATCTGCAAAGCAATTTGGTGGACTTCGGACTGGGTTGACTGCTGCTCCCATGCACTTTCATACAACTTTAGCTTCCTCCACAGCAAGAGGTTCTGGGTCTTCTCTGGATCCTCAAACCTAAAAGATAACCAGGAAAGGAGTCTATTTCAGCATAATGAAGATCTTGAAAAATGTTGCTAAGACCCATCAACAGATCTGTAGATGGCCACAGTTGTGTACTGTGGTTTTAAAAAAAGATCTCTGCCAAAGAATATTTACTTCTGGAATGTGAGAAATACAGGTAGGAAATAAAGCACAACTGCTACAGAAGTCACACAAAAGAACTCTTTAGCCGCTGAGAAAAAGCCAGCTCACCTAGTCAAGTAGTGAAGAAAACCATCCTCGTCCCCCAAGTCATACATCAAAGCCTGGAGAAAACGTGTGGTTGTCAGTTTTTCAAAGGGGTCTTCTGGAAAGTCCAATTGTTCATTTGGGCCCATTCCACTTCTTCCATTCTCTCTAAATTGCCGAGTCTAAAATGGACAAAAATAACAGTTGGGGAAGGCAGTCTTGATGAAAACTTGATGGTCTCCGGGTGTTTTAGAGCTGGGGCAGGAGAACAGAGAGTTAGATGGACAGTGTGAAACCGAGAACCCTTCCATACAGCTGAATAAAATCCCATATTTTCTGCTTTGAACTGGAATATATGACAGTGTGGACTCAGATAACCCAGTTCAAAGCAGACATTGTGGAATTTTCTGCCTTCATATTCTGGGATATAGGGCTGTGTGGAAGGGCCCTGAGCCTCCAGTTTCCAAGTTAGATTACAGTTGTTGAATCTAATATCTTATCGTTTGAGTAACAGAAGACCCAAAGAGTGGGTGTATCGATTTCTTAATGTGTGTGTGTGTGTTGGGGGGAGGGGGGGAATAAGCAGCTCATCTTTTACATAGTTCTTTCTATTCTGAGAAGAATAACACCATATTTCTCACAAATTCATATTATGAACTTGAATTTAATGAGATGATAGACTAGTATGTATATTCCTTAGTAAAAGACGAAAGATTTATACAATCTGAAGAGAAACCAGAGTAGTATATTTATAGTATGAGCATACTAATTTATCAGCTCATTAAGTTCAAGAGGGGAACTTATTCAGATGGAATATCAGGTAGAGCTATTTTCATGATTGAATCAGTCAAACAGCTTTGTGCATAATTTCCATATATGTACCTAACCTCCTCTCTGATCACCTGGCAGCCAATCAATATTTGTTAAAATCATATCAGCCATTTTTCATTTGTCAAGAAGTGTCTTGCCATACCTATTTTAATTATGTTTTCATCATTGCTATATTTTGTTGCTGCTGCTTTTTAAAGTATTGTGAGGTGCTTGAATAAAACATATTATTTATTTATTTGTTTGCTTTATTTCTATACCGCATTTTTCAGCCTAATTCGGCGACTCAATGCGGTTAGAAAGGTGTGTTATAGGAAAAAAGGTAAAGGTTTTCCCCTGGCCTTAAGTCCAGTCGTCTTCGACTGGGGGTTGATGATCATCTCAATTTCTAAGCCGAAGAGCTAGCGTTGTCTGTAGACCCCTCCAAGGTCATATAACCAGCATGACTGCATGAAGCGCTGTTACCTTCCTGCCGGAGCAGTACCTATTGATCTACTCACATTTGCATGTTTTCAAACTGCTGGGTTGGCAGAAGCTGGGGCTAACAGTGGGAGCTTGCGCCGCTCCCCAGATTCGAACCTGCGACCTTTCGATCAGCAAGTTCAGCAGCTCAGCGGTTTAACCCACTGTGCTACCGGAGGCTCCAGGGTGTGGTATATATTCTTCTAATAAGTAAGTGAGCAAACATAAATACTTAACTGATCTATGATCCATAACTGAAATCCCTAAAATGGAAAAATCCACTAATGTCTCTTATGTTATAATTATTCACAATTGTTTAACGATAACAGGATATGACAGAAATAAACTAAACGAAAGCAATCAATGTATTGGAACTGGTACGCACACCATTCTCCAGCCGTCATTTCTTTTCATATGGCTCAGCGTATCTGATTCTTCACCCTTGACAGAAAATAGTCCTGCCATAGTACAAGAAAACGGGAGGTCAGTGTTCAAGAAGTGTTCCTCCTCTTTTTGGAGTCCAGGATTAGGTCCAAGCCTATAGAAATATTAAAATAAATAGCTTACATTACTTAACAAAAATATCAGAGTCTCAAGGCAAACAAAGAGGCAAAAACAGACAGAAACCAAGAAATGGAAAATGGGCAGCACAACAGAAAGGTCTCCACAAAAAGGTCATTTTAACATATTTTACATATTTAACATAAAATATCACTGCAGCTCACTGTAGAAATGTATTTATTTATTTATTTATTTACAGTATTTATATTCTGCCTTTCTCACTCTAAAGAGGACTCAGGGCGGATCACGGAACACATATACAGCAAACATATGGTGCTGATTATACAATGACAAGGCAGACAACAGGTATATTTAGGGCTTTTTCTCATCATTTGGCATCTTTTGGAGGCTATGCTCAGTTTCAGACACAAGGTGGTGCTGTTGCTCCACCCCCTTGCCAAAGAGCTTTCTTTGTTCCTCCAAAATATCGTGCCTAAAATACCTCCACGCTTAATGTGGTTCCTATTCATCTACTCACATTGCTGTTTCTGAACTGCTAGTTGGACGGGGGAGCTGGGCCGAAAGTAAGGAGCTCACCCTGACTCGGCTTCGAACTATCAGTTGGCAAGATTTACTGCAGCTGCAGCTGGTGATTAGCCTGCTGTGCTATAGCCAGGGTGAGAATTATGGTGAACATTAAAGTATGTTCACCATAACTGAACAAAAAGCCCAAAGCAAAGGTTGATTATAGTGTATGGGAGTCCATTCTTTTAACACAAACCTGGATTGGAAATGGCTGGTCCTTTGGATGTGAATGAGAAATCGGGGGACCCAGTAGGAACGCAGACGTCGCAAAGCATCATATTGCTTCCTGCTCAAGGCGGCAAATGCAGTCTCTTCAGGACCTGTGGTTTCACCATGCTGTTCCTGTCAGCAGTGGGACACCAATATTATGATGTTATTGGGCAACTTGATGAAATCAAAACCAAGACCCACTGTTTTATATGTATCTTGTCTTGCAGTTTTTAATTATTATTTTATTTTTAATGTTACTGAAATTTTAATTTTTACCACAAAAACATTAAAACAATAGAATATGTAAAAGAATAGAAATGGGGATGGGAAGGAAAACAGCCTGGTTGGGAAAAGCAAAGGGAAGAGCAGAATCATGTCCACTGATGTCATGTGTCCACCAGCACGCTGAAACAGAAAGAGACCTACAGAACTTAAGTAATTCAAAGGCAGTAGTATCAGGAAGCATTGAAATGTTTCACACATCATAGAATCATAGAATCAATGAGTTGGAAGAGACCTCGTGGGCCATGCAGTCCAACCCCCTGCCAAGTATGGGTCTCATTTGGCTGGGGAAGAAGGAGAATAGTGTTTGAAAAGGTAAATATAAATAATCTGCTGTTTTACATATGTTTTATTTCTATAAATAAAATTTCGG